AGCCTACGTTCTAAAATTCAAAAAATCATTGCATCAAATCTCAGCATTGTCTTTAGGAAATCAATAGAGTACGAGTGAAATTCACGCTCTAAGGGTACCGTGTGCAAGCTTAGGGCCTTTGTACACAAAGCTAAGCAACCCTCCAGAACAAATATTGTCCATGTATTGTGGTTTGACATAAACGTATATTTTCACAGATCAAATCTTAAAATGACGTCATACCCACCTCTGTTGGCTTCGTATGTGGTTCAGGATATAATATATGTATCATATATTATTATTATTCTAAATATCATATCTTCATATAATATTTCAAATATTTTTTCTATAGTTTATAGGTTTGTTAATGAATATTATGCTCTTTCCTCCAATGACGAATTTCATAAATAATTAAACTTTCAACTACTGATTTATCTTGTTATGGCTAAAATTTTGAAAAATTTCGGTTAACGTGTATATTTATTTCTAACTAGAAGCACGTATTTATATGTTACTTCGTGCTCCTTACTTTGCTTATGTTCGGCCTTCCATACAACGTTCGTCACTTATTTTACTCTTCTATGAATAACATTTTCAAAAATCTTTACTCAATGGATGTTCGCAACATAATAAGCCAAAATTTCATGTTGCAACAACAATGTCTTAGGGTCTGCGTTCATGAATCAGTNAGAGTACTGAAAGACATTTACGAAGGTAGCGTAAGCCAAGTCAAACTGGAGACGCGAGGTCCTGATATACCGATCCGTAGAGGCGTAAGACAAGGAGACCCTCTCTCACCTAAGCTGTTCATAATGGTACTACAACACGTTTTTGATAATCTTAACTGGCAGGCGGAAGGGATTAGAATTAACAAAGATCGGCTTACACACCTCAGATTCGCAGACGATATTGTCTTATTTTCTGAAACAAGCAAAGGATTAGAAAGAATGATAACAAGTTTAAATGAAGAAAGCGAAAAGGTGGGCCTCAAAATGAACGAAAATAAAACAAAAATAGTTACTAATGATTACATTAACGCCATATACTTGAAAGGAAAGCCGCTTGAATATGTGAGCAATTACATATACCTGGGAAAACAACTATCATTCGATGACAAAAATGAAGAACTAGAGGTGGAGCGGCGTATCAACATGAGTTGGAAAAAGTTTTGGTCCCTGAAGGAAATCTTGAAAGGGGAATTCCCCCTTTACCTAAAGAAAATTGTGTTGGATACCTGTGTCCTACCTACTCTTACATACGGATGCCAAACGTGGACATTCAGCACCAAAACAAAAAATAAACTAATAACATGTCAAAAAGCAATGGAAAGAAGCGTACTAAAAATAAGAAAAATACAAAAAGTAAAAAGCGAAAAAATTAGACAAAAAACTAAAGTTATAGATGCCTTACAATATGCTTTAAAACAGAAATGGCAGTGGGCAGGACATATAGCAAGACGCACAGACAAAAGATGGACATTACAGACAACTATGTGGAAAGGACCAAGAGGAAAAAGAAGAAGAGGGCGCCCTAGAAAAAGATGGATAGACGATATAAAAGCGATAGCAGGAAGCGATTGGATAAGGAAAGCCATGGACAAACGAATTTGAAAGAAGCTGGAGGAGGCCTTTACCCGAGAAGGGGTTCCGATCATTGATACAGGAGAAAGCAACGTTAGCGAATAAAAGAAAATTAAAGAAATTCTACCCTAGTATATTTAGATATTAAATCGCATGTAATATATTATCATTATGGTTTGGAAATAAACAGGCTTTATTATTATTATTATTATTATTATTACTCAATGGATGTTCGCAACATAATAAGCCAAAATTTCATGTTGCAACAACAATGTCTTAGGGTCTGCGTTCATGAATCAGTCAGGGAAATAATTATATATTTATTTAAGGTAATTTAGGTATTGTTGCAAAATAGGGCAATAAGGATAATAAAGTTAACTTAGGATTGAAAAAAAAACTGTTTTCTAGTTCCAGCATATTACTACCGTTTTAACGCAACGAATTTGTATAGACTTAAAATTTATGAAGGCTTAAGTTAATTATAACTTTTGAATCTAATTTGTTCTTTGTAAGATAATAAACTGCGCATTTAACCTTAAGTAAATGGTAACTGGTTAATGGTAATGGTTAACTACATTTCTAGTCCAAATTAATTTTTTTATTATTTTTACGGTACCTATAAAATAATTAAAAATTAGATATGATTTGATTCAGCATTGTTAAAAGATATGTTTTTTTTATTGCTTAGATGGGCAGACGAGCTCACAGCGCACCTGGTCTTAATTGGTTACTGGAGCCCATGGACATCTACAACGTAAATGCGCCAACCACCTTAATATAAGCTCTAAGGTCTCAAGTATAGTTACATATTTATGTAACTAACCTAAACATAAGCCCTCTGAGTTTCTCGCCGGATCTTCTCAGTGGATCACGATTCCGATCCGGTAGTAGATTCATTCGCGAAGCAGCTGCCCTTGAGTTGTTACGTCTCCTTTGCAAGCATTCGCGTAGCTGTTAGCAACTCCCAACCCTCCTGGCTAAGCCTCTGCTCGCCCACCTGTCCTGGTGAAACCGGAGAGGCCTCCGAGCCACCAGTAATTGATCATTCATAAAAAAATTGAATTTATAGTAAATTCAGCTCTAAGTTGAAAATTCATTAAGCTAATCAGAAGCCTCAGGAGTTGGTACTTTGTAGCTCATTCCATATGTCAGTAAGTGCAACATTGCAGATAAAAGTTACATTGCATTGTCGTCTATTCTCCTTCACGCTTCAGTAATTTTTATTAAACTTAATCATCGAAAGGTCGGGACCCAAGATAATATTTTATTTAATAGTGACATACAAGCAATCGAAATGTCAGTAATTAAGATAAACTGCATTTCGTTGAATCACGAGAGAATTGGACGTAATATTTCATAGTCTTCATAGATTCACAACAAAAGGTTCTTTAAGTAACATTAATATTTTTTAGGACTGAGGAATTACTGGTAGCCCGGATGCCTTTCCAGATTCACCAGGTCGAGCAAAGGCTCAGCCAGGAAAGGTAGGATTTGCTAACAGCTGCCCGAGCGCCTCCAAGGGGGACCTAACAACTCAAGAGCAGCTGCTTCACGAATGAAACTGCTGGGAAGATCTGGGGAGAAAATCAACGGGCCGATACATGGGCAAAGTTACACGTCAAACTCTTTGCCGAGTTCGACGAGTACGGTTACCGGAGTCCCCAAGCTTGCTCCTGGTGTTAGAACTGAAGACGTCTGATGCAACAGTATATGGATCTGATAGATCTGTAAGGACGTATTTAGGGCGTCGACGGTGAATAGCTCCTGTGTGAGCAGGATTCGGGGAGTAGTCAGCAGCGGCAACGATAAGGCGATTATTATGACACATAACTTCGAAGTGCTGTTCCGACGCTGACTTCGNACCGGAGTCCCCAAGCTTGCTCCTGGTGTTAGAACTGAAGACGTCTGATGCAACAGTATATGGATCTGATAGATCTGTAAGGACGTATTTAGGGCGTCGACGGTGAATAGCTCCTGTGTGAGCAGGATTCGGGGAGTAGTCAGCAGCGGCAACGATAAGGCGATTATTATGACACATAACTTCGAAGTGCTGTTCCGACGCTGACTTCGTGTTTTCGAGGCCCAGATCGTCGTGTACGCGGACGTTCCTCACGAACCACGGAGCTCCCACGGCTAACCTGCAAAAATGAGATTGTAGGGTTTGGAGGGTGTCTATCTATGTGTGTGCAGAGCAAACACCAAACTCGCATAAGTCATGATGGGCCTTATGCGAGTTTTGTAAAGTGTCACCTTTTCCGAAGGGACAACTTAGTTACTACCGTATTCTATTTGAGAGTACCATTAAGCGGTAGTAAGACCGTTGAGAGAGCGCGTGTCCTTCTAAGAAATTAGACCATCTGGCATCTCGGACTTCGGCGATTCGAGATTTTTCGTCGCGTTGTAGGACAGGCATTCGAATACGAATTTCCTCGGTAGGATACCTATCAAAAGGAGGATACTCACTTAGCCGTGTAGCATGTAATGTATCTGATACTGTATCAAGTAAGTACGTGGGAACGAGACCACTGTGAGCCCTCACGCGTGGAGCGCAGTAAACTCGCAGATACCCACCGAGTGACGGTATCGCTGCGAACACAAAGGCGGCTCGCAGTGTGCCTGTGGACGGCGACACGACCTCTTGTGTAATGAGTACGTAGGCACGAGCTTCAAATGGACGTCTTCATTTTTTTTTTCCCATCAATGTTGATAGCCTTCAGGGGCTATTTCAGCTTCACCCTAACGTATAGGTGAGCTCACGGGGCTCAAGCCAGAAGTGTGGCTAGCATTGGCCCTAGCAAGAGCAATGCTTCGCAGAATCTACCACCGAATCGGAAACGCGACCCACTGAGAAGATCCGGCGAGAATTTTAGTGGGCTGTGTCTATGGGTTAATTCACTCGTCGAGCCCTTCGTCGCAAGCGACGGGTTCAACGAGGACGGTGACCGAAGCCTCCCGCGCTCTTTGTGGATACGGAATTAACCGATAGACCTTCTTCGAGAATATCGGCCTTGACGAGCTCGGCATCTAACTCATTCGGGAAGCCAGGACTGCACGGAATTCACGATCCTCCTGGCGTCCTCCGAACTTTTCATCTATGAAGGGGATGGGGGTGACCGAGCATTCACGTTGTGATGTATATATATTGCGATAATGTATACTTATATACTTATATATATTACTGTACATAATTTGGGTCCCCCACGAACATACATGCGTATATTTGATGTTATTTGCAATGTATTCGCAGACACTTAAGGTAAAGTGAGAAAACTGCAGAAGAGTGTTCAATTAAATTTAGGTTTTATGCAATGTTGTGATTTATATATATTGCAATAATAAATGGATGAATCCTGAAGATAACGAGAATGTAGAAAATTCAAACAAGGTGCAGGGTTATCTCGTCGTCATTCTTATAAATACTCGTACATCTCCCGGATCTACACATTCAGTATTTTAACTTGCACTCAAGACTATTACGAGAAACGTATTCAAAAATTTCAAGTAAGTTTTTTATGTTTTTTTATGTAAAGTTTTTATGAGGTCGAACTCTCAATTCTGTTGTATAACGGCTCTGCCAGTCTTCGGATCAGAATGACTGTACCGTGGCAGTAATAGGCAGGATAGTGGTACATACCCGTGCGAGCGTACAATACGAGTACGCTGACATGATTCTCAAAGAATACCTACTGCTGCTCATTCTCCCGTGAATTCCTTAGTCGCCCTTCAAAATACACTTGTGACACTTCCGACAACACGGCCAGACAAATAGTATATTGCTTCGTCGTAAAAATTCCTAGTTTTAGTTCTGAAAATATATTCTGTATAGCTGACCCGGCAGACTTCGTAGTGCCTCAATCGATAAATAAAAGACCTAAGCTTTTGTTTAAAATAAACTTAAAACAAAAAAAAAGGAAAAACAAAATTATTATTTTTATTTAATTCCGAGCATTTTCATATTTTTTTAATCATTTTAAACCATCCCTGGACTTCCATAAATAATTCAAGACCAAAATTAGCCAAATCGGTCCAGCCGTTCTCGAGTTTTAGCGAGACTAACGAACAGCAATTCATTTGTATATATATAGATTTCAGCGTATTAAAATTTGTACAATGTATTATTTCCTAGAACAACATAATATTTTGTTTGAAAGAATGAAATACGTTTGCCTTCTCTTGTACGTTTTCGCGGAATATTTTCTATCTTGAAACTTGAATAAATTCACATGAAATCCCGAACGTTAGACAGAATATTGAGGTAGGCTTAGCATATTATTCAAATTTAATTCGACTCAGCGAACCGTTGCATTCTTGAAATTGATTCAGTTGGTCTGGCTTCAAACTTTGAGAAATAAAGAGGTAAGAATTGAAAAAGTTGAATCTTCGTTTTAGATTTTCTTAAGGTGATTTTTGTTCGTTGATAACGGACTTGTATTATTAAAATATTCCTTGAAAAATTAATACAGCACAAAGAACACTAAATATTAAATATTAACACTAAATATTAGCTAGCGCAGGACTTGTGGCCGTCTTTATTCTAGCGACAACATAGTTTATATTGTTTCTTTAATATTTTTACAGAATGAAAACGTTGATTTTTATAATGCTGGTGGCATGCGTTGCGTCAGCAGCGTACGGTGCTTTGGTATGTGGTACAGACTACTGTGAAAAAAATCCATGCATACAGCCACCACTTGTTTGCCCTAAGAACACTGAGCATCGCGCCAGACACGCTGGAAAGTGTGCTTGTTGTCCCGCTTGTGTAACTTTACTTGGTAAGTTTACTACCAGAAATTAAAAATCAGATCAACGAGATTAAACGATCCCTAGCTACACTCGAGGAAGATTGCCAACCAGGTGGACGGACATGGTCAAGGAGGCCACAAACACCAGCGTCCCGGGCGCCATTAAGCAGGCCGAATGCAGGCAACATTGGAGGAAGCTGGTGCAAAAGCAGGACCAAGATGGTCACGACCCTCAGTACTGAGGAAACGACAAAGAAGAAGAAGAAGCTACACTTTTATCGTGTGCTCTGTCGGTGTATATCGGAATACAAACATAAACTAGTACATCTTGCGTTAGGACATGACGATATCTTCAACAATTTTTTTGACTCCAAATAAGAGTTAGATTCTAAAACCGGAATAGTTGCCAACATCATTAACCACCAGAACAAAAAGACGTTTCTTGCCAAAAAATTATTATAATCATATTTATTACAAAGCTTTGTTAAAGTCAGATTGTCTTCATCTGCCGATTCCTATTATTTTTTAAAGTTTACAACTTGTCAGTGCCAATATCAGAGTATAAACTAATTTTTTCATACTTAATTTTTCTCCCATATATTTTTATAGGTGAAGGTGCAACTTGCAAGATTTATTCGAAGGAACTAGGCGAAACCCCCTCCGCTGTGTGTAAGGAGCCTCTCAAATGCATCAAAAGAGTTTGCACTAAGCTTGTGTAGTCGTTTTCATTAGCAGGAAAATATAAGCTTGCAATACTTCTATCACGACCTGTTCGAAATATAATTTGTGTACGGAATAAAATTGATAATAATATGCACTGTAGTAAATATAGAAATTTGAAACTAAAAAATATGAATTTTTAATAAACCGAACAAAAACGAAATGAAATAGTATGTATTATACAGGTAACCCTGTCAGGATATCGGGACAATGTATGTAACTCGTCGAGTATAATTATTATATTCTCATAAGTCTCTAATAATTGTGCAAATTTGGAGACTAGGGTTAGACAAATTTATTAAAAATGACTTATTGGTAATAAAAAAAAAATTCAAAGTCACATTCCCCAAATTTGATATAGAAGATATTACAATTTGGCCAACTGTTCGTTATAAGTAGATTATTTTTTAAATTAGTTGCGACGATATTATGTTATTTAACTAATTTCATTATTGGTTTCACAAAAATAATTCTTCGAAATGTAATTTTCTCTCAGTCATAATGTTTTCCTCACTTGTACTATTTAACTTAATTAAATTAACTTAACATTATTATTGTCATATTACCGATGTGTTCCTGATTTTGGAAATAAATACTAACAGTTAATATTTTCATACGAGTATAATAAACATTTAAATTGTTTTATTTAATGCGATTTTTCATTATTTCATCAAAACGATGATTCAAACAGAATTATTTACTATGGATCATTTTCTCCGTTATCGCCCATCAAGAATGCACTTATTTCTGTATTTTTACGGCAAAAATATAACAATTGTTGAGGCCACAATATTAAGATCGTATTTATGATTGAGTTTTTGGAATAATTATCCCAAAACAGGCAAAGTGCCATGAAAAAAGAGGAGAGAAAATGACCATGGAATCAATTTATATTTGTTAATTTTATAAAAAATAATTTGCACCCGTTGTTGAATATACTCTTCAAAAGTGGTAAATAAAGCATTCGTTTCAATTTGTTTTGCGTAAAACTCCGAAACATCACTAATTCTTTCTATAAATGCGTATACTGTCCTCCGTACTATCATATGAATTAATTATATATATTTGATATTGTGATTTGTTTTGTGCATCCATAAATAAAAATGAATAAATATATATTATATACGAGGTGTCAAATCACAATCATTACAGTACACTACCTATTAACTAAATCATACAAATAGTACCTAAAACTGATCTAGATTGCAATCTAAATGCACTCAGTAAAACCCATATTAATGTACATAGAGAGCGAGCTTCCAAATTAGTTAATGAAAAAAAGAAAACAAAAAACAAGAAGTATTCACATGCATAGTGACACATGTATAGTGATATTCACATGTATAACTACAATACAACCAATACAAACATTCATCCGTTTCCAGGGTATAACATATGTTATGTTATTTATATAATATTATGTTTAAAACGTCATTACGATGTTTCTTAATCGGTTTTATTTTAAATGTTATTCTCTTTGTTTTTTCTTAAAATCTAAGTCCCTTTTATTAAGCCAAGTGATTTCTATGGACACTGAGCATCGTCATCCAGAGTCTTAACGATTTACCAATCCTCTTGAGTACTTGAGGGACCTAAAGGGGAATAACTAAGGTTTCAGTAGATATTCACAAATTTATGAAAGAAAAACAAAACAATGGAGGACGCCTCATTTTCCAAGGTGAGTTTTTTCGTGTACTGTGTAGGCCCGTAAATCTTTTATGGTTTTTCATTGTTTACGATGCGCCATTCCGTTCCGCCAGCTGTGGCTTTATTGGTCTTTAACTCTCAACTTATTGTATATCAGTGACATATTTATTAGGAATATCTTTAAGCCTTAAATATTTATGTTATGCATGAATAGTACATTGTGCACCAAGGGAAAAAAGTTGGACATTTCCTCCCGCGTGTAAAATTGCAAACACGCGTTTTTTCCCGCGGTGCACATACTATTTTTTCGCCTACCAGTCCGAAAGTTCGACAATGTAAAAAATTTAGCACCCGTGAAGTACCGAGCCGGGGTCCAGGGGCGAAGCCATGGCGGGGGCTTGGTGGTGCCCCCCCCCCCTCATAAAACAACAATTTAACTGTTATTTAATTTTTAAATAAACTACTACTAATCGAATAAGAACTGTCTGATAAACTCATCTTTGTTTAATACTTCACTATTAAATTTTATTGCCTTTTGTTTATTTCACTTTTACACTAAGCACAATATTGCAAATTACCCGAGCACAACAATAGCGAAGAATTTTAGGAGCATGAGAGCAGACGTAGACACTAACGCGCATGCGCACTTGTCAGTACCCAGGGAGGGAAAGTAAGATTTTCTTCCCTGTACAGCGGGACGATAACCGAACTTTCGGCGTAGCTAAGATAAATTTTTTATTCCAATTATATTGGCAATATGACGATTGACCCATACTCCGTCGAGACCTTCTTGATCTGACGTATCAAGGTGAACGGTGGTATTCACGATATGATATCTATTTGCTCCAGTGACTACTTAACACCGGTTGGGTCGGAAACTAGTCTCGCAAACTAAAAATAATGCGTTAAGAACTTACGTCGATTGTGCACTTGAAAATAAAAATTTTAATGTAAATGTTTAAAATGATAAAATACATATACTCGTAATAGAACCAAAAACGGCCATCCGTTTTTTGCCGTTGTTTTTCCGTTTTCCGCACTCAGAAATGTCGCTCCCTTGGCACGTTGCAATAGATATGCTACGAAAGATAATATAATCCAAGGAGACTTGACATGAGGCGGGCGGGCGGTTGTAAAACTAATACCAAATCCCTATGGAGCATGATAAGAGAACATGCTGCACCGACCCAACATAATGTGGGATAAAGGCAAGAAGAAGAAGTTAGGTATGCATAATAATATGCATAATAGACTGAAAGATTGTTTACAGCAATGAGTGAGGAAGGACATGAAATGGTAACCGCACACACTCGGCACACGGTAGGCAGCGGCTTGGCTCTAACCCTGGTATTGCTAAAGTCCATGGGAGACGGTAAGCATTCACCATCAGGTGGACCGTATGCTCGTCAGCCGACAAGGGCAGTACATTAAAAAAACCACTTGAATATAATTAAGTCGAAGCAGGAAGAAGAACACACACACACACACTAAATTTTAAATTTAATATTCTATCTAAAAACCACAAGCATTACATTATTAAGCGCTTTAAGCTGACTATAAAAGTAATTAACAAACCACACTTTCATTACTGTTGCGTTTTTTAATTAAAAAATAAACAAAAGCCAAGCCAACCTGAAATTACTTTTGAGGGCTTTGATCCTTTGTAAGATTTCAACGTCGACCGAAACTCATTTTCTTTTATTTATTTTAAAACGTGGTACTTATCAAAATAAAGGATGACAGGGGCCAACTCATAATTCCATAATCACACTTCCGTTACGAAATGAATTATTAACTCGACCCTTTTTATCTATACCAGCTTTTAAACATTCAACACATGAAGTTAATTATAATAGACCCGAGAAAACTGATTAAGATTAAACTGAACTATCCCTAAGATTAGATTTGTGATTTCGATTCAATATTTTTAAGTGAAGTAAAAACTTTAACGCTTCATTAAATACCAAAATAATTCCGACCTCTTATCACACAGGTAGGCTAACTATTTCTTGTAAAAGATTGTTCCTTGAAAGGAAAAAGCTGTGTTTTATTGTATACTAGCGACCCGCCCTCGCTTCGCTTTGAAAACATTAAATTTTATTATTGATAGGCGAGTCCCGCCATGTTGCGCGCGGTACGACAATAAGTGCGGGTGACGCCGCGGGGCGAAGCTAGTCTAAAAAAGTAGCCTAAATTACTCCTTATATCATCAGCTACCTATTAGTGAAAGTCTCATCAAAATCGGTCCAGCCGTTCTAGAGGTTAGCCGGAACAAACAGACAGACAGACAGACAGAAAGACAGACAGACAAAAATTGTAAAATATGTTATTTTGGTATATGTACCGTATATATATTATATGCATGTAGTAAAAAGCGATTATTTCAATAGTACAAACAGACACTCTAATTTTATTTATATGTATAGATTGCTCTAGATGGGTAGATAGCCTGATGTTATTGGTTACTAGGCTAAATAAACATGCCACCACGTAAATGCCATCACCTGTCTTAATACATAAGGTCGAATTCACAATGGTACTGTTTAATGGCTGTGTCTCTCTTCTATGCATGACTGCTTAATGGCCAAAAAGGACAACGTTGATGCCTACCACCATAGATTATACACTTAATATATGCCTACCACTTTAGAGTCAGAATAAACCTTACCACTACTAAATACTACTAATGAAATATTTATTCAGGGTGAAAATAACTAGTTAGGTCATAAGTATTGTCACACAGTAAAAACTTTTCTTTTAGAATGCTGGCCACAAAAAAGTTTATTGAATTCGAATTACGAATTGTTCATGAAAATAAAAATGTATACTTTTAGAATTTTACTCATTTTAAAATATGGAGTGGACGCTTAAAGAAGACCGTGTTGCAGTTATTGCGTTGCATCGTTGCGGTTACGCGCCAATTCAAATTTTTAACATACTGAAAAATTTGAATATAACCAAAAGATTCGTTTATCGTACCATCAAACGATACAATGAAGACTCTAGTGTAGATGACAGGTCAAGAAGTGGTCGCCCTCGGTCTGTTAGGACTCCAGCAGTGATAAAAGCTGTGAAGGCGCGAATTCAAAGAAATCCCAAACGTAAGCAGAAACTGTTGGCCCTTCAGATGGGGTTAAGCAGAACCACGGTGAAAAGGGTGTTAAATGAAGACTTAGGGCTTCGGGCATATCGAAGAAAAACAGGACATCGTTTGAATGCTCGTCTAATGGACCTGAGACTGAAGAGATGCCGCGCTTTGTTGAAGCGGTACGCGGGAAAAAAATATCGGGAAATTCTTTTTTCGGATGAAAAAATTTTTACCGTAGAAGAGAGCTACAACAAACAAAATGATAAGGTGTACGCACACAGTAGTGAAGAAGCGAGCAACCGTATTCCGCGTGTCCAACGAGGTCATTTTCCATCCTCGCTCATGGTATGGTTGGGAGTTTCTTATTGGGGCTTAACAGAGGTACATTTTTGTGAGAAAGGTGTAAAAACGAATGCAGTTGTGTATCAAAATACAGTCCTGACGAACCTTGTGGAACCTGTTTCTCATACCATGTTCAATAACAGGCACTGGGTATTCCAACAAGATTCGGCGCCAGCTCATAGAGCGAAGAGCACACAAGACTGGCTGGCGGCGCGTGAAATCGACTTCATCCGGCACGAAGACTGGCCCTCCTCCAGTCCAGATTTGAATCCGTTAGATTACAAGATATGGCAACACTTGGAGGAAAAGGCGTGCTCAAAGCCTCATCCCAATTTGGAGTCACTCAAGACATCCTTGATTAAGGCAGCCGCCGATATTGACATGGACCTCGTTCGTGCTGCGATAGACGACTGGCCGCGCAGATTGAAGGCCTGTATTCAAAATCACGGAGGTCATTTTGAATAAACTTTAGTGTCATAAGAATCTATGTTTTGTTAAGTTCATTTTGGTATATGAATGGTTACATAATGAATAAACTTGTTTCAATTATTTTACATTAAACATGTGACAGAATTTATGACCTGACTAGGTATTACCTATTTAATTTATTGCATAAATACGTGAATGATCTCATGTTCCACCTCGTGCTAAATACCGGACCCCATGAGCTTCACAACGTGAATACCAATATAAACCTTAAAATATGAGGTGGAAGTGATTAACTGTATTGCTTATCTGCTGTCTCAACCTTCAACCCTGACTGCGTTACTGCATCGAATTAGAAATACACAGGATATGCCTGTGAGTGACGCATTTACGTTGTAGATATCTGTGGGCTTCAGAAACCACTTAACACCAGATGGGCTGTGAACTCGTCCATCAATATAAGCAATAAAAAAATGGTAGAGGCTCAATAAACAACATAAATGATTATATATTTTAATTTACCAGATAAGCGTTCTTGCCTTAGTTGATAGTAAAATCAAAATGTGGAACTGATAAAAAATCGTTTCATTAGGCGTTAGTTCAAACGATAACACAGCTACGGATAATGTTACTTAAAATTATTTTCCTGTCCGATTATTCTATTTGTATAAAAATTGTATTAAGTGCGTCGCGGAAACATTTAGGCACAAATTAAATGGTGCATTTCTCATGTATTAGTGTTGTGTTATTTGAAAATAGTAATGATATTTCTAATGAGCGAAGCTTATCTGGTGTGAAAGGTTATTTTTGTATCTAACACCGGTACGTTCAGTTCATTTCTAGTGCAAGTCGTAAACAACCGGATTGTTCCGTAATAGAAAATAAATATACCCTCAATATTAAGTGTACGTGATATTGTTGGTTGAAGTAGTGTTGATTAGAAACATAGTTTTTCTTATAAATTTTTCTTGTACTTTATTTAAACAATAGCACTCTGCTCGTTTGTGTGTGCACTACGTAAGTAAACGTTTAGTTTTTTTTTTATCTTTTACATATCTCACAAAAAGAATATGCTTAATTTTCTTATTATTTTTGTACGTTTTATTTTTGTACGTTATTCATCAAAAGCATCTCTTGTTTTTTTTTATTCTACAATTTAATGCAAGTTCTTCTTAAAAGTTTAATCATCTATTATTTTGAAAGCAGTTTCTAATGTAGAATAATTAAGACTAATAAAAACTTTGATATCCCCGACTTGTTCGACAATTCCATTTTACTCGGGTTTTAAAACTCTTGCAACTTCTCAATGTTTTGTGTATGTGTTTTAGACTAAGCANGCATCTCTTGTTTTTTTTTATTCTACAATTTAATGCAAGTTCTTCTTAAAAGTTTAATCATCTATTATTTTGAAAGCAGTTTCTAATGTAGAATAATTAAGACTAATAAAAACTTTGATATCCCCGACTTGTTCGACAATTCCATTTTACTCGGGTTTTAAAACTCTTGCAACTTCTCAATGTTTTGTGTATGTGTTTTAGACTAAGCAAATTATTACCCGAATAGTCTTTAACTGATTTCTGTAATCCATGAAGACTACAGCGCTAATTGGAGTAGCAGCAACTTATCCTACGTATTTTTTGGTGAAGCAGTTATTCGGTCGGATAAGAAGGATGGTGCAGCCGCAACACATTAAAATTGACACTTAGACCTCATATCTTCAGGTGGCTAGCGTCATCCACGTTATGCTGGATGGTCTACTCATTATGACCGAATACCCAATTAGCCATGAGCTCCTCTGTCTACTTTCAATAAGATATAAAAACTTCGTACTGACTTTGTACTGGTGAAAAAAAAAAAAACATATCTAACACCAGAAAGCTCATTGGTTGAAGCAACCTGCGTGAAGTACGTACTCGCCAGCCCGCGTGTGCAAACGCTTAGGAATAAAATAGGCTATATTAGCCATACATGAGTACACCGTGATTATTCGAAACGGAATTAACGTGGCCATTGCCGAAATCGGCCAAGGAATATTGAATTACTTCGAATTGAATCCAAATGTTTTGAACTTCATCAATATACTTATAAATCATTATAATATCAACTTCATCACTACAGCTTTGCATTGATCTTATTAACTCTCAGACACAGCCCACTGAGTTTCTCGCCGGATCTTCTCAGTGGGTCGCGTTTCCGATCCGGTGGTAGATTCTGCGAAGCACGACTCTTGCTAGGGTTCGTGTTAGCATCGTCGTCAGGTTTGAGCCCCGTGAGCTCACCTACTAGTTACGGTTACGCTGGAATAGCCTCTAGGATACCAGCTTAGGTAGACAAAAAAAAAAAAGCATGTTTTTAAAACAGCATCACGGTCATAAAAATTAGAAATATTAATTTTAAATTCATTTTGTTTTCAGTCATACTCATGTCAACTTCAAATACAGTTCGTCATAGAAAGAGGGCGGAGAATTATGACAGTAATCAAAAAAATATCATTAAGCAGAATGGTGATGTTGATTCAGAGTTTACGACCAGGGAGTCGCCACTGACGGTTCTTATAGACACTTCTCCACATATAAGAGCCCTGTACCATATTTTCGTAGTCATTTTGCTGATGCTGCTGTTCGACACCATGATTTATGACCTTGTGGAAAGAGGAAAGTAAGCTAAACTAAATTTTTTTTACTGATAAAAAATAAGTCACCTACATTTTTAGAACGGGCTTAAATTTTTATCACATATTCATCTTTCTATTACCTCATCTTGTCTCAAGGTATGCAGTGACATCCGCTTTATGGAGTCTAAGGGTTCCGGTAATAGTTTAAGAGGAATTTCCGGTGCCGAAAACTTTGAAATACTTTTACATGTACTTAAAATTCTATTGACGCTCTCTCCCTTAAAACCCCTCATACAGGGCACAAAATGAACAGATCGATCTCGGAGTGAAGATACCCATACAAAAGTTGAAATACAATTATTAATTTTTTTCCTTTCACCTCCGAAATTAGTTTAATTTTCGTTTATATAATGATTTAACAATTAAGTGAGCTTCGTCATAGTTTATGGAAAAATGGATATCAAATGAAAAACGTTGGTAATTTTAAAAAGTCCTAATAATTATTTGTGAGGATTAAACGAAAAATAAGCTATCTTTTGTACATCTAGTGCAAGACAGCAAAAATTAAATACACTCCATTTCGCCCAATACAGCAAAAATAATGGAATAAAACGATGTAGAGAATATATTGATAGATAAAAGAAATAAATCCTATACATTTTTTTTTACTTTAGACAACCGTAAATATTCGATGTTCATTTAAGTTGCTTGTTCGTGTAAAATATTTGATACTGTCTACAATGATCTTAAATTTTAACAATACAATTTATTACGAGTTAAACATTATCTATATATATAAAAATGAATTGCTGTTCGTTAGTCTCACTAAAACTCGAAAACGGCTGGACCGATTTGGCTAATTTTGGTCTTGAATTATTTGTGGAAGTCCAGAGAAGTTTTAAAAGGTAGATAAATATGAAAATGCTCGGAATTAAATAAAAATAACAATTTTGTTTTTCCTTTGATGATGATTCCTTTGATGGATGTGTCCCCCGTCGGACGGATTCCTTTTGTTTGTTTTAAATTTATTTTATACAAAAGTTTAGGTCTTTTATTTTTCGATTGAGGCACTACGAAGTCTGCCGGGTCAGCTAGTCTCATATATTTTTGTGTGAGCTGTTCAAAATTATGACATTTCTCTTGTGTTAAATACTTGCGGGGGCATGCAAAAGTTATGCATACTTTTTGGAAGAATGCGCCGCTCGTGAATTCCACATTAGAAGACGTTTTAGCAAGCTTTAAATAGCAAAACACAATGTTGTTCGTTCTTACCCCGAAAAAACGTATGACGGTTGCTTCGCTATACCATTATCGAAACATATATAATAGTACTAGTTCTTACTAGCATTACTAATCCTTTTTAATACGCTTTTATTAGCTTCAGACGTATGTTTGTAACGGAATCTTTGAACATTATTTTGATCCCCTTCAAAACGTCGGATTAACTCGAAATTTGGTATTGTACTTATTAAGGACCGATGACAATTAAACATTTAAAAAAAATTTGAAAACATTACATTTAAAAAATTGAAATTCAACTAAAAAATGAAAAATTAATAATAGTTTCATATAGGTTCAGTTTCATTTTCAGTAATAAAATATTTTTTTCTTACACTATTTTTAATTCAAATTTATTAAAATTTCTTTTCTATTTTTTAGTTGGATTTTCTATAAAAGCGTATTTTGTTAATATTTTTAAACAATTTTTTTCTATCTGAATCGTTTTTATACACATAAATATAATATAAGATACCTAAATAAAGTTTACCTTAGACAATTTTACATTATTTTTAAATAAAATCAATGTTTATATATGTCTACATTTTATTTCTTAAATTTAAATTACTGTAATACTCCTAAATCTACTTACAAACTGTAAGCTAGAGGTGATTCAACTTGAGCAGACTTAATTGATCACACCACAAAAGCAAACGAAACTAAGTGATCCCAATGTCCAATACACATTAAGAGCTTAAAGAGATCCACAAACACTTGGGATTAGATTCCTAAACTAAATTACATTCTCAGATTAAATGTTGCCGTTAAGAATCTTGCGATTTCGATCCCGCACTAGTTCTACGCTCAAAATTAATTGTACAACCTATAAATATTAATGTTAAATACAAAAATTTTGTTTTCTATAATCGTGAAATTGTTCACGATGGGAATTTGAATAAATAATCATAATGGAAATTGTTCCATTATGATTATTTATAAATTATAGCCATAGTCATTTCGATTACAAAAAAGGCATGAGTTAATTAAAATTTCAACGAATAACATCTTAGTCGAAAAAACGTAAAGTAGATACCTATAAACATCGTCAGAAATAATAAAATTAAAATAATAAACACGAGATTAAGCCGCAACAATAGTGTTAATTGTGTCAACTAATCGTGAAGACTGGAGAAAATATTGATGAGAATCGAATTAGGTGCCATAGGCTGTACCATCCTGTATATTTCTGCCACGAATCAGTCATTTTTTCCGTTTTAAAGGGTGGGACAGTCCTTATACAATACTATTGAAACTTTGGCCTATGTCTGAAAAAAGGATTATGGGCTTCGTCTTACCATCTATCTGAAAATAATGATATTCAGTTGTTAAATCTTATCTTATGAATTCACTTCAAAAGTAAGCTTCGTATTGAATAAAAAATACATAAATACGTTTGATATTTTTCAGAATAAATATTGGATTAAATGTGATTATCTCCGGTTTTGGCGACATAAAAAGAGGAGCTTTACTCTGGCTGTTTGAATTCTCTGTTGTCCTTGCATTTTACCCGGCTTTAAGAATATACGCGGCGGCGAGGAAACTATTTCGCAAAAATACAGGTATTTATTATGATATTTTTCAATAGCTATTGTAATTAATTCTAGGCTTAAAGGGCTAAGGCTACTACATATACCACAGCACAGTATTTTGTCGTAGGCTATGGTAACAAAAAACACGTATACGAGATTCGTACTGGGAAAGAAAGGATGATTATACAACAATATTAAAGAAGTAGTATTTTTTTTGTATTGCACTACTCTGTCCTTGAAAAACTTCATTTAATAAATTGAATTCGGTTTTTGTTTTCTTATACGATGCAGTAAGTACAATTTGTATTCAATGTCGATATCTGTTATCAGGAATGAACTCTTACAAATAAAAGTTTCCATTTCACTGTAACGATTTGATATCGGGGTCAATATTGACCGATTTGATATCAGTAAATATCTACTTATTTATCACAGTAGTAACAAAATTGAGTATAATTTAAAACAGTTTCCAAAAAAAAGGTTTGGAAGACTTAGGTTTACATCTTTTTTTTTTCAAATAGTTTGTAAGCAGACTTTTGGTAAACTGTAATAGTCTTATTGGTAAACAACTAAGTAGGCAGTAGCAACTACTCTAATAGTTCTGTCTTCGCACTAACTAACTATCGCCGTCGAGCCGGGGCAGAATAGGGATGTCACCGGTATTTTGAACCTCAATTATTTTCAGTCCCCTGCGTATGCATCATAATTGCATCAGACATTTTTTCTTACAAGACCAGACAAATTATATGTAATATAAATACCACGGAACTTTTAAAATTTTAAACCAAACGTAATCGATATGAATTTAACGCAACTTATAACCCTGCCTAGTTCGAATATAGAGAATATTAGGTATGTAGGCTCACATATCATCTTACCTATGCTTTAAACATCTATAAATCTCTAATTATTATATATCACATAAGACCTTATTCTGCACATTGATGACGATTTTTTAAGCCAACGAGCACACAGCCCACATGGTTATGAGCGCTAAAAATTAATTTGAATAGGTTACTTGGAATGCAAATTTGGAAAAATTCATAAATTTAAATATTTTACTTCAATACGACTTAATACCGTTCGTACTAGCGCTTTGGATACGAGACAATAGCCTAAAAACCCATTTCATAATACCTTGAATATTCCACGTCATTATCTTGAATATGCTTTTTTGTGTCACAATATGAAAGAGCTTTTCAGAATGGAAACATTCAAATTAAAGGAGCGTCGTTTTTTAAGCCCCTACAAACCTCTGTAAGCGTACGAATGAAAGTCATCAATTATTAAATGTTATTAGAAAGGCTTTTATGTTATTATCTAAAATATAATATGTTGTTTCATATGCACTGGAGTGCTTTGTCTTTAGTTTCTTAAACTTATCTAACATCAGTATTTTAGTATCGCTTTCGACTAGATAAAAATCGTAATCTTGCTGAAGCTCCTAACTGCCAATTAATAATGATTGCTTGAAAACACCAACCCTTAATACCTCAATCAGTTTCGACGATTACGAACATTTAAGACTGAAAATGTCATTTAGATTGTATGATATCATTAGAATAAATAGGCACATTTGCCACGTGTGACATTTTGGATATAATTATCCTTTGTGTGCTACTAATGGCACTATTAATATAAATGTGTTATTCACTTGTGATGGTGAAACTTACAGAATTTCATCTATGATATAGCTTAGTTATTTAAAATTATTACAGGGAGCCATTGGCATGAGTGCATCTTCACGATACATATGGTCAAAGTTGCAATTGTATTTAGAGGTGATTAAGCAGTGATGCGTTTCGGTTTGAAGGGTGGGGCAGCCGTTGTAACTATACTTGAGACCTTAGAACTTATATCTCAAGATGGGTGGCGCATTTACGTCGTAGATGTCTATGGGCTCCGGTAACTACTTAGCACCAGGTGGGCTGTGGGCTCGTCCATGCATCTAAGCAATAAAAAATAAATAAATAAAAGGTAATTGTCCTAGCCTTCGAACACGGAAAGCATAATTCCTTACGTAGGAAAAGCTTACGGATACGTGCTAACATTACACTCTTTAACTATTTTTACGTGTTATTGATTTTTAATTCATGATGTTCCTTCCTATTTCCTTCGTAAGTTGTACGTAATTCGTAAGATAGATAGATCGTAGATCTTTTTATCTAGAAAAATACGTCTCAGCCTCTGTACCGAAGAACAAATTCGGAAAACTAGAATAGGTTTAACTATATTTTCAAGAGAAGCCGACATTTGGAAAATTCAGACCGTCCTCCTACCAAACAATCTCCATTCGGTAGTCTTACCTTTGTCATTACCTATAGTTTTATCACTTAATACTAGCTAATACAAATACATCAAACGTTATCAATAAAATCACGGAAGTTTATAAAGACAATTAAAAACATTGCCTACATTTCCGTAGGTAAGTCATACGCATTTAAAAGCTGCTTACTATCTTTGGATCAAGAAACGTTTCTTTTGATATAAAATAGTAAAATTTCAAAGCTAAAGGCACTGAGCTGCAGCTTCATCCTTTTGTTGCAATTCGCACAGAGCCGAGCTCTCAGCGTACCCTCCAATTAATCGCTTGGCTAACCATGTGCATGAGCTATTAACACGGTTTAAATAAATACATGTTGTATAAAAAAATTACTTTATTTTATCTTTAAACAAAATTACAAGTGACTTATGTTATAACATGAAATTACTGATAGATACCTACATAATATTTTTGGCTATTATTTTAAGCTTCCTAAAATTTATAATCTGCGTACTGATTAATTGGATCCGGAAATAATCGCGAAAGATTTGTTGCAATGTGATTACTTCACGTGGTGACAAAACAGAGACAATTTAAAAAATTATATTGAAATTATATTTAAAAAGTCGTTTCCTTATAATATAACACAATTAATTATGGACAGCACAATATTAACAAACCGGTGGTAGGACGTCTTGTGAGTCCGCGCGGGCAGGTATCACCACCGTGCCTATTTCGGCCGTGAAGCAGTAATGCGTTTCGGTTTCAAAGGTGGGGCAACCGTTGTACTGTAAAAACTGAGACTTAGAACTCATGTCTCAAGGTGGACCGTGGCATCCACCTTGAGACATAAGTTCTGAGTTTTAGTTTTAGAATACAATAGCTTCCCAACCCTTCAAACCGAAACGCTGTGCGACGCCCTACCATCAGTAATTAAATTTTTATTTATTTATTGCTTAGATGGGTGGACGAGCCCACCTGGTGTTAAGTGGTTACTAGAGCCCATAGACATCTACATCGTAAATGCGCCACCCACCTTCACCATCACCAACACCCACCTTCACCATCACCACCACCAATTATAAATTAGTCTTCTTAGACGCTGTCTAGATTTGCTTGTTTTAGATACGATAATACTATTTATCAATACAATTAGGTAGGTACATACTGCTACGATGATCACTTGTAAGATCGAAATCGGCCGAATAGCGTAGAAGTTATTATAAATTTAGATGTAAAAATGAGGTGAAAAACTGAACTCAGCAAAGAAATTAATTAAAAACGAACATTTAAGTGATAAATTTAATCGTCTTGAAACAAAGTCTTAAGTTTAATAACATTTCAAAAAGTTTTAATTAGCTATCATGTCATTTGTTTGTTAGGCGAACAAACAAGAAAAGGATTTTAAAATAATTTCTACGCGGTCGAATTAACATTTCTAATTTAAACTTTTACCGAATCGAATCAATGTGATTACTTTGCTTATTTCAGAGGTTTACGGTTGTATTAAAAAGTTTAAAAAAACACAGGTGTTCGTGACAGTCTATCTAAACTGGGGGTTATTGGTTTGATCGCCGTGGAAATGGTATTAATCGGGGTACCCATTGTGGACTTGGGAAGGAGACATCTAGCGTTGGCATCTTCGGCAGTTGTAACATGTGAAATGGTAAGCTTGAAGTTTAATAAATAAAATTTTGCAAACGTTAAACATACATTCATAAATACATAACTGTTTTATTCGTTAACCTACAGCTTTCTCTATCTCGCTGTCAAAATAGCTGCAAAATGTAGGACTCTAACAAAATTATTACGTTAGTAAATTATAGATTCTCGTAAGCACCTATGAACTTAGCTAACTCACTCAACTGCAAAGACCAAATACAGTAGACATCTAGTTTCTAGACATTATCGATCTAAGATCTTGGCTGTACAATTTAGCAGGTCCGCCAATGGATGTGCGATATATAAGTACTAGGTATAAAATTGCATACAGCATCATTGAAAATGGATATCACGTAATTCACACTTCGTAATTGTGTAATGAACAAGCAAAAGTATTCGGTATTTTACAAAGACTTAGTAAAAATAAGGAGACCTTTAAAGTGAAATGTAACATAAATCAGCTGGTTGAAACCCTTGTCAGAGAGCGTGCCTAGCGTCAGTTAATCACGGGGAACTGCTACTGACGAAGCATCATCAACGGATATTCATTCACAAAAATATTTACGAGGATGATTTTTATAACTTTACGAGCTGCTCATCAAAGTTTATTGGAGTTTACTCCTTTAGAATCGATTTACATATATAGGCCCGGGGTATGAAAATTATGGGGACCAAAATCGTACTAGCATGTCACACGAAATGCGTTATGCGCCTGATTGCGCATGTCACACGAAATGCGTTATCGCAGGTGACGCCGGGCTGCTGCGCCGGCAGTCCGCCACAAAGCCTCGTACTGATCGCGCGTTTCTCTCATTATTGTATTTTCATATATTTGTTAGTCGTTTGTTTTGTGTCTCGTTAATTTGTTAATAATCTGTAGTGTATCGTGTTGTCGTAATATAGAACTATTTCTCGTATTGTTTCGTTTAATTTTTTATATCCAGTAAACTCCAGTCGTGCGTCGGAGCGGACACACACACTTTTTTTTAAGGACTTTAGACTTAAAAATAATTAGAGAGGACAAGCTAATGTTGTCCAAAGATATAGCTACTATATAACCAAGTCTAGAGCATCGAATCTATTGTAGTACTGAAAATGAAACCAGCGCCCACGTCATTAATCAACATCGTAGTATAACAATGGTGATACATTAGACCCCCCTAATCGGCAAAAAACCATAATATATTCGTTTACTTTTCACTTAACAATACATGTAATAGTTTATATCTTATAGTTTACCTACCTATAAAACTTATGAAAATGTATATGTTTTTAGACTACTTCAAAGTAATGTTTAAAACACTAATTCTGTTGCTTTCAATACAATTCAATTACTTTCATTTAAGAACAAAACTTAATGTAATTCCACAACCTCTTAATAAACATTTATTAACAAATCAATAACGACAAGACGGAGAGCCAAAAACATCCTTTGACTGTTAATTGATTGAACTTTGGAGATCTTTTGAAGTGTGACATAAATGAAATTCATTAAATTTGGATTTAATTAGGAATCTCGTCTCACAAAACCAATTTACTAAATCAATATATATATATAAATATATTTTTTTCATGCTTAGATGGGGGACGAGCTCATGGGCCACCTGGTGTTAAGTGGTTACAGGAGCCCGTAGTCACCTATAACGTAAACGTCGCCACCTACCTTGATATATGAGTTCTAAGGTCTCCGTTTTTACAGTACAACGGCTGCCCCGCCCTTCAAACCGAAACGCATTACTGCTTCACAGCAGAAATAGGCAGGGCGGTGGTACCTACCCATGCGAACTCACAAGACGTCCTACGTCCGCCAGTAATTATGCAAATTATAATTTAGCGGGTTTGAATTTTATTACAAGATGTTGTATTACATGATAATGCACCGGACGTCTTATCCTTTAGGCCACGACGACTTCTTTTTCGATTTTGCACACATATAAAGGACGACATGACCATCCGAAAAAAATAGTTACGGTGCCTCCGGTACATAGTAGTGACGAATAGGTGGCGCTGGTGGTAGTGACTTTTATCTTTTGAACCATAGGTTGAATTGATAAGAAATCTATAAAAGAGAATGTATAGGTATCTATATCTGTTCATCTAAAATGATCTTACGTATTTAGCTTTTTGAGTCGTGTTACGTACGTGTTACGTCGCTTTTGTGTCTATTAGAACATAAACCAGTGTTGTTTATTATAGAAGTAGCTATTTGTTTATTCGTGCACATCTCCAGTACTACTGATCGGATTTTCTTGCCAGTAGTTTTAATTTGTTGCAAACTAAAGCGTTTTTAATTGATATCGGAAGTTTCAAAATAAAGTTATCGTAATTTAAAGATTTCGTTAGATTTTAGAAATTTCATACTAAATCAAACTATCAATGAATGCAAACTGAATTATATTTGTCTATGTCGTATTATAGACATTCAAAGCACTGATTTTAGCGACACTTTCCATCCCACTGATGGCCACGGGAATGAAATTCGCAGGGGATTTTTGGGACATTTTATCTGTTGTCAGCAAAGTAGACCAGAATAGCATTTTTTTACCATATAGTACATATCAACGCATTACATTATACATATTTTTAACTTACGACGACTAGTGTAAGCACCAACGAAAGCGCTACGCGGAAACACGATACTTACAGCTCGACCAAGCTAAGTTTGCACCTCGCATCGCTTACGTCACACTGCCGCTTAGGTATAGTCTGAAAAAAGGATTCGCTATGACTTTAAAAACGTAAACAAATGTTTGTTAGATTTTACTTTGCATTTATTGTTTTTAACAATATATTATACATAGGTACATTAGAATATAGCGATATCGGGTTTTTGTATTAAGACCACCCGGGTATTCTTGCACTTTTTAAATTTGTATCCCAATTGCTCAGTAATAATTTTCCTTCATGTTTCCTTTTCAGGATTATGTTTCTCCCTTCACTGTGTATGACCTTTCCTTGCATTTTTGTTGCCCAAAACAATCCTCTCGAAGTAAAAAAAATAATAAAAGGTTAAGCGTTCAGTAACAACAGTTCAACAAAAACTTAACAAAAGTAGTCGATTAATATAACTAAACTTCAACAAAAAACCTAACTAGAACAATTAAAAAAATTAAAATTCAACGGATAGGGAGACGAAAACTCGTATGACGCGTGTCGGCAACAAAGATGCTAACCGTACTGATGCGACAGGGCGATCGCGGGAAGGTGAGCGGGGAAGCGGGCGGAGCGCCGCATTCCAGCGACGTGCAAACTTAGCTTGGTCGAGCTGTAAATGTATTTTATGAAATTCATAAACATTAACTCGCTAGCCGCTGCCTGTGCAAAACAAAAGCGCACTTGTTTTACTCAATCCTGGGCAGCCATTAAAAATACTATTTGAAAACGTACTCTGTAAATGTGTTTTTTAGTTCAGATTCTTAATGAAAATCCATGCAGTAGCGATAGCGTGCGCTCCCTATGGTGAAAACGAGAGTCCAGCGCTACCGACCTTCAAGCATTATATTTACTTCTTATTTGCACCCACGCTCGTTTATAGAGATCATTATCCAAGGTAACTCTTTTTTTTTTAAATAAAACAATATCGGTGAAAGTTCTTAGTAATAGTTCATATAGTGGCAGGCTTAGCCATGGTGTAATGGTATCATCATGGTGTGGTGGTATAATGGTATCATCACAAATCATCATCATACATACTTTTTTGCAAATCCTAAAGACTACAACAATGCATGATGTTTTATGTTATAATGTATTTTTGCTGAAAAAACTACAGCTATACCTAACCCAATAAGTAGCATTTAATTCGAACAAAACTCCTTTTAACATGTACGTATAGTCTCAATGAAACCCTCATTTCAGAACAAAGACAATAAGGTGGGCCTTCGTACTCTTTCACTTCCTCGAAGTTGCCGCAATAATTTTATACAACAGCTTCCTCTGGGAACGATTCATATTACCTTACTGGTCTGATTATGGAAGACAAAGCAAGGTAATTAATATGTAAAAAAATTTGTACTGAAAAATAGAATTTATCATTGTGGGGTTCAATCTTGCTCTTTATTGTACATATATTAAATTATAAACTTCAACATTTCTCAGGTGGAAGCCGGTTTGGTAGTTCGTGGAATGTTCGCTTGTGTACTTCCAGGATTTATATCATTTCTCTGCGGTTTCTACTGTGTTCTTCATGCGTGGCTAAATGCCTTCGCTGAGATGCTCAAATTTGGAGACAGATTATTTTACGAGGTAATAAATACCAAACAATCAGGTAAAGGTCATTTATGATTTTACTAACTACTAAGATTATGATTTTACTAACTACCACTACTACTAAGGTCATTTACTTTGAGACATGAAGTCTGAGTCTTAATTTTACTGATTACAGTAGGAAAATACAGCAGGAAGCCGACATTAGTCGGCTTCCTGCCCATCAAATCGGGACGCATGACTGCTTCACGGTAAGTATTATACAAAGTACGTAAACGTACAAAGTACGCTTTTCCCTATCAGGATAGGTAAAACATTTGGCAAACCCCCAGTAAATGCCTAATTTATAGAAACCATAGACCTATATAGTAGGGACACGACATATTGTTCTATACGTACAATTGCTTATATAAATAGCACCCATTTTGAAGGCACACACATAAACATATATCTATCTCGTTCTTACTCAGCACTTTAACTCGCAGGAAAACAATATAACAGTATTTCAGTGCGTACATAAAATGAAACATGAATACGTAAATGTCTCCGTCTCTGACTAATGAGGCCGAAAATCCGCCATGTTTAGCGCGCCAAATGTCATTGTCACGTCAGTTCGGCCGTCTGTTTTGGGTTGTACATTATTTATTGACTTTGATATCGATTTAATATGATTGCTTATCTAAAATTTCTAATGTTATCATGCTTAAAACATACAAAAATAATAATTAAAACATATTTTATAGGATCTCAAGAAGGTCGATGCCCCAAAACTATTATCTATATATATTTAAATTCATTATGGAGCCCTCATCCGAAACATAGATTATACACTTAATAATATATTTGAATCCGAAATATCGGACACAATTTTTCGGTCGGAATCTATTCATCATGACACTAATCATAAATACCTCTTTAAAATATGTCATCAAAACATATTTAGACATTCTGTTTAGATATTTCGGGAAAAAGGCTACCGACAAAATCTCTTCGGAACTATTTAAATAAAATAGTTTTATTCCGCAGTGAGTAAAACACTATTGTAAATTCGTTAAATATTTATTAATTAAGTGATTTTAGAGAGGAAGTCACAAGGAATGACGTTTGTAATTTCATTAACGAATAAATGTTCTGTAGGTGTTTTTTTTTATCAGGCGGTCCCTTGATAAGTTTAAAATTTGAATCACTCTCAAGTGAGAGTGATTCAAATGGTGCGGTGCACCTTCCTTGAGGTGCGCTGCGGTAGTCTGTTACGGACTTTAGAGTCAGCAAAACAATTAAAATAGATTGTAATAGTCTAAGAAAAACACGTACTCAAAATACGATAACATTCAGCATGCTAGAAATGGGCTGATGGCACTGTACTATGCCATATCTTTATGTTTTGCGGCAAACGACAACTTTATAAAATCAGTGTAGCAAATTTTAAAAATCGTCATATCGTTTACTTGGAAAATTTGAAGCACGAACTCGTCTTAGATTTCACATAATATCTAAATCACATCATCTTTGCACATAACAATATACTTAATTCCTATTAAAGTATAAATTCTACAAATACATTCATACTCAACAATATTTAAAATAAAATAAGCCAAGAACGTTTATCGATAAAACCTACTAACATTAAAATCTTCTGGGCAGCACTAAAACCGCCATGTTTTGTGGCCAGATGACGTCACAGTGGCACGAATTTTTTGTTGACGATTCATTTCCATGTGTTTCCTACTTCAGTGATAGAAACTGATTAGATTACATGCTATCATTTCCTCTTAAAGGTTGTACCTACATATTTGTTTCAAAATAATTAGTACTCGTGGGAAGGATATGAACCCAAGCATTGTCGTCACATAACCAGACACAAGTTCACTAGCTCTCTTACCCACGAAGTCATGAATTATATCTTTCTTCTTCTTCTTCTTCCAGTGCCTCTTCAATCCTGAAGGTTGGCCGTTAGCTTCCTGTATTCCTTTCTGTCAGCAGCCAGCCGGAACAGCTGTTCGACGGAGGCAATACCGGTCCACTCCCGGATATTCCGGAGCCATGACTTTTTCCTTCGCCCAGCACGTCTCTTTCCGTCCACTTTGCCCATAATTATCAGCTGCAGCANTTTAAAATAAAATAAGCCAAGAACGTTTATCGATAAAACCTACTAACATTAAAATCTTCTGGGCAGCACTAAAACCGCCATGTTTTGTGGCCAGATGACGTCACAGTGGCACGAATTTTTTGTTGACGATTCATTTCCATGTGTTTCCTACTTCAGTGATAGAAACTGATTAGATTACATGCTATCATTTCCTCTTAAAGGTTGTACCTACATATTTGTTTCAAAATAATTAGTACTCGTGGGAAGGATATGAACCCAAGCATTGTCGTCACATAACCAGACACAAGTTCACTAGCTCTCTTACCCACGAAGTCATGAATTATATCTTTCTTCTTCTTCTTCTTCCAGTGCCTCTTCAATCCTGAAGGTTGGCCGTTAGCTTCCTGTATTCCTTTCTGTCAGCAGCCAGCCGGAACAGCTGTTCGACGGAGGCAATACCGGTCCACTCCCGGATATTCCGGAGCCATGACTTTTTCCTTCGCCCAGCACGTCTCTTTCCGTCCACTTTGCCCATAATTATCAGCTGCAGCAGCATGTATCGATCGTTCCTGAGCACGTGGCCGAGATACTCTATCTTGCGCTTTTTGATAGCAAGCAGCATTTTATCTTATTTTTTTATATCTTTAACAAAAAATTTATTATATCTTTAACAAAACTGATTAACTGTGAATGTTTGCTCGAAAAGCTTAGATCGCATACTGCCTCGTTGAACTTGAATTTCATACACACGTACCTACTGTCTACAACCTTAAACTTTAATGTCATCCGTTTCACATCCTACTACCTTCAAGGTTTCGTTGTATTATCTACGCATCTAGATCACCTTAATATTATTTTAATTGGTCGCAACCTTCATGTAATCTAAGCAATCACTACAAATTAATAAAATATTTTGATATTTTAGGAATGGTGGACTACCTCTCGTTTCTCACACTACTACAGAGCATGGAATCGCGTTGTACATTCTTGGCTGAGAGACCACATTTACAAGCCACTGGCGCCGCGTGCCGGTCGAGCCATTTCCACCTTCATCGTATTTTTTGTAAGTATATTAAAAGCATGATAATAAAAACAAATAATAATGTCAACTCGATTAAAATATGATGTTTATAATAATAGAAGTTACGAAAATGTGACCAAGCTAACCCCCACACCGCTTACTTCCCCGTCACAAGTTCGAAGTAGTAGAAAGAATGCTCTCCTTATTATCTAAAACCGCAATAATTATTGTTAATAAATAGTGACCATTCTCAAGGTTAGCATCGAGCAGTTAATCGTAATAAGCCGATTGAAACTTGAATTTGATACCTAATTATTTACCTAATCCTAAAAATCGAAGCACTGGATAAAGCACTTAATTTTGTAGGTTTCAGCAGTGGCCCACGAAATAATATTGGCCTTATCCTTTGGATTCTTCTACCCTGTTTTGTTAATGGAATTTGGTGTATTCGGACTGTTGATGTTACCACTCACCGCAAGCAGTGGAAGGCGTTTTCCTAATGCATTCAATTTAATAATGTGGCTCTCATTTTTCTTTGGAAACGGTAAGTATTATTTATTGAATAGAGTGTTTAGTTTTAATCGTTCTTATTAATAATACATCATTATGTCAGTAATTATAGAGAAAATAAACCACTGGACCGATAATACATTAAGATATTGTTTTGAAAAAATAACCACAGACCCTACTTTGGGTCTTGACAAATTAAAAAAGATTCCGTTCAATCGTAGGTGTTTTATACAAAATAGATATAAATCCCCTAGTATTTTTGGGAAAAAAACCTTAAGTGGTTTAGGGCAAGAGTTGGCTAGTAGTAATAGTCACGTTTTTCCCCTACGTAATCGCTGGTGACCTAAGGAGCTATTCCAGCTACGCGTAGACGTGTAGATGAGCTCACAGACTCAGTGCATAGCAGTGGTGTGAGGAGGGCGACGTCCACCTTCCTACTCGAGTAGTAGATAACGGTATCATCAACGAAAAGGGTTAACTGGGTCTCCTGCGACCGGAGTATATAGTTTATGTATAGGCTAAAAAGTAGCGGGGAAAGAGTAGACCGTTATTGGACTCCGGCCGAAATTTGTTGCCGGAGTGAGCGAGTTCTCCAGACTCAATGCCGAAACGAACGTTTCGACAAGAAGTCTCGTATGATGAACGCGAGACTATCTGGCACTCCCTTTGTGTACAGTTTATAAATTAACCGTTGTGCCAAGCTTTGTTGAACGACTTCGCGATATCGAATAAGAGGACTCCGATGGAGACGGATCTATGTCTGTTTAACCCTATTAAGATGGGGTCCGTGAGGCGGTGCACTTGCTGAATGGACGAGTGTTTTGCGGTGAATCCAAACTTTTCGTCGATTAGGATGTCTTTCGAGGTGATTCATCACCGTCCGTTTACGAATCAGTCGTTCAAACAGCTTGTTTAACGCTGGAAATAGGCTAATCGGGTGGTGGCTTATGAGTTCGTTGTTAGGTTTTCTAGGTTTGTGTATGCCGATAACGTCCGCTTCTTTCCACACCACGGGAAAGATGCAGTTCGTCAAAGCGGCATTTAAAATAGCGGCCAACATGATTATAAGTTGGGCGGGTAAATTTTTTAACACGCGGTTTTAGATACAGTCGGAGCTTTCAAGGCTTTCCGTGGTTGTAAGTTCGCGGTATATTCGAGATCCGTGGTTATGAATAGGATATGGAAGTGTTACTAACAACAAATGTTGTGTTTCTCTGAACAAAAGATAAACAGTTAAAGTTAAATTAGGTATTCATAATAAAAAAATACCTGGGTAAGCCTATTTATTGGCTATTGTGGTATTTGGGGTGTGAGGGTGTTGATTGGAAAAATGTCGTGATTACAATAAAAACGAAGTACTGTCTGCTTTCTTACAAGTGTTGATTAATATATTTTTCATAATTTGCAGGACTTCTCTGGAGTCTCTATTCAATGGAATACTTCGCTCGAAAAAATTGTCCACCCTCACAAAGCGACAGTTTTTTCATACCAAAATCATGGTCATGCCCGGAAGTGGTACTTAAACCGGATTGGACATTCCAAAATCCTTTAAGTGTCCTATATTGACAAAGGTTGTATATGGGCCAATTTAGCGTTGATAGCTTTAATAGTACAATGATTTATTGTAATTTTGATATTGCATATTAATAAAAAAAAANAAAAAATTGTCCACCCTCACAAAGCGACAGTTTTTTCATACCAAAATCATGGTCATGCCCGGAAGTGGTACTTAAACCGGATTGGACATTCCAAAATCCTTTAAGTGTCCTATATTGACAAAGGTTGTATATGGGCCAATTTAGCGTTGATAGCTTTAATAGTACAATGATTTATTGTAATTTTGATATTGCATATTAATAAAAAAAAACCGTATGATAATACTTATTTTTTATTTAATAATAAATTTATATTTTGAATGGAATACGAAGTTTTATTATATTTAATTTAATAAAAAAGTAATATTGTCATACAAACTTTATACGCTTATACAATACAAAAGCAAAATATTGAATAACTAGAATAACTGCAATAAAAAACGTAATAATCTATTTCATTTTCACTAGTGCAACATAAAAATTATAACAATGGAGGCAAATAATAGTTATAGACATTTAAAAAAAAAATTGTCTTCATTACTCACAATGCTATAATTCTATGGAACAGCACTCCCAATTAAACAAGTACCGACGCAAAAGACATATAATTATGTGGAGAAAAATAAATATGACAATATTGTTGTTGTAGACCATTCTTTCGCATTAGGCATGTTCAAACAATCTATATACAATCAAACAATGTTGCTTTTCACCAAATCATCAGATTGAATTACAAAAATCGTAGTAATGTTTTATTACAATGTGAAAACAGCACTAACTGAATGTAAGAAGTATAACAATTAATCACGAATGGTTTATTTACATACTATAGATACATACTAAGCATATCTCATTTCAATTGTTGGCTTATGTTTCATTCTCACAGCCCTTCCACTACTTTACGTTTAAAACTATTTTGTCCTAGATTAAAATAAATTCGCAGGTGATAGATAAGTCCATAAAGATTTGACTTACAATACTTTTTAATTTTATTGTTTAAAAAAAGTAATAAAAGTAGAATACATTGATCTTAATTGCACAATATTTTAAAGAGTTGTGATAAGAATTATTTGATGTCAAGTCAAGCAAGATAGCGTTCAAGCTGCTGGTGTGCGATCCAGTTCCTTGAAAAGCGATGATGACATCCTGTAACAGAGGCGAAGTAAATACTTTTCGATTGAAAGCTAGATTAACTCAACATTCCAGAATAAAAGCTCACTTGAGTTTAACCAGTGAGCTTGTTTAAAAGTACTCTGATATAAAACATACACAGATAAAAAACATTAACCTTTCATACTCACTTGTTTATCATACGTTCATAAATACAATAAGGTATTATTGTAATATTTACAACAGAAGGACTTTCATCAATAATTTTAGATATTTCCTTATCTTTCATGCCAACGACATTTATTGTGTTTATTTCCAGTATCTGGTGGTCTGTCAATAAGCCATTCCGAGCAGCAGATGAATCAACAACCAATGCTATAATTTTTCCATTTTTAAATTGGAATCCCACATGACCCAAAGAGTCTTTGTGTAAAGTTACATTTCTCTCGAATGGCCTGAAAATGTGAAATACAAAAAAATATTAGCATCCATTTACTATTATTACATTTCAAATGATCATTTAGTGAAGTATCATTTCAAAAGAGCTTGTTTTGGATATTTAGAGGCATTCATTAAAAAAGAAATATAAGCTGCGGCTTTTTTTCCCCTACCTATGCCGATAGCCTTAAGAGGCTATTTCAGCTTTTTGACGTGTAAGTGAGCTCACGGGGCTCAAACCAGAGTGTTGCTAACACTGGTCTTAACACGAGCAGTGCTTCGCAGAATCTACCACCGGATCGCAAACGCGACCCACTGAGAAGATCCGGCGAGAAACTCAGTGGGCTGAGCTGCGGCTTGGATCTGCCCCTGGCATTGCTAAGTCCATGGGCAACGGTAACCACTCACCATCAGATGGGCGGTATGTTCGTATTCTGGTAATAATTTTTTTTTTTGCAAAATATGTATAGTTTTTAAATAAACGGTGCATAACTTGGTGCACATGAAAGAAGTGAAAATTCTTGTGCGGTGTGTAGTTTGTGGTTTTCTTCATTTGTCATCCTTAAATCAAATTTGACTCATAATAGGGAATGCTGTGTATAAGAGAAACAACATCTTCACCATTTATATATAGAAAAGCAAACATATATATTTTTTTAAATCCTATATTAAAAATAAAATATAAGATAGTGAATATGTTATGCCATCTACAATAGCAATGAAATACTAATAACAAGCCATCTAGCTATACTAATAACATATCTATACTAGCTATACTAATAACAAGCCGATGTCCATTAACAGAATGTGCTTAAGAGAATGTTTTTTCTTATTGAACATAACACACAATCCTTCAGTTTTGTTGTGAAAACATCAATTTGATTGGGTAATACAACAGTTTATAATTTAGTCTTGTGTCAATGTTATGTTTTTTTTTTAATACATACTAGTAGAAATTTGTTAGTGAGATTAAAGCCTTCTTTAAAACATATTTACATATCGACGCTTGAAAGGCAAACGTGACTAAGCGACAATAACCGCTTTGTAAATAAATGATAGAAAATAACCATATTCGATGTGCAAAAAATATATATTTCTAGGTCTATTAAAATCATTTCAATCCTACAGCTACTAGCTAGATTCTACTACAGCTAGATTCGTTAAAATAATATTTTTTTTCCAGGTATTTCAACTTTATAAATATAAATGGAAAAATTTGATTCGAGCCCTACACCCCAGCAGAGGGTAATAGGAAAGCATGATGATGATGATGATTTCAACTTTAAATTAGTCTACTGTAAAGTTCACGCATTGTCGCTTAGTAACGTTTGCCTTTCAAGGGTCGATATCTATTTAAAAACCAAAGAGGAAAATTGTTTTAATTACCTATCACGAACAGCCATGGTGATATTATTTGCAGGAGCTTTCTTAAGGATATCATGACATTTATCCATTGTCATTCCAGCAACAGTGACATTATTGATCTCTAATATCTGATCACCAAACCTTAAGCCGGCCAAGGCACCAGGACTGTTAGCAGCAACATAGCATACAAATACTCCACTGTCAACTGAATGGAGTCTTAAGCCACACTTTCCATTTCTGTCCTTGCAAAGAACAACTTGTCTGATAGCCTGAGTTACAGTTGCCTTAGGCAGGGAAAGGGACTGGGATGATAGAGGTGCAACCACATTACTACTTGTTGGCTGAACCTGTATAATGAAAAGTAGATTTTGACTTTTTAACGACATTAAAATATGCATGAAAATTCAAAAAAATAGTTTTGACATTTATGAAATTCTTCCAAATAGTATTTAGGCTAAGGGTGAAAAGTAAATTTGGGGCCCTGGCCTATGCATTTTACAAATGTAGTCTGTCACAGTTGTATCCTTAATTGTTCCTTTAAATACCTAACCTTGAACTCTGGGCTAACAATTGCATTTGACTAATATTTCATTACAAGGTAGCCAGCAGTATTCAAATTATACTATTTATGGAATCTGCAACCACTGACCCGTGAGCGTGTAACTTGTAGCCCATCTTTTATTTTTATTAAGAACAATGTGTTGTCTTTTAATACAAAATTTCATCATATAGGAGGAAAAACCACTTCCACCACGGCACTTCAAATGACTTTTTTTGATGCTTTCATCATTCAAAATAATTAGATCCTATGTATATTTTTCATAACAATTACACAATATTTAAATTATAGCACTGACTTGAACTACATGATTGTAATTAGGTTATCAATAATTTGATGATTCATAAACATACTTGACAACAGAAGCCTTGTGACTAAGCCAGTTAATTGTTTTAGTTTAAGGGATACCTTTTTGGCATGTTAGCTGGCTTACAGCATACTAAATTTATTTAAAAATTATATAGCATTTCAATTAAAAGAAACTAGGAAAAAATATCTAAGAAAATGACAATATAACCTGTTGTATTTGGTATTCGGGCATGTTAAGCGCAATTACAGCCTGGGACAGCTCCATGCCCATATATTCTCCCAATGTTGGGTAAACATGAGTAGCACTAGGGGCACTAGGCGTGGCACAAAGTTGCGGAGCAACATATGACGGTGGTACTTGATGCTGCGATATTTGAGCCCTCATCATATTATCCACCTTCATATCCTCCAGAGACGGATAGAACGACATGATTGATACACTGAATTCTAAAAGTAATAAAAAAAATACAATAGTTTAAAGTTAAGCCAAAATACCCGGAAAACAAGGCAATTTATAATTCAATCTTTTCAGAGGTTTTCCCCACAACAGTTTCTATTTTACTCACAGTAGGTACATACCTACACTCTGCTTCCAAGTAAGTGCTACTTAAACGACAGCTTTCGACAGATTGTGTTTTTTAAAACATTTAAACTCGAATCTACTTTTCAGCAGCACAGATCAGGGTTGCCAGCCCCAGCATAGAGCAAAACTGTATGCTTCAAAAAAACTGTAGGAAACTATATTATTAATATCAAATTAAAAAACAGCAAATCTACATCTTTATCTTTATATTATATTTTTTATAATTTAATGATAGTAATAAATAGAATACATTGAAGGAAGGGCATTAAAAACAAGAAAAATCGTGTAATTATCAAAGTTTTAATCTAGTCAAATGTCAAAAACAAAAGTCTCAAAGTTGCAATTATTCCAGTGTCTGCATATTAGATAGTATTACTAGCTAATAAACCATTTTCAATTTGTAAGTCTTCTTGATTTTCCGTTTCATATTTACTTTTGTTGAAATCGTACTTAATTTTGTCACATTAAGCTCGAAACAATTTGTCATTTCTGACCCAATGTGCGGACTAATAAAATAGTTGACGCTAACCTCTTACATAAAAAACTGTAGATGTCGAGGTCTAAACTGAAAATAAAGAGAATTTCCGAAAAACTGTAGGGCTGGCAACAGTGCCACAGATTACAAGACGTCTTTTAGTGCCCATAGTGGCTCAGTGAATTAGCCCCCCATTTCTTAGGTTTTCGGATATATTTTTTTAATTACCTATTTATTCGTCGTTTGTTCGTTAATGTTTGAATGTAAAAATTGTTTGTTCGTCTTTTATTTATTTATAATTAATTAAACAAATGATCACCGTTAAGTTGGCCCCCTTTACTAGATATCTTTATTTTATTTTATTATGTTTATCTTTATTATATTATCTTTATTTTGATCAATTATCGTTTGTTCGACAACTATTGGTCATTGTTCGATCATAAAAACAATAAAATTCCCAATTATTAATTATTTTATATCTAATGAGCATCACATTCATCAGCAAACCATCACCTCACGCCTACATTGCGCACGCGCCGATTTTGTCAGTCAGCTGGCAATGGCCGTATTTACTAGCGTTTTGATAATAAGTGCCTTTATACTGTCTAATTATTTCTTATGTAGATCAAAAACATATTGAAAACTTCAACAATACTTCAACAAAAAAATGTCAGTGAACACGGCCAATTAGTCGATAAAGTACGATTACCGCGGTTTTAATAAATTCAGTTATTTTTAATGATATTGAAAATAACAAGCTTAAATAAATTTCAGTGATTTCTAATTATTCTAAGAATATTTTAGTACAACTTTCGTGTTAAAATGATACTATTCATTACCATGCAATAGGAGATGGTTAAGATACTTGTATTTTATAACTAGCTGTGCCCGCGACTCCGTCCGCATGGAATAGCGACTTTGGGCAACAGACATATCTTTTGGTTTTTAAGCACCGTCATTTAGGTATTTAGAAAAATCTAATTTAAAGTAATGCTTCTCTATATACGACATAGACGTATAGCCATCGGAGATCAAAGCATACAGGTTGCTAGGATTGCTAACATGTAACAGAGCTACATAACCGTGTGACCGAGTTGACTGTGTGAAAAGCAGTTAACACTTATATCTACACCCACAACTTTTAGCGTCTGACCTTTATTATCATCACGAAGCATAGGCTCGCTGGAAACGCGATCGGCAGTGAGTTGTGCTTCCTGTTCTTTTAGTGTCTCCCGAAACCGGGCAAGCTTTTGCTGTCCGAACCCTCTGAGAGCTCAGACGGATTTCCCTATCAGTAAAGGTCTCAGACTCAAGCGATAGTGCATGAGCCTCGCAATCGGCAGAGAGACGTGCTTCTCGTTCTTCAAGTGTTTCCTGAGACCAGGTAATTGCTCTCCAAGCCCTCTGAAAGCTCAGACGAATTTCCCTATTAGTAAAGGTCTCAGACTCAAGCGATAGTGCATGTGCCTCGCGATCGGTAGTGAGACGTGTTTCTCGTTCTTCAAGTGTCTCCTAAAACCGGGCATTTGCAGTCCAAACCCCCTAAGGAGCTCAGACGGGATTCCCTATCAGTGCCTCATGACCTGCTTCAGATTCCTGTGATCGAACTAATTTCATCCTTTTAGCATTGCTGCTGCACTAGGAGAGGTTGGATCTTTTTCGAGGCATTCTTACAATAAGTAGTCCCTACTAACACAACGTTGTTTGGTAAACACGTACTTATCATAAAACTAAATTATAAATACTTACAGATTATTATACGATTTAACTTTATTACAGTTTTTTAATTATTAATAACTATTAAGTCGTGTCAACCTAATCTTTTAACTATAGAAAACAAACGTGCCTATGGGTTAATTTACTCATCGAGCCCTTCGTCGCAAGCGACGGGTTCGTCATGGAAACAGCGGCGCGGCATCGGCGCGTTTTGTATACCCGCGCGGCTGCACAGACGTAAACAATCTACAAACGCCCAGCTACGTGATTCTTTAAATTGGCAAAACTTTTTTATTTATGAACCGATTGATATGAAACAAACACTAAATGTTAAGTAAAACTTACCACAATAAACTAGTGAAAACCACATTTAAATCGGCATAGCTGTTTCTGAGATTAGCGTGCACAAACGCACAGACAAACAGATAAACAGACTAAAATTCTAAAAATCATTTTTTGGGTTCTATTGCGTTCATAAAGCCCCTTATAACAGTTTTCCTGAGATATCTTCCATGTACAGACAGCGACCAGTTACGATTTTATTATATGTATTGATGATTATGATGATATAGGACGTTTCAACCTAATATTTTAACTATAGAAAAAAAGTGCCTGTGGGTTAATTTACTCGTCGAGCCCTCGGCTCGGCAAGGAGGCAGCGGCGCGGCATCGGCGCGCTTTGTATACCCGCGCGGCTGCACAGACGTAAACAATCTACAAACGCCCAGCTACGTGATTCTTTAAATTGGCATAACATTTTTATTCATGAACCGATTGACATGAAACAAACGCTAAATGTTAAGTAAAGCTTACCACAATAAAATAGTGAAAACTACATTTAAATCGGCAGAGCTGTTTCTGAGATTAGCGTGCACAAACGCACAGACAAACAGACAAACAGATAAACAGACAAAAATTCTAAAAATCATTTTTTTGGGTTCTATTGTGTTCATAAAGCCCCTTTTAACAGTTTTCCTGAGATATCTTCCATGTACAGACAGCGACCAGTTACGATTTTATTATCTGTATTGATGATGATGATATCAGACGTTTCAACCTAATATTTTAAATATAGAAACAAAGTGCCTATGGGTTAATTTACTCGTCAAGCCCTCGGCTCGGCAAGGAGGCAGTGGCGCGGCATCGGCGCGCTTTGTATACCCGCGCGGCTGCACAGACGTAAACAATCTACAAAGCCCAGCTACGTGATTCTTTAAATTGGCAAAACTTTTTTATTTATGAACCGATTGACATGAAACAAACACTAAATGTTAAGTAAAGCTTACCACAATAAACTAGCGAAAACTACATTTAAATCGGCAGAGCTGTTTCTGAGATTAGCGTGCACAAACCCACAGACAAACAGATAAACAGACAAAAATTCTAAAAATCATTTTTTTGGGTTCTATTGCGTTTATAAAGCCCCCTATAACAGTTTTCCTGAGATATATTCCTTGTACAGACAGCGACCAGTTACGATTTTATTATATGTATTGATAAAATTAATAATTCCTAAATTCATTACGTTCGTTCATTACGTTACGTTCGACTCACCGCAGACTTTGGGCAGCACTGGCGACGATCACGCAGCATTCAAGCTCAGTTTCGACTCAACGCAAACTTCGAGCAGCACTGGCGACACTCACGCAGCATTCAAGCTCAGCCTCGACTCACCGCAGGTGTCGAACAGCACTGGCCCTTGCAAGCTAATCTCAGTACGGACATCGCTCACCAAATGACACGACCTCCAGTCTCGGAGGGGAGTGATGTGGCGGGTAGCCATCATACAACGCAAGATATTTGACAGATGCTTGAATCTCGTTTACGATATTTTCAAGATAAGCTCGCATATATACAAGTTCCGAACAACAACATTCGGACCGTCGGTCTACCGAGCAAATATCACCCGCTCGGTGGAAAATCTTCCTTTCGTCGTTTAAGCCATCTCAAAAGTATATAATATATACTTAGTTTTTTCTTCCATATTAAATGAATTTCTACTAAATGTCCCTGCAATATATTTCTTGAGCTTCTAAATAATTATCATTTCAACAAAAACAGATTTTGTGTGCATTACATTTACATTTTTGAACTACGTAATGAATTTAGGAATTATTAATTTTATTATAAATTATAAGTATCATATCCATCTCCTATTGCACGGCTATCTCCGATGGCTATACGTCTATGTCGTATATAGAGAAGCATTACTTTAAATTAGATTTTTCTAAATACCTAAATGACGGTGCTTAAAAACCAAAAGATATGTCTGCTGCCCAAAGTCGCTATTCCATGCGGACGGAGTCGCGGGCACAGCTAGTTATAAAATACAAGTATCTTAACCATCTCCTATTGCATGGTAATGAATAGTATCATTATAACACGAAAGTTGTACTAAAATATTCTTAGAATAATTAGAAATCACTGAAATTTATTTAAGCTTGTTATTTTCAATATCATTAAAAATAACTGAATTTATTAAAACCGCGCTCATAGATTATACACTTAATATATTTGAGACCGCGCTAATCGTATTTTAACTAGTTGGCCGTCTTCACTGACATTTTTTGTTGAAGTATTGTTGAAGTTTGTTGAAGTTTTCAATATTTTTTTGATCTACTTATGAAATTAGACAGTATAACCTAATTGTTAACAAAACGCTCGTCGCTAATAGTATTTTAACGACTAGTTGGCCGTCTTCACTGACATTTTTTGGTGAAGTATTGTTGAAGTTTGTTGAAGTTTTCAATATTTTTTTGATCTACTTATGAAATAATTAGACAGTATAACCTAATTGTTAACAAAACGCTCGTAAATACGGCCATTGCCAGCTGACTGACAAAACCGGCGCATGCGCAATGTAGGCGTGAGGTGATGGTTTGCTGATGAATATGATGCTTATTAGATATAAAATAATTAATAATTGGGAATTTAATTGTTTTTATGATCGAACAATCACCAATAGCGAACAAACGTTAATTGATCAAAATTAATTAATCTGAGCGATAAAAATAAATATATCTAGTAAGAGAGGCCAACTTAAGGGCGATCATTTATTTAATTAATTATAAATAAATAAAAAACGAACAAACAATAATGAACAAACGACGAATAAATAGGTAATTAAATAAAAAATCCGAAAATCAAAAAAAGGATGCCAAATTCAGTAAGCCAAAGTAATACTCTATAAATTCTATAATATCTTAAACCCTATTGGAATTTTGGCGGGATAGCGTGGAGTGAAATTGTGTAATTTGTTTTATTTTGTCTATTTAGTGTGTCTTCAGGTTTAAATGTGTAATAGCGGTGGTTTATTAACTGCTTAATATCTGTGAAAGTGCACAAATGTGGGAAAATGAAACAAAGCCTCTGGACGTAACTTTTCGTGATCCTCCAAAAACTCCACTGAAAAAATGTCAATCACCACTATTTTAAGTTAAGATTATATTTCATCCCATATCATCTCATCTCACTTCATTTTATTTCATCCCAGTTGATTAATGTCTCAAATTAATCATCTTCGTTTCATTTCACTCCATGCTAGCATTTTTCATTATAAAAATATGAATATAAATTAAAATAAGACATGACTTAAAGGTCTTAGTTACCAAGTCATAAAATCCCATAAAAAAATCTTATAGTCTATAAAGCCGAATTTCCTTGAATTTTTTTGCAATAGCGGCCGAATCGGTAACTATCCGAACGTTAATGAAACTATTAAGTTTACCATTTAAAACCTACAATAGTATACAAGTCTAATAAAATCGCTAGAGATGGGTCTCGGCTTCTTCCAAATAAATTTCCACAATTTTACAGTATTTTTTCTCCCAGCTCACTTATTTGATTCTATTTCATAACTTCAAATAATTTCATTTTGCGTATTTCGTAAATAAAACAAAAAATCTAAGTTGCCGAACTTTTGGCTTGAAGGACATCATTCCAGGCCTTTGATTAATTGAAAAACGAAGTTTAACTGCTTGTGAAGCTAAAATCTATGGCTAAAATACAATACCTACCGCCTGTGTTGCCACCTTGGTGGTTTTCCCACCAGAACTGGTGATTTTTCGAGGCGTTTAGTGGAATGTTTTCATTATATAGCGTTTTTATTATTTTCAGTGGTTTTTGGCGGTTTTTCAATAAGGTATTTGGCAGCATACTTTTAATAGGAAATTCCCTTAATTTTCCAGAATTTCATGATGATGTTTTCAGCTTAGGTACTCTATGACCGGGAAATTCCTAGGCGAAGTCATTTGTTAATGAATGTTTTGTTTTTACTTTGCCCCATCTAATGCGGGTATCAAAAGATTTAGTGTAATGAACATTGTAAAAAGTAAGCTGCGGAACAGGATGGCTGGTCCACTTACAAATGCCATTATTTTTATAAAAAAATAGGCTTAAAGTTATTAATGCAAAATGTTTCAACGATTATATAACAAGCGATGTCATAGCAGCTATTAGTCAAACACAAAATACTCTTACCAAGCCACAAGAGCACAGCCATCAACACTTTTAGCGTCGACATCGTCGACGGTAGCATCTACGAGTAAAAATGATGATGACGTTGTAGAAGATTTTTCATTTGATAGTCTAGAATTTAAATGTACATATTTTTTCTATTAATTTTTACTCTTCTAATTCTTATTCTTACTCTTCTGATTAAAAAATAAACATATTAATGTGGTTTTATTTTACTGCCTATAGAATACTAGAAGCCAGTTTTAAAGTTTCCAGATGAGTTGCCATAATCTATAGCTAACGAATCATTCATTCAAAATTATCATTTAACCAATAGTAGATATCTCTTAATACGGAACCGGTGAAACTGACCCTAAACATAATCGATTTAGGGTTTCTTTAGTTTGATTCAAGTTTAAAAATTTAGCGGAAGTTGGTGGTTTTCTTATTAGCAAAATTACCGAAATCTGGCGATATTTTTCTCTTGACCTAGCCTCTAAAAAATCTGAGGTGGCAACACTGCCTACCGCATAGATTATACACTTAATTGACCTACCGCCTACCGTACATACTACTACATACTACATATTTTTAAGTCATTATTTTATTAAAAACACACAATTATTTATGTATGTAGTATGTACCGTATGTATTTAAGAATAATATATTTATTTGCTTATGTATGTATTTTCTATGTGATTTATAACAACTAGGTAATCAATTTGATGCCCGAGAATAACATTAAAGTTAAACTTGTTTACTATATTTATTTTTCTATGATAAATGGTTAAAATTTAAGTTAAATCATATTTTTATACCCAAAAGCAATTTCGTAGGCTGTTAGTCATGGAAAATACTAATAAGCGTACTCCAAGGTAAACAAATATTATCTCGGACGTAAAATTAGTGTATTTCGTACAGGATTGATAAATTGCTTAAATTACAGTCGTTGTCGAGAATGGGAAAAACAAAGGCGCAATAAATTTAACGATGCCATATCAAAATTAGGAGAAGCAGTTAAAGCAGTGAATAAAGCCAAGGATCCTAGAAGTACAGAAAATGAAAATGTACAGTATCCAAAAATTGAAATTGTTCAACAAGCAATTTTGTGTCTAACTAATTGTACTCAAGAACGAACACAACTCAGTAAGTTAAGAGCATAGGTAATTTTAGTAATCTAAAATTGTAGATTGCTTGCTAAATACTCACTTCAAAATATGATGCCTTCAAAATTTCCTGAGTATAAATTCAGAATTTTATATTTTAAGTGAATAATTATAAGAAATTTATATTTGATAACATTATTAGCAGTACTTCCTGTCTTTCTGGTTTCATCAATAGACCAATGAAAATATTTAAGTTACTTAGTTGAACCATTCTTATTTACAATACGATTGTACAAAACATTCTGGGAAATTGCTGTACAGTTTGGAGCCCCGGCTATCAAGTACACGCAAATAGGATAGGAAGAATTAAAAAATGGTTCCTTTATCACCTTTCATTCCTAATCTAATCTACCTACCTACCTAAACCTCTTTCATTTTATGCAATGCAGTCAAAAAGCACACTATGTATAGTTGCTAACATTGTGTTCCTATATAAGCTTATACATAACATAATAGATTCCTTAGATACACTTGAACATGTTTACTTAAGTGAGCTGTGCTCAGGCAGCCGTTTATGTAATCGGAAAGTTTTCAAACTACTAACAAGTAAAAGTAACCTTAGCCAATGTGGCAGGTAGCCATCATACGATACAAGATATTTGACAAATGCCTGAATCTCGCTTACAAGATTTTCAAGATAAGCTTGCATATATACAAGCTCCGAACAACAACGTTCGGACAGTCAGTCTACTGAATAATGTCACTTGCTTTGTGGAAGATCTTTCCTTTCATCGTTTAAACCTCTCACAGCCAACACTATCTTGTCTGTTGTATAACTTCCCAGACAACAATAGTACATACAACAATAATACATGATGAAATCTAAATATTTGTTTATCACACTTCTCTAATTAAATAAAATAAATTTAAGATCCAAGCATTGAGCTGTACAGTTCATTTGTCTATACATTTTTTTTTATTACACTTTTATTTTTCTTTATTTTTATTTCTCAATTTGTTGAATGCTTTTTGTTAGTTTTTATGTACTCTATTTATCTTGTTTTTGTAATTTTTTTTTATTACTAAATAAATAAAAGTCAGCCTCTGATGACTTTTAACACAAGTGACCTTATGCAAGTTGCATTCACACTCAAAGGTAAATTTGATATTGCATTCGTTTTTTTATTTATTTTATTTGAGTATTAATTTATGTAGATTTATATATTTTTTTTTTAACTTTACACAACGGGATCACAGAAAATATTTAAATAAACAAAATAAAATTGTATAAACAAAATAATAAAAAACCAGAATTGGAAAACTATGTATGAAAAAAATATTTGTATTGCTGATTTCTCAAAAAATCTCACCCAGTATACTTGCAAGAGGAAATAAGATAAATTTGTAATGAGCTAAAACTCAATATTTTTAATATAAATTGTCTTGTGAAACAAACATGAAAATATCAATTTTGAGCATTGTTTTATTAAATATTCAGGATAGTGACACTTATTGAAACCATGTAAAAGCTTTTAAATTATGTGTGGATAAATTTTTAAAACTTAAGGTTTTTGTTGTAATGAAACATACTTTTTTTTCTATATTGTTTTTTCTATAGCATTATAAATCTGCTTACCCTCCTGGAGTGAAAGGCTTATTGAAGCCCATAGGCACAACAACTTGAATGCCACCCCCTAACTGGATACATGAGGTCTAAGTTTCAATTGTGTAGAATAACAGCTGTCCCACCTTTCCCAGAATTAAGCAGGGTAATCCAGCAGATTCACTAGACGCACTACCAATAAAGGCTTTTCTATCATTGTAATATTGGAGCAAACTTTATGCCTTCTACTTGTAATGTAACCGAAAAATATATATGTATTTTTTTCTGGTGGTAGGACCTCATGTGAGTCCGCACGGGTGGGTACCACCACTCTGCCTGTTTCTACCGTGACGCAGTAATGCGTTTCGGTTTGAAGGGTGGGGCAACTGTTGTAACTGTACTTGAGACTTTAGAACTTATGTCTCAAGGTGGGTGGCGCATTTACGTTGTAGATGTCTATGGGCTCCAGTAACCACTTAACACCAGGTGGGCTGTGAGCCCGTCCACCCATAAAAGCAAAAAAAAAAAAAATGTATGTATGTTACGGCCCATTTCATAGTTTCAAGGAATCATTTCGCCTAAGTTCCATCAAACTATAAAAAGGGTGGTGTTACCACTGCCTGTGAACTATTGTAACCAGTATCAACCATTTATTTAGCATAACATAAGCCGCCATATGCTTGCGTGTCATGCATTATGTGCTAATTAAAGTATATTTAAATTTATTAAATTAAGTTTATAAAAATACTTATTTTTTTCAGAAGCAGAGATATTAGCTTTACAAGTCAAGTTGGAAAGTGCAACTTCGATCAAAGGCGACAGTAAGGACGCTTGCGCCCAAGTGCTTATTCAAGGAGAGAAAAGAGATGTGTCCACTCAGGTCTTCATTGGTGTTAAAAAGAAAGGAAAAAGTACGTATGATTTAGTTTTAATTATCTACTTTGAAAAACGATTTCAAGCAAAAATGATTATTCCAGTTTTTGAGAAGATAAAAATTGGTTCTAAACGAACCTTAAATAAGTTTCACCTCAATATTATTACGTAAATATAAATTAAATATAAATTGTTTCATTTCAGATAGCAAATATGTAAAATTATTAATGTTGCAAAAGTCAAAAANAGTACGTATGATTTAGTTTTAATTATCTACTTTGAAAAACGATTTCAAGCAAAAATGATTATTCCAGTTTTTGAGAAGATAAAAATTGGTTCTAAACGAACCTTAAATAAGTTTCACCTCAATATTATTACGTAAATATAAATTAAATATAAATTGTTTCATTTCAGATAGCAAATATGTAAAATTATTAATGTTGCAAAAGTCAAAAAAACATACAAAGAATGAAAAGTTTTTGACCGCCACAACAACTACTGAATCAAGATCTCTACCTAAGCAAATTTTAAAAGAACAGAAGATCTTACCAAAAATAAAGCCTGCATTAAAAGGTATTATGTGTGAAGAATAAATTTAGAAGAAAATTGCGTCCTCTAGATTTTTCATTTATTACACTAGATGAGTGGATGAGCTTACAGGCAATCTGGTACAAAGTTGCTGCCGGAGACAAGATCGAAATCTCTAAGACTCAATTGCTTAATGGCTATCGCAGTAACAACAGCTAGCAACGCGGCACATATCCCAGCGGACTGTTAATTCATGCTACCACTAGTAATTACGCAAGTTATACCAATTAATTCTAATATTCGATACAATAAATGACTTTACAATAAAAAAACTTTAATTTTTTTTCAGCTCCAGACAACACCATTGTGGTTCTACCCGCAGCACCGTATATTTTTCCTCAGAGGCAATTGCTGTTTCCATCAATAGCACCCGCATTTGTTGTCGTAAACCCAAACATTCCGTCAACGAACAAGCCATCAGTACCGGTGGTTACCAGACACAACAGCGACATTACAAAAACAACAATGGTAAACATTTTACCGATATCCGCGTATTCACGTCCTTTGTCTGCGAAAAATAAAAAAAGTATTGTCAAATTAAAAAATAACAATAATAAACGGAATATTAAAAAAAACAGACCTGTAGAAGTGTCTAAAGCTTCTACTGATAAAGATCAACCTAAAACTAATGAAATGAAAACGCTATCTGACCATAAACCAGACAATGTAGAATTAGAAGCATTAACATCTACTGAGAATATATCTCAGAAAGTAGCGAATAATTGTGAACTCGCAAAACCATTGGGTGATGATATTCAAAGTCATAGTCTAACACTAAATGAAAATACTGAAAAACCTAATTGCCCTAATCTAACAACAAAACAAGCAAGCCCTGCATCTACCCCAACTACAACTTCTCTTAAAGAGACGGTAACACAAGCGAATATTGATTCAATTGTAACAACAGATAAATCAATAGAATCGAAAACGAACACGGAACCCGTTAATGATACTAGTATTGTAAACATCGAAGTTCCCGAAAAATCGACTACAAAAGGAGACAAAGAAAGTAAATTGCCAAATATACTAGAAACTTCGTTGTGCGATGGAACTGTCGACGGCGGTAACGCTAGATTGGAACTGGCCGAAGAATTACTCGCCGCATCACCCACGGCCGCGTTCTTAATGTCTTTCCCGTTAGTAAGCGGTAATAGGGCAGACAGTCCCGCTGAAGATGCTCAAAGTTCCGTACCTATTGCTCCCAAAGAAAACAATCAGAGACGTCGAGAACCAATACAGGAGCCTAGTACGTTTTTCGACAAGCACAACGTAAATCTTAACAAAATCAAGCCAAACAATAAAGCGACCATATGCGAACAAGAAGTAAAGCAAAAACCAAATCCAGCAATCAAAGAGCTCCAACCCCCTAAAACAACTAATATAGCAGTATCGACGGCAAACAACGAAAACCCTTTCTTAAATTTAAGTGTCCCATCCATAGTTTCGACTAATTACACACCAGCCGACCCGACATTTGGAATAGAATTTGATTGTAATATGAATAAAACATTACCAAATCAAACGACGACTTACAGTAACAACTTATTCTATAAGGGGGATCCCTTTAGTTCCGTAAAAAATGCTATTTACAGCACAAGCACAATAACTTCCACGCACGAATTTAATAGCCTCGGTCTTTATCCTTGTGCCATGGAAAAGTACACTTCGAAAAGTAAATCCGACTTCTCGAATGTAGACGAAAACCTCATGAAATTGGGCTCTGCAAGACTAACTTACGATATTGACCTGGGTTGGTCACATAAAGGCCTTGATTTCGTTAACTGCACAACCAATAACGCTACGTTCAGTAAGGACATACTAACAACAGTTTCGGCGCCTTGTTCGACGACGTACAATCCGTTTAATCCAGAATTCCATATCCCATTGGTGTCGAATGCAAAAGAAAACATAACAAACAAGGGAAGTTCCTTTGTAGATACAATTAGCAGCCTTTACTCGCAACCCACGAATTTATGGACAGAAGAATCGCCGTTTTACTCAAACAATGGTGGAACTAAATCATTAAATTGCAAACCACAGTACTTGCCTACAGATCCATTACAAACCATTCCGAATGCTAAAGTTAATGAACCGAAAATTTACGACACGAAAGTTGGAGAGGCGATTGTTAATAGTAATAGTGTCAAGCCCATTTTAGGAGTAAATTTGCCGGAGAAATATACGAAGAAATCGCCTAGCAAAATGCACATCAATTGGATGACATCTGAAATAAGACCAATGCAAAATTATAATCATACGGCTGAGACGAAGGACATTCAAAGAACGGCTTACAATCAGTTGGATCAAAAACCAACATATAATCACACAAATAATAACACGAAAAAGCATGATTATCACGATGGCAATTATTTTCCCATTACAATGCCTAATTTCCCCGCTCAAACAACTCAAGAAGAATTTCAAATATGGCCTTCAGCAAGACCCCTCGGTACGACTGAAATCAGTATAGATCCTCCGCCCATTAATTTGCCGACATTAGTGGGTGACCTAGCTCTTGGTCCTCATGAAAAAAAGAAGAATATGGAGGCCATAAATAAATTGCAGCCACAGAGTGACATGCAAAACTGTGGGAATTTCTTATCTGTAACTCAACTCATGAACCGCTCTAACGAAAACATGAATACCCGCTATCAGCCACCGATATTTGAGCCGTCAAAAACGGTGAAACAATTTCCGATTCGATCAAACGATCAAAATTTATCACATTTCAGTAGTGAAAATCGTAAAAATGCCGCGGCCAGAATAGAAAACCAATTGCCCCAGCACGGTTACGGTTTTAATGATCACAAAATAGTGAATTCTTACGAGAATAATAACATGGTATCGTATACACAAACAAAACCCAAGGCAAACAAAAATGAAAAAAGCAAATCACAAAAAAACAATTATTCAGCCGAAGCCTTACTCAGGGGTGGGAGCTGTAATCAGAAAATTCAGGACATTAGTAGTGCTAAATACATGCCATCCTCTCAAAAATATAACGAGTTTAATTCGACCGTAGAAACTGGTGTAGCACAAGTGTCTCACTTCCCGCCGATCTTAGATTACACGGAGAATACGTACCAACAACAATTCCCTGGCACTAATCTATACAACGCTACAACGAACACAATCTCGAACTCTTTCTACAGCAACTTCATGCAGAATAGCGGCAACCTCATGACTGGGAATTACGCAAGTGGCCCTTTTCCCGGTGATTTTATTGACTACAACCAACCTACAGAGTGTCACAATTACACAAGTCATAAATACGAAGATCTGAAAATGAGAAACAGTTCGAATTATCAACAAGAAAAACTGCCGTCAAATTACAAGACTTCCAGGAGGGAATCGGCTACGAAACATAAGCTAGAATGTTCTAAAAAAGAGACCAGTAAAAAATTTCAAAGTAAAAGAACCAAACTCAATACTGAAACGGAAGAATGGAATGATTCCTCTCATTTATTGTGGCAGAATAGAAATTCCAACAAAAGACATGCGAATTTAATGCCCGAAGAACTTCCATTTACAAACTATGTGAGTAATCAGATGGCTTCCCAGTATCAATCAGAGTTCCTAAATAGTCATCTTGTTACTTCGAACGTTCAAACCATGGGGCATAATGTGGACAGAACTTTAGCCAGTTTTTCGGGAACATCTCGGGCCAATTTCAATCTCAGCACTATATTCCCTGAAATAACCATGGTAAGTTTAATATTCTTTTCTTTTAAATGTTAAATTGTATAAAAAAATTATTTATTATTAATCTCTTTTATTGCAGAAGGTCCAGTCGTGATAAACGAGAAAAGACAAAATTCGAATTATTATTATAATAATATTACATTCGTACTGCATACAATGAAGTTAAATATTTCTAACTAGTATTAATAAAATTGTTACGTACTATTATATTATGGAAATGTATTTTATTATTTGTTACTCAAAATGAATTTTATATTGTATTAAATATTTTTTTTACTAAAACGATCAATTTTAATTCGGTTATTTTAAAAGCATTAAAACGAATTCAATTTACCCAAAATTGGATTTAGTCTGCCATCCCCACCCACTGGGATCGAGCTCGAGCCACACCGAGCTCGCCTAGACAGTTCATTCTCGGTATACCCCGCTGGGTCTAAATCAAAGCGCCACGGAAGCGCTTAGCTGAAATAGCCCCTTAGGCTACCAGCGAATTGGTAGGGGAAAAAATGGAAGCCCTATAATCAGTTTTCAGAGGCTCTTTCGTTGGTCCCTTAAACATTTACTCAGGGGGACCAGGGGTGGGCGAAGTCTCCTCGTCTACCGGTACGACGGCTCCCGGACATGTTGACGAAAGCTTCTGATGTGTTCCACCACGTCAAACGTCAAAAATAATCCTTTACGATAGAAACAACACCAATACCTTTAATGGTGGTAGGACCTCTTGCGAGTCCGCACGGGTAGGTACCACCACCCTGCCCATTTCTGCCGTGAAGCAGTTTAATGCGTTTTGGTTTAAAGGGTGGGGCAGCCGTTGTAACTATACTGAGACCTTACAAATCACATCTCAAGGTGGGTGGCGGTATTTATGTTGTAGATGTCACTAGATGTCTATGGGATCCGGTAACCACTTAACATTAGGTGGGCCGTGAGCTCGTCCCTCCCACCTAACCGACCACCCTAAGAAATAAAAAATATTAAAGTTGATTGGAAAGAATATCGCATTATTAAATTAGGTACGTCTATACGTAACAGCAGATACACTATATAGTATGACGCATTTCATATGTAACTTAAAACCTATCTATACCTACAAGAAATGAAACAAGTTTCATGTTTACCTTGACCGACCTCGTGGCATGTAGTATGTACTACGTTCATGGTAATGATTACAAAATTTTAACAAAGTTGCACTGTCTGTCTCTGAAAATTCCGAACGAAAGTCTTTGGTATCATTTCTTTTTATAATACTTGTTTTGGACATTTACTCTAAAATTTTGACACAAACTACAAAAAGTTACTTGTGGATTTTTTTATATAATAATAACCGACGCTGGCAGACGATCAAAAGACAAGCCATACCGTTAAAAATATCGATGCATTACTTACAGTCTCTCAGGAGCACCCATGACGTGGCTTTTAGAAAAAAATCACACATAGTGGTAGATACCCACTAAACCTCTATTCCTCTTGTTCGAAAGACATGAGTGACAGCGGTCGACTAAAAATAAATTCATGTGTGCCAATTAAGTATATAACGTTTGTTTGATGAATAAGCCTAATATTATGTACTTTTTAAAACAAAAAACAAACTCAGGACTAAAGAAAACCAACGAAGCTATCGACAAAGCCGATAACATGGGTCGAGAAAAATAGTAAAAATGCAGTCTGTAACTAAGATAATATGAGTCTAATTAATGAATCACGCAAAACCATTCAAAGTATCAGTCACGGTTGAACTGACTAGACAACACTCGAACTCTACTCGAGGTGTGTAAGGCTTGTTGTTGAGTGAAGTGCGAACTTTTTACGTTGTGTTAGTTTTAATCCTGGTCCTCAGCAAAGTGGCACAGCTATACAGTCTACTGTCGTAATCGTAAGTTAGTCTCATACCGGCAGCGGACGAAAGTAGTCGTGAGCTCAGCACCCGCTATTTTTGCGGAAATACTTCGCAAAATGGCGGGAAACTAAGTGAACATTCTACATAAAATGACATTAATAATGTATTTAAAATTGGACGATTTTAGATTGATTACTTGTTAAATAAAATTCAGAAGTGAAAGTTTCGTAAATTAGGAAATCATGAAATCCTCGATGCGGACGCTAGTAAGTCGCTAAAACTTCATACCTACGTATGTTTAAATTATCAATCTTCCAAAAATATAACTTAAAGTTCGGATCCTTAATTTTAACCAGATTATAATTTAAAAAAAACTAATACTAAGAAAATTAAAATTTTTTGATATGGTAGAATTAAAATACTGGTGAAATTTAAAAAAAAATTTGAAAAAAAATCGAACTTAGTACATGCGTATGTTAATAAGTAAAACCTATCGGTTTTTTCTTTCTTTAAATTACGTGCCAGCACAACCAGCACATGATACTCGTATAAAAAATGGTTACATGCATAAGTCATTTTAAATTTTTCATTTTTATGTCAATTTCATTATCTTTGTTCCTGCTAGTATGTTTTAAAAAGAAGAAATTAAGAATGGTTCAAAATAACCACACAAATATTACTATGCAAATATTTGAATGGGCATAAAAACGAGATTAAGTAGTACCTAAGTGGTAGTATTGAAGTTACAAATTATTCACATTTCAGTGATGCCACACTCAATCTGAACTATATAATATAATAATAGTAACTAAGTTATGGTATTTATTGAATACAGACTGACCATCTATCTCATTCGTATTGTTTTAATAGGCGTTGATGGGCAGATCAGCTCACGGGGTATGATTACGGAAACTCATAATCCGCACCATAATAGCCATCACCCATCTTGAGATGTTCGATCGTATTATCATATAAATAACAGCTAAGTTACCCTTCAGATCGGAACACATAATTACATCGCGATAAAAATAAGCACGACACTTGTATTGTACACTCGTGCTTCAAGATAGAAATTGGGAGAAAATTAGTTAAATTATGAGATTAGGATTGTTGCGGACTACGAACTGATAGGGGAAAAGTAGTAATAGAGTTTTGAATAATCTAATTCTAAATCACTCACACGTAACTAGACTCAAGAAACACGAAATCTAGTTAGGCAAAAAACTCTGTCCTCAGAATGTTTTATTTCCTATTATATTAAATATGCTCAAGTAAGTATAAAATCTAAAGAATTTATAGATATCATCTTTGATATAGCATTCAATACTCACGAAAGCTTAATAGATATTCTCCAATTTATGAGATAAACATGCTTGATATATGAAGTGTAATTATTTTAATAAGCTATGCATTCTAAATTCATAGATCATAAATTCAATGAAATTTAAAGTAGCTTCTTTACCTTCACTTTGAATTGCTGGCTTGAAAACCTACTTTCGGGAACACAAGTCACGCAAAGTAAATTAATTTATAGTGAGTAAGCTTAATCAATATCACCAAGCAGATATTGAATCAGCAAAAACTTTAATTTTTAAAGTGAAAAATTCTAGGTTTATTTTATAACGTTTTCACATTTTTATCATAAGGTAAAATTTCAATACCTTTATGATTTATATCAGAAATTATCTTAAATACTTTGAGTATAATTAAAAACTTTACACTATTTTTTTGTTATAAGAATAAGGATTTTAGTATAAGGGTAGAAGGAAGGAGTTTAGTATAAGAATTTTATTATATCGTTGTATTAGGCGCGAAATTGGTCAATATGCGTGGGCGCTTGCGGCTCGTCAAACTCGTACAAGAGTCAATGCTAAAGCACGAAAAGTCGATGCGGGTACGATCGATTGATTCGTACTATACGGGACATCTACCACGTGAATACTAATGAACATGTATTCTCGCGAAACCTACATAGGTAAACTCCAAAATTAGCTTTCAATATTATTGGCACATTTTCGACAGGAAATAATGAGCAGTTAACTCTGAATTTATTTAATAAAGTGCTGGCGAAATTATTGATGTGCTAAATTCACTAGACCCAGTTTTATCATACCAGTTTAAGACTGGAGTACCAACCCAAGTTAACTTAATTTATCAATCACTTAAATAAGTTTTTGAGTATTGTGAGCTTGCGCGGATGGATAGTATTATCTTTTGCTGTGGAAGAGCGGACATATCCCGTCTGATGAAAAGTAATTATGTACTAGGATCTGCCGTAATGCAATCATCAAAGGGCTGGAACGATGTCAATTCGAAGTGATCTTTTGGTCGTATCCTGATATGGATGGTGGTATTTACACTGATATGTACAGCAACCACTTACGTGAGCTCATTCACTGAGTAGAGTCGAACGAAATCCCATAAGCTTTTTGCAAAATTTTGTTCGACCATCCTCACTTATTTCCTACCGACGCGTGTCTCGAGGGCCATTGACGCGATGACGCGGCGTCACTGACAACTATGTCAATGCCGTGCCCGCGTAGCTGCGCACTATCATGCTCTTATCGACCTCTTCCATCCATGTAAGCGAAAATAAAGATCCCAGATCCTAATACCGCTTACAGTCGAAAAAGTTTTATCAGCCGTGTATTAAAATATGTAAAAATTACAAACCAAGAAAATAGAACTAGGTATATTTTTGTGACAAAATATCCAAATTCAAAAGTATGGTGTAGTAACTAGTATCTAGTATTTGCTTATGATTAAAATGGTTATGCAATCTACAGTTATCTCAATCGTGGAGGTAAGAGTCCATTCATGACTAAAGTATAACATGTGCCCACAAATTGTGTGTGAACTTGTTTCTAAAAGTGAAGCAATTAATTTACAGCAACATTTAACTAATTGATTTCTTATGTTAAGATGTAAAAATTCCGGACATTTTGTAAATTTCGATGAGCTTACTAATGCTATAATTTATTTATATATGTAATAACTAAGTATAGGGACGTCACACAACACTAATCCATTTTCGTGAAATCATAAGTAACAGTGCTCGATCAATGAACGAAAGTCGAATTCGGTTCTATTCACTTTATGTATTTACATTCTATTGTTTTGACAATAACAATTTGAAAAAAAGTATATAATATATTGACTCTTTTTAAAAATAGAAACCTCTGACACTCTCGAAAAAAAAATCGGTTGATAAAAAGGGAAGGAAACTATAACCGTTTTGCTTTTGTCAATTTATGTACAGATACTGACTTACATTAATTTTATATTATAGTGGATAACAACATGACAGTATACCATAGATTATAGTAAAATATTGTCACCACGGTTTGTTTTATTCGACAATAAAACTAAAACACCTATCTTTCTATATAAGAGAGGCCGTTGCTAGCACTAAATTTACAAATCGCGAATATATATCACAACTGCGAGTGAGCTATAAAAGTCATAAAGGAAGGAAAGAAAGTTTCATACACTTTTGTTTTAAGTAAAACGAAAATCGGGAATATATGTTTGAATATCTTTATCACTAACCAATGACATCATAAATTGGACCCTCTTAGGATGTGAGTGAAACGGAACTCTTAAAGACGTTACAGGGCGTGAACATACCAAGATAATTTACACAAACAGCAGCCGAAAACAACATTATTTTTCGAAGCTAGGCCACAAACAAATATAACAAATACTTGCGGTTTCGTTCCTAATCAGTTATCGAAGTTTTTTAAGCTCGTTATAAGAACACTGCCGTAATTCTAAATTAATAACTTCTCAAAAATAAATTCTGAATTCCTTAGAAATCGTATTCAATAATTACAAGACCGACTTCTATAATATTTCTTGTTTAAATCTCTTCATTAGACAGACCTTAATGTCTTTTGCGCTCAATTATATCGTAACTTAAACAAAAGTCACTAGAGACGTGTTAATATGAATGGATGCAACTGCATGAAAGCTAGCCGCCACTTATTTTTGATATTTGCCGACTTAACCCGGTCATAGTCGCACAAATATCTCCCACGAGTTGTATATTTATATCTTACACAAAACAAGCCCTCTACTCTAATGCCAAACAGACATGTGTCTGCGTAGATACACACACGACAAAGCGCAAATCGGTAAAATAGTATGTGCCTTTGAGTTAATTACAATTATATAGTTACGATGTTTTTATCCGAGTAGCAACCTTGTTTTCGAACTGAAACACGACGCTCCTGAAATGTAAAAGTTAATGAGGATTAAAAAAAAATACAGAATGTATAGAACTACAATCCAGCCAATCGAAACTAAACCATATTTATTTATAGAAACGGTTGAGTATTAAATAGTGTTTAATGAAATTTGTTGTGTTTTTCATACGAGAATAGATAGAGCTACAGAAATAACTACTGCCTATTTGTTGATGTAGTCGGTGGGGATAAATAGCAGTATTTCAAATAATTAGTTTAATGTAAAACAGTCACGGGAATTATTTCATTATAGTGTTTAATTATAGATCAAATACGTACGGACTGTCAGGCAACAGCTGAGATCTCCTTCAATACTCCGTCCCAAATTCTAAAATGTACGCAAACACATTTAATAAACATATTATGAGGAACGAATGTGAAACAAATCGTATGTGCGAGTTTGCACTTACAAACCTGTCACTTCGTCGGACTGGTTCTCTCGACATTACATTCGTTTTATTACGTAACAGACCTGATTCTTTGATATTTCGTTAAATGAATACACCAAATGTTTTAGCCGTAGAAAAGTAGCTTTTTCGGCTCTGAAAAATGCTTAAATTTATAAATGCTTGGTAATTGTAGACTTATTTATCAAAACGTTTAAAGCAGTATACCTCGTCCTAAAGTCTTTTTAATGTCAATTGAAAATAAATTTACAATTGCTGAGCGTTCGTTGACCAAAGTAATATGTATTTTATAAATATATAAATGTGGAAAGTGCTATGCCGTTTTCATTAATAAATATAATTTCATTAGTAAGATACAACGGAATGGTTTTAAAATATAAGTAACTTCCAAATAAAGTCGATGTTTCTTGCAGTAAGCTTATTAAAATAAAAACATTCCTCCCCTACTACACGGAACCATGACCTAGAATTACGGATACCAAAAGCAGCCAAATTACAAAGATATATGCAACCTAATATTAGATACCTACATTAAATTGTTCATAGCTGTTAAAACGTCTTAGATAACATTTTCCGTTTGACGAGCGATCGTAAAACGTTTGCCCCGCGGTTTCATTCACGTTAGATTTATAAATAATTTATAAAGTCAATTCTAGAATCATAGAAGAAACCGTGTAAAAAGTAACCTAACGTCGCTCGTATGGGTTAATTATAACTGCAAAACACTATGCCGATTCGTCTTGAGACGAAGACATTCCTAACGTCCATAGGACTAAGTGTGCCATCATTGACGAGTACAACGACCTACGCCTTGGCTGCTGCTGCCATAGAACTAGAAGGATCCTATAGCAGCGAGAGTGGATAAGGTGGATCCACTAGGATGTATCTAAGACTTCAACATGAAGATCTACATTCTTCTGTCTTTTTCTTAATCTAAATCTTTTCTTAGATTTTTATGAGTCATGACTAGAACTATGTACATTAATGTACAAACTAATAAACAATTTGAAGCATAATTACAAAAAAAGGTTAAAGAAGTACTAGGATTATAACAAAAGCCTCTCTAACGCGTTGTTCAAGTGGTGATGCCAGTTTCTTGTCGATTTACGATTTTTACGAGCGAACCGTATTGGAAAAACGTTGGTCGCACGTGCACTCCGAACGATTTGCCGCTGTAAACTTTTAAATTAGAACTCTCCGATCTTTACTGCATACTTCAGAGTAGCAACTTTATTCTCGTATTATCTAGGTTTATGAAGTGATACCCATAGACATTAAAACTTGATCCAATTTGCCGTGTAGTAAATTTAATGAAAGCATTGTTTGTGGTATAAAAAAACTTTGTTTTCGCAGTTTCGTTTCAGTCTGTGTGTCGTGATGATGTCTCTGAAAGCCTCTAATGGAGAGAAGTTTACACTTGGTTACTTAACCGGATCACAACGACGTCCCGGAGACTTCACGTACCCTAAACCAGGAATAATGATTTCAGGTAAACTTGTAAACGAAACATAAAATATAAAATAAATGAGTCTAAGTGCTTTTTTTTATGAATATTTTTAAAAATTGATTTCGCTCATGTCGAGATATTAAAGAGCTTTTAAAAAAATTTATACATTCTAAGTGGGTAAATACATTAAAGCTCGTTGCGTCGAGCAATAATAATTATAGTCCTACAATATATACTTATATGTTTATGCGGCTAAATAAGCACTTAGCTTAAAAAGCTTTGCCATGTCGCTGAAATTTCCATTAACGCCAAGACGCCGCCTGTGGTGTGAAAGTTAGACTAACCAATCTTCGAACAAGTCCTTTATTGAACACTTTCGTCGCATAGCTATTTATCAAACGGTACATAAATATTTCTTTGAGATAAACGTAATTGTTTACGGCGTTCGCCAAATCGACCTGACCCAATGTCCGAGGCATACAAACATTTGGCAAATAAGATACAGTGTAGTAAATCACCGTGACGAACGCGACAAAATAATGTTTGCTCTCTCTGACTTTATTTTCAATAGGTGCAATATCAATGGCTGTGGATGAAGTTAACAAAGAACTATTGGGGCCGATGGGACATTCCCTGGACTTCGTTGTAGCTGAAACATACGGACAAGAAGAAGAATCTATACGCCAGGTGATTTGTTTTTCAACATAACAAAATACCTTAGTTTGTTTAGTTTGATCTTGATTAACAATATTAATCTAATACGCCGTCCTAATACTTTAATCTGTAACAAGAATAAATTAAGAGGGGTATTTTAAATAATGAATAAAAAAATCTCATGTAAATACTGAAAATTGTTCCGGAAACAAGCGTACATGACGGAATGATAAGACATTTTATTTAATAATTATACATTAAATGATATGGAATACTCCAGAATGAATGAATAATAAAAAACTTAATTGCGTTTTCTTTAATATAATAAGAAAACAATATTTAAAGACCTTAATGTCTTTTGAAAATTTATATTTTATACAGTCTTATTATATTAAGCAAAACTGAAATACTCTCTTCACTGAATGACAGACAGGTGAGTGATTCCGCCTAAGAAAAATATTTTTTTAAAACTAAAGTGTTTTAAAGATTTTAAATGATAAAGATTTCTCTTCACATATATTATTCTACGTGTGCAGACATGTTTGCAACCAACTTTGTGTTAACTAGTTACCGGAGTCCACAGATATTAACAAAACGCCATCGCCCACTTTGAGATATAAAGATTGAAGTCTCAATTCTATATTGAGACAGCTGTTCCACCCCGGAAACTGGAACTGTTCTGCTAGAGAAATTACCAGGACGATGAAACATACCCGTGCGAACTCACGTTACGTCTTACCATCAATAACTATACATTTCCATGATGCGCCAGCATTTCGATCTCCTAAACAGCAAAGCTTCTACATAAAAAACTTACTCAAAAGTGCCCACAAACGCCTTCATATTTGTCTATTTATTGCTTAGATTTGTGGACGAGCTCACGGCCCACCTGGTGTTAAGTGGTTACCGAAGCCCATAGACATCTACAACGTAAATGCCACCACCTACCTTGAGGTACCTACCTACCTAAGTACTAAGGTCTCAATATAATTATAACGGCCGCCCACCCTTCAAACTGAAACGAATTACTGCTTCACGGCTGAAAATAGGCGGGGTGGTGGTACCTACCTGTGCGGACTGACAAGAGGTTCTACCACCAGTCATAGGCAAGTTATAATTTTGCGGGTTTAATTTTTATTACACGATGCTATTCCTTCACCGTGAAAGTCAATCGTGAACATTTGTTGAGTATATATTTCATTAGAAAAATTGGTACCTGCCTGCGGGATTCGAACACGGGTGCATCGCTACATACGAATGTACCGGACGTCTTATCCTTTAGGCTACGACGACTTCTGAAAAAAGCATTGTGTAATAAAATCGAACCCACCCTTTTGTAGAGCTGTTTGTGACCGCACCCTGAATCATACATGTGTTCTGGGTTGAAGAGTTGACATAGTAGGCATTTGGCTGTGGCCCTGTCATTGCTGATATCTATGAGTGACAATGACTCCTTACTCCACAGATCTACAATGGCAATAAAGAAAAATAATCGAATTAAGTATGCGAAGGTACATCTCAAGCTAAGTAGCTTCATTCACGTGGCTATGCCTATTGAGATTAGCAACCACTTAACGCCAAATAGGTCGTTCACCTTTTAGCCTAAGTCTAACCTACCGATCTACATCAATATATTTTAGAGCCGTTAATCTCCGAGTAAAATTTAGCGAACGATAATAACGAAATGCAAGGGTTCAGTTCTTTGTCCTTTGGCTACGGAACTCAAAAATTATATATTACCACCCCTTAATGAGAAAGTCAAAGAATCTTCTCATGGGAGCGTTTCAATTAACTTCAATCTGCACTGACAGTTTTTCCTATCGTTTCCAAAATTAGTTGACACCTCCACATCGCTCACTCATTATCATTACTTATGTTACTGCTCTTCCGAAGCTTCGCAACTTCAATCTTCATAAGCAGATTCGCTAACCACTTATTACCAGACGGGCTATATATACGCCCTTCTATAGCAAAAGGATAACTGATTTTAAGAATTAGATTCCTTCGTTGCGTTTTCGTTATTAAAGTCATCTTAATGACAATAAACATAAATAATTTGTCTGTATATTTCATAAATTACCGAACCCTGAACAAAAGCACTCATGCGAATTATTGACTCATCTATTGAGCAACAACTCACTTTCGCTTATAATCTGCCATAAAAAAGATAAATTGCAGTTTTCCATTAACGTAGCAAACTGCGTAGAAGTAATATAAAAATGTTCAGAAATAAATGAGTTACAGCGGCTGGCACTTCCAGATAAGATGGTTACAGCATGCGTGCGTTGTAAGTATCAATTTTTATGGGCCATAGACAGAAGTTTACAATGGCTATAATTCTACCGAACAGAATGGACATTTGATCTCTACGGAATTAGTTTTGGAATTTGATGACTTGAGTTACGTTATTATAAAAGGTATACGAATGACAAAATCTCCTTTGATTTACCTTACATTAGCGCATTTAATGAATAATTTAAATGTATAGTTATTACTTTGTTTAGTTGTGTGTGTGAGACTTTAAAGAGCTCTTTATAATAATTGATATCTTAAATTGTGTTATTATAATAAAACATAAATAGCATAACAATTATAATACATATTTGTGGGATGTCGTTAAATGATCAATACGTATAGTTATATTCTCCGCGTTCCCAGCGGCCTACTTACTATCTCTAGATAATAGCTGTCATCAGAGGGAATACAACTTAGGAAGTTAATGAAGCATCTCATTAGTATGACATTGTTTTTTATAACTAGCAAGCCACAGACGGGTAGACGAGTTCATTTCTGGTATGAAGTAGGTTACAGAGCCCTTTGGGTCACGATGATATTAACGCGTTGCCCACTTTCTGCCTATCTCCAACCTAATACGTGTAATTGATTCGCGTCAGAAATAGGCAGGCATTAGGCATATGCATTCTTCCTTTATTATTTATTTGTAAAGTGGTCACTGGAGCCTGTCTATAATAACAAGACGATTTTTTTATTATTGCTTGGTTGGATGGAGGAGCTCACGGCCCTCTTGATGACGGACAATGGTATATAAGCATAGGAATAGATCAAACGACATATAGTTGAGAAAATAAAGATCGCAGATCCAGTTTCATCTTCTGATTAGCTTATTAGACCAGGGTCGATAATTTTGAAAACCAAAAAAAATTATAGTAGGATGAAACCCATTAGAAAAGGAGGGGAATATTATAAAAATGAAAGGAAAAATAATTTACGGACGATCTGAGGTCGGGAAGGGGAGGGGGGTGAGTTTTTAAGGGTAAAAAACGTTTTTTCTCGATTTCCGGCAAAACTAAAAGTCCTATGGAAAAAAGTCAAAGTTGTAGGTAATAAAAAGATCTAAAACTTTTGTATTTACACTTTTTTCACATAGCCTCAAAATTTATGCCTGACATATATCCGGAGAGACTATTAACATTAAAATACTCTGAACTTTAAATTATTAATTTCAATAAAAAAGTGAATATTTGTTTGTATGATTATTCTTCATGCGTTCTTCAACCAGTCATACTATTGTTATGAAATTTTAGTGTAGTTGCTGTTGTCTCTCTAGGGAATGTTTCCATCCATCGGCTAAAGACAAAGAATGCGCGAATAGTTTCAAGAAAGCGATGGTTTACATAAAATTAACAACATGCACAGCGGAGCGGGTTTCACTACTTATGTTACATAAAAAAGTACAATTGACGGTCTTATCGCTATGAGCGATCTCTAGGAAGAATCTCTCGAAGGATGTGTACAAATAGCGCTCGGGAAACAACGTGAAGGGCTCCCCTTCCAAATCCGGATACGGTATGGTACGTGGAAAAAAGGTCACTGAAAACGCACTGTGGATGAACGCAGTGGCTCCAGACAGTATGGACGAACTCTACTGCGGTGGCGGGCTGTGCGATGGTAAAAGAAGTACCTATCAAAATTATTAACCGCAACATTAGAGATGTCCATTGGCCCTCGTTTTATGGTAGTGTGCGACTCTTGGGTTTTGAGAAACGACGGATTTGAGAACGTAGTCCATTATGAAATAATACTCCTTCTCTGGGACTTAGAAGAAACCTTTCGCGTCCGGTTTACGAGATTAGTTCACGATAGAAATAATGAAGATCGGAGGTAATTTTCGGATTTTACAGAAATAATTCATTAATTCGCTGCCATCAGCAAGTAATATGCAAGAAGTTTTTTTTTTTTGTAAAATTCACTGACGATAAGAAATGCTGCTTTCAGTATAACGAACAAACTACATTTCATTCTAACAAAAAACGATAGTAAACAGGAAACATCTGAAACTTTAGTAGTTTCCAAAATCCAATGAATACTTACCTAAAATAAAATTGTAAGATACGATTTATTACAAAGACATCTGAAATGCTCATAAAATAGATAGTTTCCTCGTAACTTTTTGTATAAAGAATTATTATTAGCCACGGTTTTAATTGCTTGTAGTAAAATTCTTAATCATTTTCTTCGGCTATTAAAAATCCTAGACTTTGACGGCTTATTTCTCACGTTTTATATACATTACAGTTTTCGTTGACACGACGAGTCCTCCATAACAATGAAAACTGTAATGTATGCAAAACGTCAGAGATCATATAAAAAAAAAAAAAAAACGCGAGATCAAACAGTAAAAGTAGTTTTATTTAAAACTATAGTAAATTAGGAATCATTGCAGAATCTTAAGCTTTTCATCTTACGGGACTAATCTACAATTTGAGAATACAAATTCAGCGAAGAACAGTACAAAATCCGTAAGAATCATGTTTTATTTGACATTAACCGCTAGATTTAGACGCAATAAATGTATCTTGTGTCCACTTTACACGAATCAAATGAAGCCGCAGCGACGATAAAAAAATGCCTCAGAGTGATTCAAAGGCACAACGCAGCTTGCTACTTTTAACCTGCTTTAATAGCAAAAAGCAATATATGCAATATTCAGGTGTGATTCATTGTAATTTCAGAATTAAAACCGAATGAATAACGAGTTTTCTTCAATAATAGGCAACGGCACCTTTTCATTTAAAATTCTAAATATGTAGTATGTCCCTGTTATGTTCAGATCATTTCCTCCTTACGGATCCATCAGATCCAATAACACTTGCATTAGATACCTTCAGCTCTAACACTAGGAGCAGGCTGAGGAACCCCTGTAACCATACTCGTCGAACTCGACAAAGAGGTCGACGTGCAACCTAACCCATGCATCAGCCCGCTGAGTTTCTCGCCGGATCTTCTCAGTGGGTCGCGATTCCGATCCGGTAGTAGATTCATTCGCGAAGCAATTGCTCTTGAGTTGATAGGTCTCCTTCGGAGGCGCTCGGGCAGTTGTTAGCAAATCCCGTCCCTCCTGGCTGAGCCTTTGCTCGCCCACCCGTCCTGGTGAAGCTGGAAAGGCCTCCGGGCCACCAGTAATCTTTCAATCTAAAAAAAAAGATCTTTTCCATGGTCTTTGATTAGTTTCATTTAATATTTGCATTTTAATAGATGGGATAGAAATGTTGAAACAACTTTACGAAGAATTGATTAATTTCCTCAACGAGCGAACTTCATTATGGAAAATGGGCGACCGGCACGCTAATGCTTCTGTAAAATTCATTATCTTAGCGTAAATGCTCACAATCATAGACAATAAATTAAACTACCAAGTTATCTGTTTAGTTTTCTGCGTTTTCTTATTGGTCTGAGCTGTTTAATTGTAGAGGTATAGTTACTTGGGTATTACTTTTAATGCTTAATGAGTAGTTTTTTTTTTTATATAACGTGTTTAAATTAGAATAAAGAACGGTATTAGTATTCGGTAGGACTTACTGAAAATGTTGCAAATTTTAAAGTTGAAAAACAAATACAATATTCTTTCGTTCAACAATGAAAACACATTGCGATTGCTCTGTTTATTTCAAACGCGTAATACAAAAAACAACATCAAAACTATAAAAAGGAACATTTATTAAAATTGTGTCGTGATATCTTGCCTTCTGAATGTAAAACCACAAATTTACTATTGTATTTTATTGCTTTTTGGGATAAAAAAACTACAATATTCTTAACTTTACGAGTTGGGATGTTTAACGGCCGACAAATCACCGATCCAAAGAAAAAACCCTTGCGTTTTATTTTAAATGCCCTTAGCACTTTATCACAGAACTCGTTAAGTTCAAGGTATAAAAGCATGGTGTCGTATTTCTTTGCTGGAACTGTAATGTTCAATTTCGACAGATATTTGTACTAGTAGATTTCAAGATGAGTTTCTTGTGTTATCATTAAAGTTTATTTTAAAAACACGAGTATATATTATATATATTGTGTTTCTTTAATTTCCATACGTTTATGTGCGTACAAAAAAATTCATATAAAGGTTTAATAGGAAAGGAAAGATAATGCGAAGGAAAGGTTTTATTTGCAATTCGATGCAATTCAAAATTGGTATTTTATTGGATTTCGACAATTCGTAAACATAATTTAAATTAGTTGTACGAAAAGACAATAAACACGTGAGATTAAGCCGTAAAAATGGTTTAATTAATATAATGTTGATTTCATACGTTCCCAAATTTTTTCCACTTATTATTATTTTCTTTATAACGGCCCTCGGGTATTATATCGAGCGCTTTGACAATAACTGACTTAATGGGAACATGTCGGGAAAGCCCTTTCGTCATCGTTATTAGTCGTCGCGGCCTAGAGGATAAGATGCCCGGTGTACTCTTTTTTTTTTTGCCCTTGTAGGCAGGGGAGCATTACTGTCACCCATGGACTTCAGCATTTCCAAGGGCAGAGCCAAGCCGTTGCCTACTCGTCTCGTACGTAGCACGCTTTCGGGAACAAATTTCATAATCACGGAATAACAGCGTGTAATAAATATAAAGTAACTAAATTTATAAATTAGCGCAGCGGCTTGGCTCTGCCCCTGGAATTGCTGAAGTCCATGGACGACGGTAACTACTCGCCATCAGGTGGGCCGTGTGCTCGTCTGCCTACAAAGGCAATAAAAAATAAAAAAACTAGCGTAATTAAAATTTTGAGAGCGTATTGTAAGCCCACACGAGCATGTAGTACTTACTATCCTACGTATTGCAAATTAATCATGCTTTCCGGCATGAACAGTTGGGACAGCCGTTATACTGAATGACAGTATAACTGCTACTTCAACCCTTCAATTATTCAGACGTAATTTAAATGTGACTTCGACTTCAAGCCTCAAGATGGACGGACGGTGGCATTCACGCTATGACGTCTATGGACTATAGTTACAACTTAAATCCAACTGAGTGGTGAGCTCGTTCACATAACCAAGCAAATAAAAAGCAAACACAATAAAACCTTTTCATCAATTTTGTCTGAAAGTGGGACACAGCGTTCACACTGTACCAGTCTGCTACACATCTATTACAATAAGCACATGATTAGCATTATAACTAAAGATAATATAAAAGTTGTTAAAGCTGTATGTTTAATAGGTAGCAGCTTTGTGGGCGGCTAATGTGTCTGCGTTCATCGGTCCACAAGAGACGTGTGTGCACGAGGGCCGCATGGCCGCCGCTTTCAACTTACCCATGATTAGCTACGTAAGTACAAAACGGGACTCCTTTTAACTATTGAAATGTTAACCCCTAGCCCACTGAGTTTCTCGCCGGATCTTCTCAGTGGGTCGCGTTTCCGATCCGATATTAGATTTTGCGAAGCACTGCTCTTGCTATGGCCAGTGTTAGCAGCACTCCGGTTTGAGCCCCGTGAGCTCATCTACACGTCAAGGCGAAGCTGAAACAGCCTCCCAAGGCTATCACCATAGGTAGGAAAAAAAGGTTAACCCACTATTTTTAGATATACGAGTATATACTAGTTTAAAATAAGTTCCTCATATAATAAGTACCCAATAAGGGACGGATACTAATAAAATTGTTGTTATCTTAATAATCTTTTCGTAATACCTTTGTAGTTTATTCGTAGGTACCGAATGTTTTCAACAGAACAAATGTGAAGAAAAAGCTTAAAGATGTATTTGAAAATTTTTGAGAATTTTATGTCATAAAAACTAAAAGTAAGCTAAGGTAAGCTTGTAAAGTGAGCTGCGGGCGCGGAAGGCCCATTCTCGGCGGTCCGTGCTCGAGTCGTGGTCGAGGCGATTGGCCAACCCCACGTGGGGGCTACGGACCGTCGAGGCGGTTTACCCGGTCTTTGATGACTGGGTGAATCGTGGCGAAGGACGTCTCACCTTTCGTCTGGTGCAGGTGCTGACCGGGCACGGATGCTTCGGGAAGNGGAAGAGGTCGACCGAAGAAGACATGGATGGAGTGTGTGAATGACGATATGAGAGAGAGAGGAGTGAGTGTTGAGATGACGGCTGATAGAAGAGAATGGAAGAGAAAAATTAGCTGTGCCGACCCCACATAGTGGGATAAGGTGGAGAAAAAAAAGGAATTTGTTTGTATGATTATTCTTCATGCGTTCTTCAACCAGTCATACTATTGTTATGAAATTTTAGTGTAGTTGCTGTTGTCTCTCTAGGGAATGTTTCCATCCATCGGCTAAAGACAAAGAGTGCGCGAATAGTTTCAAGAAAGCGATGGTTTACATAAAATTAACAACATGCACAGCGGAGCGGGTTTCACTACTTATGTTACATAAAAAAGTACAATTGACGGTCTTATCGCTATGAGCGATCTCTAGGAAGAATCTCTCAAGGGTGTGTACAAATAGTGCTCGGGAAACAACGTGAAGGGCTCCCCTTCCAAATCCGGATACGGTATGATACGTGGAAAAAAAGATCACTGGAAACGCACTGTGGATGAACGCAGTGGCTCCAGACAGTATGGACGAACTCTACTCCGGTGGCGGGCGGTGCGATGGTAAAAGAAGTACCTATCAAAATTTTTCACCGCAACATTAGAGATGTCCATTGGCCCTCGTTTTATGGTAGTGTGCGACTCTTGGGTTTTGGGAAACGACGGATTTGAGAACGTGGTCCATTATGAAATAATACTCCTTCTCTGGAACTTAGAAGAAACCTTTCTCGTCCGGTTTACGAGATTAGTTCACGACAGAAATAATGAAGATCGGAGGTAATTTTCGGATTTTGCAGAAATAATTCATTAATTCGCTGCCATCAGCAAGTAATATGCAAGAAGTTTTTTTTTGTAAAATTCACTGACGATAAGAAATGCTGCTTTCAGTATAACGAACAAACTACATTTCGTTCTAACAAAAAACGATAGTATACAGGAAACATAGAAACTTTAGTAGTTTCCAAAATCCAATGAATACTTACTTAAAATAAAATTGTAAGATACGATTTATTACAAAGACATCTGAAATGCTCATAAAATATATACTTTCCTCGTAACTTTTTGTATAAAGAATTATTATTAGCCACGGTTTTAATTGCTTGTAGTAAAATTCATAATCATTTTCTTCGGCTATCAAAAATCCTAGACTTTTACGGTTTATATCTGACGTTTTGTATACATTACAGTTTTCGTCGACACGACGAGTCCTCCATAACAATGAAAACTGTAATGTATGCAAAACGTCAGAGATCATATAAAAACAAAAAAAAAACGCGAGATCAAACAGTAAAAGTAGTTTTATTTAAAACTATAGTAAATTAGGAATCATTGCAGAATCTTAAGCTTTTCATCTTACGGTACTAATCTACAATTTGAGAATACAAATTCAGCGAAGAACAGTACAAAATCCGTAAGAATCATGTTTTATTTGACATTAACCGCAAGATTTAAACGCAATAAATGTATCTTGTGTCCACTTTACACGAATACTGTTTCAAATGAAGCCGCAGAGACGATAAAAAAATGCCTCAGAGTGATTCAAAGGCACAACGCAGCTTGCTACTCTTAACCTGCTTTAATAGCAAAAAAAGCAATATATTATGCAACATTCAGGTGTAATTCACTGTAATTTCAGAATTAAAACCGAATGAATAACGAGTTTTCTTCAATAATAGGCAACGGCACCTTTTCATTTAAAATTCTAAATATGTAGTATGTCCATGTTATGTTCAGATCATTTCCTCCTTACGGATCCATCAAATCCAAAAACTCTTCCATTAGATACCTTCAGCTCTAACACTAGGAGCAGGCTCAGGAACCCCGGTAACCGTACTCGTCGAACTCGACAAAGAGGTCGACGTGCAACCTAACCCATGCATCAGCCCGCTGAGTTTCTCGCCGGATCTTCCCAGTGGGTCGCGATTCCGATCCGGTAGTAGATTCATTCGCGAAGCAATTGCTCTTGAGTTGATAGGTCTCCTTCAGAGGCGCTCGGGCAGTTGTTAGCAAATCCCACCCAACCTGGCTTAGCCTTTGCTCGCCCACCCGTCCTGGTGAAGCTGGAAAGGCCTCCGGGCCACCAGTAATCTTTCAATCTAAAAAAAAATAAAGTGATTTCCATGGTCCTCGATTAGTTTCATTTAATATTTGCATTTTAATAGATGGGATAGAAATGTTGAAACAACTTTACGAAGAATTGATTAATTTCCTCAACGAGCGAACTTCATTATGGAAAATGGGCGACCGGCACGCTAATGCTTCTGTGAAATTCATTATCTTAGCGTAAATGTTCACAATCATAGACAATAAATTACACTACCAACTTATCTGTTTAGTTTTCTGCGTTTTCTTATTGGTCTGAGCTGTTTAATTGTAGAGGTATAGTTACTTGGGTATTAGTTTTAATAAATAAAATAAATAAATAAATATTTACTAACAATCACGCCACGTTAACTGGTCCCGTGATAAGTTCGTAAAGAACTTGTGTTACAGGTACCAGATAACGGAAATAAATGTAAGATTTTTATTATACACATACACATATTTAATATACATCCATAACCCTGGAAAAGACTTTATATTTATCATACAAATATCTTCCCTTGGCGGGATTCGAACCTGCAACCCCCTTGTGTAGTGACCATGTCACTTACCACTACACCAGACGGCCGTTAATGCATAATGAGTAGTATTTTTTTTATATTACGTGTTTAAATTAGAATAAAGAACGGTATTAGTATTCGGTAGGACTTACTCACTGAAAATGTTGCAAATTTTAAAGTTGAAAAACAAATACAATATTCTTTCGTTCAACAATGAAAACACATTGCGATTGCTCTGTTTATTTCGAACGCGTAATACAAAAAACAACATCAAAACTATAAAAAAGGACATTTATTAAAATTGTGTTGTGATATCTTGCCTTCTGAATGTAAAACCACAAATTTACTATTGTATTTTATTGCTTTTAGGATAAAAAAAACTACTATATTCTTAACTTTACGAGTTGGGATGTTTAACGGGCGACAAATCACCGATCCAAAGAAAAACCCTTGCGTTTTATTTTAAATGTCCTTAGCACTTTATCACAGAACGCGTTAAGTTCAAGGTACAAAAGCATGGTGTCGACTTTCTTTGCTGAAACTGTAATGTTAAATTTCAACAGATATTTGTACTAGTAGATTTCAAGATGAGTTTCTTGTGTTATCATTAAAGTTTATCTGATTAGAAAACACGAGTATATATTATTATATTGTGTTTCTTTAATTTCTATACGTTTATGTGCGCACAAAAGAATTCATTTAAAGGCTTAAAATAGACAAGGAAAGGCAATAGGAAGGAAAGGTTTAATATTTGCAATTCGATGCAATTCAAAATTGGTATTTTATTGGAATTCCACGATAGTAATAATACGTTCCCAAAAATTTTCCACTTATTAGTATTTTCTTTATAACGGCCCTCGGGTATTAGTTCGAGCCCTTTGACAATAACTGATTTAATGTGAACATGTCGGGAAAGCGCTTTCGTCATCGTTATTAGTCGTCGCGACCTAGAGGATGAGATGCCCGGTGTACTCTTTTTTTTATTGCCCTTGTAAGCAGGGGAGCATACGGCCCACCTGATGGTGGTTACCGTCACTCATCAACTTCAGCATTTCCAGGGGCAGAGCCAAACCGCTGCCTACTCGTCTCGTACGTAGCACGCTTTCGGGAACAAATTTCATAATGAAGGAATAACAGCGTGTAGTAAATATAAAGTAACTAAATTTATAAATTAGCGCAGCGGCTTGGCTCTGCCCCTGGCATTGCTGAAGTCCATGGGCGACGATAACCACTCACCATTAGGTGGGCCGTGTGCTCGTCTGCCTACAAGGGCAACAAAAAAAAAATTAGGGCGTATTGTAAGCCCACACGAGCATGTAGTACTTACTATCCTACGTATTGCAAATTATTATTGCAAATTAATCATGCGTTCCGGCATGAACAGTTGGGACAGACGTTATACTGAATGACAGCTACTTCAACACTTCAATTATTCAGCCGTAATTTAAATGAGACTTCGACTTTAAGCCTCAAGATGGACGGTGGCATTCACGCTATGATGTCTATGGACTATAGTAACAGCTTAAATCCAACTGAGCTCGTTTACATAACCAAACCAATAAAAAGCAAGCACAATAAAACCTTTTCATCAATTTTGTCTGAAAGTAGGGCCACAGCGTTCACATTGTACCAGTCCGCTACCCATCTATTACAATAAGCACATGATTAGCATTATAACTAAAGATAAAATAAAAGGTGATAAAGCTGTATGTTTAATAGGTAGCAGCTTTGTGGGCGGCTAATGTGTCTGCGTTCATCGGTCCACAAGAGACGTGTGTGCACGAGGGCCGCATGGCTGCCGCTTTCAACTTACCCATGATTAGCTACGTAAGTACAAAACGGGACTCCTTTTAGCTGACTTAACTGAAATGTTAACCCTTAGCCTACTGAGTCTCTCGCCGAATCTACTCGGTGGGTCGCGTTTCCGATCCGGTAGTAGATTCTGCGAAGCACTGCTCTTGCTATGGCCAGTGTTAGCAGCACTCCGGTTTGAGCCCCCATGAGCTCACCTACACGTCAAGACAAAGCTGAAATAGCCTCTCAAGGCTATCACCACAGGTAGGGAAAAAAAAGGTTAACCCGCTATTACGCGATAGATATACGAGTATACTTATATACTAGTATTGAATAAGTTCCTCATATAATAAGTATTAAGGGATGGATACTAATAAACTTGTTGTTATCTTAATAATCTTTTCATAATACCTTTGTAGTTTATTCGTAGGTATCGAACGGTTTCAACAGAACAAATGTGAAGAAAAACCTTAAAGATGTTTTTAAAATTTTTTGAGAATTTTATGTCATAAAAACTAAAAGTAAGCTAAGGTAAGCTTGTAAAGTCGAATTATTGCGCTAGTTCAATCTGTAAAACATCAATAAAATTTCAAAAGATTATACATTATTACGAGTATGTGTGAGAAACGCATTAATCGCCTTTCAAACTCCTATTTTGCGTTACTGAATTCTTCTCAACATTTTTCAGATTAATGAGACTTTTTAATAAGCTTTTCTTAGCTTCAGACGTATGTATGTATGTATATTTGTAACGGAATCTTTGAACATGATTTTGACCCCCTTTAAAACGTCGGATTAACTCGAAATTTGGTATACTTATTAAGGAGGTAGGTGGTAGGACCTCTTGTGAGTCCGCACGGGTAGGTACCACCGCCCCGCCTATTTCTGCTGTGGAGCAGTAATGCGTTTTGGTTTGAAGGGTGGGGCAGCCGTTGTGACTATACTGAGACCTTAGAACTATATCTCAAGGTGTGTGGCGCATTTACGTTGTAGATGTCTATGGGCTCCAGTAACCCCTTAACATCGGGTGGGCTGTGAGCTCGTCCACACATCTAAGCAATAAAAAAAAGGACCAATGACAATTCAATATTAAAAAAAATTGAAAAAATTGAAACTCAACTAAAAATGAAAAACTATTTTTCAGTTGGATTTTCTATAAAAGCGTATTTTGTTAGTTTTTTTAAACTATTATTTATTTAGATAAATACTTATGTATAGCTAGCTCTATTTGTGTGTTTCTTCAACATTTTCCAATAACTATTTTAATTCTATTACTTTACCGAAACGGGAAATTAAAAAATAAAATAAGACTGCAAGCAAGCACGTAAGTAATATGAAGGAACCTCATGGGCAGGATTGAAATCTCTTTTATTATCTTCAAAATTTTCTCATTCAAGTAAATAGTAGTAGATAATGGACTTTTGTTTATTCTCAATTTAGATTGGAATTGATGCTAATTAGCTCCGAGTTCACAGCAGAGATACCCTATTTGATGCATCTCAAAACTGTAAGCTATAAGCAGTTATAACTGACGCAAATAATAGGAATACATTCAACAACTTTAGGCTATTCACACAAATAATGTAACAAACTCAAACAAATCAACGAATAGCTTGATCGTTCTCATCATACAGTAACTTTTCATTTTACGTAATTTAAAAGATGAGACAAGGGACTTGCCGAATCGCATATTATGTGAAAAAACCAGCTCATGTGATGAATTCCGCCCTATTAAATCTGAATACGGAGTATAAACGTCCTTGAAAGATCCCTCACGAATATTTAAATTTGGTCTCTTGTTGGTTTTCAGATGATATCTCATCTCGGTTCCATTTAACATACACAATCACGTTTCCAAACAAGGCCGTACATTTCTACATTAATTTCAACACAATTACTTTCTTAAACCTAAAGCATAATATACTAATACCGAAATTAATTACAAAAAACTTCCAATTTCGAAATTTACAAATGATCATAATCGACCTATTTATTCCTTAACCGTTGATTTGAAATAAATTGTTATTTTAGGGTGGAACATGATCTTCCAGTAAATAGACGAAAACGGTAAGATGTATTTCTAGAACTTTCAGAGATGCATTATGATTTCGCAGTACTGTCGGGACGTGGCCAACTCAAACAAGCGTGTTTACCCGACGTTCGCTCGCACCAGGCCCTCAGATGTCGACATATCACGCTCCGTGGTCGCCGTGCTGAAACATTTCAATTTCATGCATGTAAACGTTATTCTTATATTTACACAGTAAAATCGAAAAACCTTTCAAAAACCCTCTCGTAACTCAATACCTTTAGTAAATATCACAGATTTATTGGAACCACTTCACTCACTTAACATTTCGTTACATTGTTTACGCAATGTTAACATTTTTTGGAAACATAATGTGTTTCTTTAATTGGCTCATGTTTGTGAAAACATCCTCGGTACCCTGTGTCTAGTTAAATGCTGTTGAAACATTGTTGATTAAATAAATAAATAAATAAATAAATAAATAGATAAGTGTTTTCGTTGAAAAGGCTTTGTCATAATATCAAATAAGATATATTTTGTTGCGATTTAATGTTTCTTGAATGTTTGTTTATAGAATATAATAAATTTCACGATACCCAATCGTTAAGATTCGAATGGGGTGTTTAATTAAAGTCGTAAATTTCGTTTTACAGGTGGCCTTTGTTTACTTGAATGCGCCAAATCACGATTATACTCGACTTGCTTATGCCATAAAACAGGCAGCAAGAGAGAAACATATATCCGTACGTGCAATCCAGGCTTATACGCACCCTTATTACTATGAAAATAAGGAAGGGAACTTTTCCCGTAATCCGTTTTTGGATATCGTGCGAGACACATATAAGGATACAAGAAGTACGTATTTATAGATGTAAATTCACTGTGAAATAGTAATTTGTTGGATTTAAGTGTTGTGTTTTTTACAGTTTACGTGTCTGTGGGGTACTATCATGATCATATAGCCTTGATGCTGGCGCTAGACACGCTCCAGCTGCTAGATTCAGGTATGATTATTCTTACATCTTATATATTTATTATACGTCTTTCATTACGTACACTCAATACTGTCAAATTCTCGTTCTTCGTTAAATTTGAAAACATCGTTTTTTTTTTTTTGAAGCAATGTATTCAGAAAGTTTTATCAGTGAGTGTGAATATTTGAATAATATATGCGGGACTATTCCGAGATATAAGATGGTTTTGTTTTTAGGAGAAATTCGGTAAGTATAATGACATTCCGAAGCTCGTGAATCTGTTTTTGTTAAATTAAATGCTACAAAACTCTATATTTAGAAATAAATGTTTTCTTTAACTTCTACTCGGGGTTACTTACTCTGCGGGGCTACTTACCTTTTTTCTCCCTACCTATTCGGTGGTAGCCTATTAAGCTTTTCCAACTACGCCCAGACGGGCAGGTGAGCTCAAGGGCTCAACCTGAGAGAATTTACTAACATTAGCCTTAGCTAGCAGTGCTTTTTAGAATCTACCACTGGGTTAGTTCGTCGATTACGACGAAGATTTCAACGAGGAATTATTAATTCACTCCCATAGACACAGCCCACTGAGTTTCTCGCCGGATCTTCTCAGTGGGTCGCGTTTCGATCCGGTGGTAGATTCTGCGAAGCACTGCTCTTGCTAGGGTCAGTGTTGGCAACACTCCGGTTTGAGCCCCGTGAGCTCACCTACACACGTTAGGGTGAAGCTGAAATAGCCTCTCAAGGCTATCAGCATAGGTAGGAAAAAAAAATTCTAACGGCAAGGCACCCCTTAGGACACATATATTGCATCTTGTTTTCAAAAAAATTAATAACGAAACTAAACATAACGATAAAATTGTGGAAATCTGTAAAAATTGGTTAACAAGAACAACAATCTACCTACATATGTATGTATTTAATTTTTTTAGTCTTTGCTTTAATCGCATAAGATATTATAAAGTTTAAAATATTGGACAGGATAGCGCTGTTTGTATAGCGTAGCCTAAATCATGACATACTGTATAATTCTAGATATTCGTTGGCACGACAACACACCATTATTCGGCGACGGAAACCGTAACGGGTGCCATCCATTTTAAGTCCACAGAAGAATGAATGCCATTTCAAGTGTTAAATTGTTTGTGTTTTTTGCGTAATTGATCATTTGCTTAAATTACTTTTTGTGAGCCGTCCCAACGTTTTTTTTTTATATACGACCTTCAATCATTACATAGGCCTTCGGTTCAACTAGCAATGAATTTGGACAAACAGAATAGATAGAATAGATAAAGGAGAAATAGATTTTTTAAATGAAAAGAACCATCCAATATATTGGAGGCACTTATTTGCAGAGTCAATTAATTAATAAAATAAAATTAGGTTATATGGAGCCAGAGCCACGAAAACCCCAAAATATTTTCAATGTTCTCATTTCAGTTACAGTTTTTTGATAAGACGTAAACAGAAAGAGTGATAAATAAATTGATAAATAATACAAATTTCTACATTTATAAAAAGATTGGCCACAAAAATAGTAATTTCTTGCATGGTTCTAGTTTAAAAATTTCTATAGTAAAATCAACAACTTCAGCGTAACTTGAGAGCTAACTCACACAACTATACTTACACGTAATGAAAATACCGTTCTCATTCCACGCTCCGAACAAATTCTTTCGTAAGAAAGGCTATACGAACGATAAGCTTACATTCTATACTGTTAGTACAGTTCATTGAAAGTTGAGCTAATATCTAGTCCCATTTAGATCTGCATCCATCTTATTCGCGGATCATGAAAGCAAGGGAATCGATCATGTGACGAAACATGTTTACCGGTGATCAGTAGGACACGTTTGCGTTATAATTTACACTAAGTATAATATTTTTGTTCAATAGTAAAGTAAGGCTTTTAAAACTGGCACGCATAGCAGTAGGCACGCAAGCGATATTTAGAATAAATTCTATGCTAAGCAAATAATATTAAATTTTGCGTTAAGTAATGAAACGAGCGAAGCAAATATTTTCATTTAGTGACAAGAATTACACTTTCGCGACGTTGCTGTTTCACGAAATTCTAGATAAGCTAGGATAAATAAAGGGATAAAACGGTGTTATCAGCGCGTGAATTATATTTTTCATTCCACTAATAAAATAGTAATCAGAAACACAATCATTAACTTTGAGTTTTAATATATGTACATCGTGTTTCTGTGTCATTCAACACTCTATACTTTAGGTGAATATATTAAACATTCTATACGTATAAGTATTGTTAGTTTTTAAATAATTTGCACATATATTGGAAAATATAATAATGATTTCTGGATTGCGACAGTTTATAATTTTCGTGTTTTTCTGCAATGCTCACATAAAAACTGTTACCAGCTTCACGTTTCGTTTCAATGACTTTGTCTGCGCGCTTTCCGCATAATTGAATACAAAACATGGGTTTAGCCGATTTTTGGACCGTTGAATTCAGATAAAGCATGATGTGCGAAGTACAAATTATTCTTAATGTTAAAGAACAAGTCGTATATAAAGTCAAATACCTACACGCTATACATAAAGCTTATAATATTTTTATTAGGGTAGATGAACACATTAAGTACCTACCTAGTTTTACCTACCTATAGTTTTAACTAGTTAGCGAAAACGAAACAACAGCCCGAATTTAGCTGAAACCAAACCTGGAACATGAGATTACAGTCAACTGAATTGTATTAACAGTTTCACTCCCCTCGAAGTGTCTGATTAAGTCGTACAAGAAATAGGCAGAGCAACGTCCAGACTTAACATCCACTACTACTAACACAAATACCAGAGTAGACGTTGTATAATAGGTATACAGTTGGTATTATATTGTAGTTAATCGTAATATCAGTACTTATATAAAATACATATATTGACTAACTGGTATAACTCTAAGATAGTAATCGCTTCTATTTTCCATCATTAGAACTGAATCTAATACAAATTTGGAAATCAAAGTTACTACGAAACTTTTAGAACATGTTCTTAAACTCTAAACATATTTTTAAGACATACGCTACATAATTTTAAATACATTTTCAAGACGTACGCTACATAAAACCGTTGACTACAAAAATCCGTTATGACAATACTGTCAGAGACATGTTAAAAAGTTTATTAATATGGCGGATTTACATAGTCGCGCTGACATGCCAGCGCTGGCATGATGTTGGTCGTATAATGAATCTACTTATCATACCATTGTTCTAGGCGTAATATGCCTTTGCAAGATAATGATTACGTTTAGGACACATGTAAACGCGTCTCGTCAATCGCTGTATTAAAAAAGTCGTCGTGGCCTAAAGGATAAGACGTCCGGTGCATTCGTGTTGAGCGATGTATCGATGTTCGAATCCCAGGCGGGTACAAATTTTTCTAATGAAATACGTACCCAACAAATGTTCACGATTGACTTCCACGGTGAAGGAATAACATGGTATAATAAAAATCAAACCTGCAAAATTATAATTTGCGTAATTGCTGGTGGTAGAACCTCTTGTGAGTCTGCGCTGGTAGGTACCACCACCCTGCCTATTTTAGCCGTGAAGCAGTAATGCGTTTCGATTTGAAGGGTGGGGCAGCCGTTGCAACTATACTTGAGACCTTAGAACTTATATCTTTCTTTTTTTTTTTTTTTTATTGCTTAGATGGACGGACGAGCTCACAGCACACCTGGTGTTAAGTGGTTACTGGAGCCCATAGACATCTACAACGTAAATGCGCCACCCACCTCGAGATATAAGTTCTAAGGTCTCAGTATAGTTACAACGGCTCAAGGTGGGTGGCGCATTTACGTTGTAGACGTCTATGGGCCCCAGTAACCACTTAACACCAGGTGGGCTGTGAAATCGTCCACCAATCTAAGGATTAAAAAAAATTTTTTAATAAATTAATTTTCATTGCATTCCTCACAAGATGAAATCCTGCTACCACTTAATTATAAGCATCGCAGTCGAGCGGCACAATTCGCTGATGACAGTAGCTGACACTAGTCACCGTACCAACGTAAATCTACCATAAATATTAGGCCAATAATGTTCCATCTTCTGTCCTCGATAGGAGAGTATGCCGCTATTGGGGTCGACGTCGAAAAGTACGAATCTAACGAAGCTGTCCGGTATCTGTCCGGGCCTTTGCTGAAAGAGCCAATACCAAGAACTCTGCGCGCGTTTCGTTCATATCTTGCAGTCGCGCCGTCTCCGTCACCATCTTACCCTGCTTTTGCTTTAGAAGTGAACAGAAGGTTGCAGATGCCCCCGTTCAATTTTAACAATCCGCTGCAATTCCTTGGTGGTGGGAAAGTGGTGAGTGAGAGATATGTGTTTTTTTTTAAAATAGACAACACTTCTTCCGCAAAATTAGGTACGAAAGAGAAATAAGCACATGATTAAAATAATCATGAGCCTATTTCTGCCGTGAAGCAGTAATGCGTTTCGGTTTGAAGGGTGGGGCAGCCGTTGTAACTATACTGAGACCTTAGAACTTATATCTCAAGGTGGGTGGCGCATTTACATTGTACATGTCTATGGGCTCCAGTAACCACTTAACACCAGGTGGGCTGTGAGCTCATCCACCCATCTAAGCAATAAAAAAAATATAAAAAAAAATTAATTTGATTGTAAAAATAATTGAAATTTTAACTAAACACCGCAACTCATGCTACACATACTTTCTTCGTACAGTAGTATTCCAATCAATTTATAAAATGATCATTCGAGTAAAAAACACTCCACCCCACATTCGTTTTAATGCAAAACAAACAATAGCCCTAATAAAACCGCAAGGGTTAGTTAGGGGTCCATTAATTTAATGAGCAAAACCAATTACTTATTCTGTAGTCAAGTATCGTCAACTAGAATTATTCTATTACACATTCTTCGAAATCCGTGCGTAGAGTTTAAAGATGTTAGACGGACGATTTAGATTCTGATCGTGCACTATCTGAGGCGAAGTTATATAACTTGGGGACATGAAAAATGAGTGCGCCAGTAAAAGATGTCACGGAACACGACAATGTCGCTTAGAAATTGCAAATTAAAACTGTTACAAAAACACCCGCACGTTGAATAAATTAGCATTTATTTGGTGAAAACTTAAAAAGTAAAACAAAGAAAAAAATCTGCATAGATATATGTGACAGCGTGTGAGTAAAACTTCTTAGAAGAGAGAGAAAAGGATATTTTCCGTCTTTACTTCAACTTAAACAGAGCATGTTTTTCTTTTACTTTTACACAAAAATAAATGTTCCAACTAATCAATGGTATAAGTCGTCATATTTCTCGATCGTGTAAATGCTTTTTGCCTGTTTCATCATCTAAATGTTTTGCGTTCCGATTAAAACAGCCATCATAAATTCAAATAACTTTGTCCACATGCCTAGAGATGAGCGGTGGCACTTATTTTGTATCTGTGAGCTCTGACACCCAGTTAGGTCGTCTCAACCTATTCTTTAATTTACTTTCTGTTCAAAGACTGTGTTCTTTGATTAGATACCCGTTGAAGCAGCATGGCTTCATGATGCCATATGGGTATATGCTCGCGCTTTGGCTGATACTCTGAGGTCCGGAGAAGATTCGCGGGACGGCAGAGCTATAGCATCTCGAATGCTGAACACTACCTACAAAAGCGTTATGGGGTATTAATATTTTTACTATTCTTTTTATATTTTTAAAAGCTATGTATAAAAGACTGATGACGTTTAACTAAAAAAGCTATGAAAAAATATTAAATTTATTGGGTAAACAATATATCACCGGATATGAATGTAAATTACCTATTTTATGACTTAAATTGTTGGATATGCTTTCAAGATGTCATATCGTATCATATAAAATATGAGTTCAATGTTACATTTAAAATATTTACGTTGATTTTTTTAAAATATTTGCCTAAAAATAGAACAGCTTTAAAAGAAATGCCTCGAGCTATTATCTCATAATTACCATGGTTGATAGTTGTTTTGACGTGAACCCATTTACCCTTTAGTAGTGTTATTAATGACAACGATTCATTTTCACATTGTCTTTTCTGTATATAAAATATAGATGTTTATATTTCAACAGATTTTGACACGCAGGTTGTAATTATTCATGAAATACAAACGTAATTATAAGGAATTTTATTTTTGCTCAGTCATTTAAACTAGTTTTTTTCCCCTTTTCGGCTTTGAGAACTGTTACTTTACACCCTGTATTTAAATAATGTATTAAATTTCTTGGTTTTTCACGCAACTGTTTTTATAATGTCGTAACGGTCTCAATCTGATAACTAGATTCTTCATGTTTAAGCCGCTTTGCCTTTTGAATCTTTATTTTATTACAATTTCCAATATTTTTTTGGTTAAGTCGATGTTAAATGGATACAAAGAAAGGTCACCTTATTCGTAAAATAAATAAGTACGTAATTTAAAGAATTGCAGTCTTATTTGATTTTTTTTTATATTTTTGTTAGTTACTGGGTGCATATGGATGAAAATGGCGACGCTGAAGATAACTACACCCTGCTGTCCATTGACCCGAGTAGACCGCCAGGACTCTACCCGCTCGCTGTGCTACATAAATCTTATCCGGTTTGTTATATTTTATATCTCCTTTTGTCTCTATACGAATTATCTTTAACATTACCAACAAGATTTGATTAGCTTTAAAGTAGGCGCGCAGTTATCAATATTTTATTAAAAGTGTTTTAACACAGATAATCCTTCCATAGTATCTTCCATAGTATTAAAAGATGTATTTAATTTTATTTTTGAACTGGTAACTGCTAACTTATAACTTGTAATTTAAATTGGTAAGTAATATCATTATTATACATAAGTTATGTTTCATCCATATATCCGTTTAAAGACTCATCCAAAAATACACTTTATGTTAATGTACTAAAGTATTATAGCTTTTAAAAGCGTACATATGTAGAATTAATTACCAATAAATTTTATCGTAATGTGAGCTTCAATAGATATGTTATTAAGCGATGGACACACGTACGTACAGTATACTTACATACGTGAACGCGGCCGGAATAAACTGTGTCTTTTAGCTGTCTACTCCAAGAGTTTACGTCACATTTTGGCTTCGAAGTTGCTGACTGATGCCAACTATCACATAGATTTAATTTTACCACTAAAAACTTGTTAACTGGAACGTATAGCGTAATTCGTAATTCTACGGTTTCCTTAGCCAGATATCCGAGATGCGAGACTCCGAAATCCGAGCTAAATCTGTAATTACACCTTCCCATACAGGAAGTACGGTTTTTGCGTGAACTGGAATGGCCGGGCGGACAAGCACCGCTTTCGGAGCCGCCTTGCGGTTTTAGGGGAGAAAAATGCGTCAGTAAGTAAACAAACTGAATTAATTGGCTCCAAAAGAATCTTTTACATCACGTAAACGACATCGGTAAGTAGCCTACCCTAGTTCAGTAAAGGGTGTCGTCGCGACAAAGCCGAGCATTTCGTTTACTGCCAACGCGATCTAAAAAACTAATATGTAGCCGGGACCCGGGGCGGCATTAACTGCAAGGTTTGTTAGCTAGTGTAAGTACGGAGAGCCGTAAAACTGTCGTAACGAGTTCTAGTGACAAGCAATACAGAGCAGTCACCCATCGCCCGCACGCGACTACCCGCTGCGTTCCCGACACGAACCTTAATACATACCTAGTACTCCGGCTCGCAAAGAATACGTCTTATTTCAAATTGTCTACTTGTAACAAACAAAGCGAGCCAGCACTGATTGTTATCATCGACTTATCTGTCCCAAAGTTGTTATAATACACGTTATCCCAAAACTAGCTGTCTGTCTGCGCTAGTAGTAAAAGAGGATACTTTGCTAAATCACATAAAAACAATCATTAATTTCACCGTAACCTTTGGTCACAAACTGGGCATTTGTTTAGTGAAACACTCGCATAATATTTCATTATTCTCAGCGCGTCGTCATGTGGGAAATGAGATAAAGGCTAGATGAGTGTGTCGCTGTTGTCAACAGCATGTTTACGAGTGATAGTCCAACTTGAATTGTATGTATAATGGAACGCACGATGTTGTCATGAAATTTTGTTCCGCGAATCGGTGCGATTTATTAATGGGTAATTAAATAATCTGAAAATTTTCTAAATGTCTAACACGTTTAGAAATAGTTATGTTTTTTTCTTTGTCGTATCACTCTTGTCAGACCGGTCGTGTAATTTTATAATAATGTATTATGTATATATTATATTTTATAATTTACTGATAATTAAACAATACTTCGTTATCAGTAAATCAGAAAAAAACAAAATTAGTTGTTGCAGTAACGGATAGTAAAAGTAAAAGTGTAAATAACACTAAAAGTGTAACAATATCGTGTTATTTAAATGTTTAACGTTTTACTTCTTTCTTTAAGGAATAAACTCACCATTCTCTGCATAGACTGGCCATAAACATTGTCGCAGTTAAAAATAAAAATAACTTTTCATTTGAATTTGGAGCCCGTCATGCTCATATTATTAGTTATGTTTTCTCATTTCCGCGAAACTAGATTTTCGTTAAATATTTTTGTGATATGAACACGGTGTTTGGTCATAAATAAAGCTATCACTTTGACAGCATTATATTTATATAAAGTACGTATGGAGCCAACTGCAATTTTTCGAACTCGTCTTCCGTTTGGTATAACTCGAATGTTTATATGCCTGGCTATTGATAAGTTTACCTAAACGTTCTCTGTTTGTCACAGAGATCCTAGTCGCCCACATACTACTTACTAAAATAGCGATCTAAATAGTAAATATTTCAAATGAATCGTATGTAGGACACAAATCAAAAGACTTTATCTAGGAAAATCAATCCAGGACTATGTCGCTCTATTAAAAAGGACGACTTAGGACTTGCACCTTGAAACTACTGGTCCATTACCTAAGTGATGCTTAAAAAATAAATACGGTATAAAAAATAATAAAAAATAATAAACGTGCTTATCGTCAAAACTCTATAGAAGAATACAAAACGAATAAAATAGAAACAAGATTAAAACGTAAAAGAGTATTTTTGTCACATCGGCTGCTCATGACATCGCGAGGAATTACTCTATAATTTGGTACTTACATATAGATATGTATAGGTTTAACTTTTTCCAAGAGCTATATAGTTTGTTAATGTTTGTTACATGTTTGTTGCTCGATACGCAGGATAGATGCCAGATTAATATTACCAAGATATTATCGGAAAAAATCGATTATCGAACGAGGTTGAGTAAAACTTTAATCCCGTATTAATCTGTATTTAAATCCTTTAAAGATAATTATAAAGTCATTTATCTTTAATTATATTGTGGCCATAAAAATATTAGTGTTCGATTTGAATCCGATTCTGAAATTTATAAAACAAACATGCACATTGTTGTTACAGAATTTTTCAAATTTAGATGAACTAAAATGAATAAAATGTCGTATTTTTGTTATTATACAATTTATACATACTAGGTTTGGACTATCCATTGGTTTATTACTTACTACAGACAATTCTGACGTCCTTAACTTGGCAGCATAACTTGAATACTGAATTAAAATAACGGCGGTTCTTCTTTGTGCAAACCGAAACGCATAACTGCTTCACGGTTGAAATAGGCAGGGTGGTGGTACCCACCCGTGCGGACTCACAAGTCGTCGTGGCCTAAAGGATAAGACGTCCGGTGCATTCGTGTGTAGCGATGCACCGGTGTTCGAATCCCGCAGGCGGGTACCAATTTTTCTAATGAAATACGTACTTAACAAATGTTCACGATTGACTTCCACGGTGAAGGAATAACATCGTGTAATAAAAATCAAACCCGCAAATTTATTAATTTGCATAATTACTGGTGGTAGGACCTCTTGTGAGTCCGCACGGGTAGGTACCACCACCCTGCCTGTTTCTGCCGTGAAGCAGTAATGCGTTTCGGTTTGAAGGGTGGGGCAGCCGTTGTAACTATACTGAAACCCTTAGAACTTATATCTCAAGGTGGCTGGCGCATTTACATTGTAGATGTCTATGGGCTCCAGTAACTACTTAACACCAGGTGGGCTGTGAGCTCATCCACCCATATAAGCGATAAAAAAAAAAGTCTTACCACCAATAATTACGCATATAATAATTTTGCGGGTTTGATTTTTATTACACGATGTTATTCGTTCTGTACATTACATACAAAACCGGGCCAATTACCTACTTAATTATATGAAAAAATATATATTGGACCCTGCAATAGTCACTTTACGTGCTACGAATTCACTGGACACCTTACCCTTATTTATTAAGCCACGGAACCTTGAACATAATGAGTTAGTTAATTAGCAATTACAAGTTTAATAATCAATGACATTTTCAAATACAAATTCAGTTCGTTTATAACCATCAAATAATGTTTAATTCAATAGTTCTTCTTCTGCAGATTGAATAATACAAGACATCATTAACAGAGTTTTCCGGTTTCCTTTGTTCACAATTTTCCTCGTTTTCCCAATCCAACTGTTCCGTTCTTTCGATGTAGTTACTAGAACGTCTTTGACGAGAAATCGTTGTAAAGTAACAAAATGAATTACTTAACTTAGAAAAGTTAGCGCTTCTTTTTTTAAGNAATTCAATAGTTCTTCTTCTGCAGATTGAATAATACAAGACATCATTAACAGAGTTTTCCGGTTTCCTTTGTTCACAATTTTCCTCGTTTTCCCAATCCAACTGTTCCGTTCTTTCGATGTAGTTACTAGAACGTCTTTGACGAGAAATCGTTGTAAAGTAACAAAATGAATTACTTAACTTAGAAAAGTTAGCGCTTCTTTTTTTAAGATTTTTTTTTTGGTCGAAAACGGACTTTCTGAAAAAGTTCCCAAAGTGAAGAAATCTAAAAATTAATAATGTAACATTACTTTTTGCAGTTAAAATTCAGGCAATGATATTATTCTAACGGAGAAGAATAAAGCTGTTTTGGACTAAAAGCGATTTCTTACAAACAACTAAATTTGAACGAGAATTACGCTTCTCGCACGTCATCACGCGAGGGCTCAGTTCGAGACAGAATTACTTTGAAATTTTCAGTTTTCTTTAGAGCTAGCCAGGGAAAACCCTTTTCGCAAATCCGAAAAGGGAATAAAGTACTAACTCTACAAAAAAAAACCTTATTCACATTTTCTGAACTTCCAATTTAGTCTGGACTCTAATATTGCGCTATCGAACTATGAATCGATAACACAGCCCCTTGTACCTTCATTTTCAGAAATAGCCCCCCCCCCCCCTCCCTAGCGCCGGGGGTATATAACGTGAATTTTTCCGTGATTGTTCATGGGTGTACTTTTAGTGCTGAACCATAAGTTTTGATAAAAATTGGGAATTTATTATGCAACATGAGCAAAAACATATAAACAACAACAAACATGAGCAACGCTGTAACGCTAGTTTTTGTTGGGTAACTGTTGAAAGCTTCTTCGCCTATCGTGGGAGAAAATACATTACGATGTGTTTAAATAATTATAACAAATCGAGTTTTAATGAATTTCAAAAACTTTTGATTCGAGGAGTATCGGTTTTTTTTTAAATATTGGTATTTCGACGTATTGTATTATTTGTGAGATAAGACCAAATACTTAAAATTAATGCCCATATATGACTATACGGTCTATGTAGAAATTTTAGTCTTTGAAAAATATAGGAAGACGTACATACTTTACATTTCGATTGAATACCTAGTCTGCCGAATTCATAGATCAAAGTTTTGAAATAATTCGCTGCTAAATCTGTTTCCCATTAACACCCCTTAACATTATTATATCTACACGAACATGTAAAAGCTTCATGTATTTTTTTATAGCTTAGACGTCTGTAGAAGCTCAAGGCCCACATGGTGGTCACTGGAGCTCATGGATATCAATAATGTAAATGCAGCCGCCCATATTGAGACATGAGTTCTAAGTCTCAGATTTATAGTACAACGGCTGCCCTATCCTTCAAAGCGGAATGCATTACTGCTTCGGTTCAGAAATAGGAAGAGGTGGTAATAAACCACAATTAAAAAGGGGCTTCTTCTGCCTATGATTAGTTCAACCAGCTAAATTTCGAGATAAAGGCTCAGTGAAATGTGTAATAAAATTGTGACCAGATTAGATTTTGTGATAGTTTATCTATACTTAATATTATAAAGAGGAAAGATTTGTTTGTTTGTTTGTTTCGAATAAACTCCGAAACTACTGGACCGATTTGAAAATTCTTTTTCCATTAGAAGCCGACATTGTCCCTGATGAACATATGCTACTTTTTTTTTTTTTTGGTTTCATGTGTGTTTTAATGTTTCCGAAGCGAAGCGAGGGCGGGTCGCTAGTTAGCTTATAAGTATATACCACATTTAGAACAGTAAATAATTCGATACACATATGTCGTACGATGGATCGTACCATCGATAAAATCATAATACGTTCCCTTCTGGTTTTTAGTATTACATTTCATGTGAACTCGTAATATTTTGAACACTAAATAACTGAGTGGTTAAACAATTTCTAAGGCCACATCGGAGCCTGGGCTCTGGGTGCATCGGGCGGGACTCTAGCATTGCTCGCACTAGCTGCTCTCGCCTTGTATCGGGGTTGGCGTTACGAGCAAGAATTAGACTCACTACTTTGGAAGATAGACTTCAGGGACCTGCACCTTCCTGACAAAGAACAGCGAGCCAACAAACTGAGTAGGTAAACGGAATTTATACATGTTGTACCCACGCATGCTCACACAAGGTTTGTTTTTGAATACACCCATGTCTACTCACAAGTCGTTAAACGCGAACGTTTTTGTACTGCTTATAAACTGCCAATCCTAATCTCTTCTTTTAATTCGGTTTGGTAAATAGTTGTACAGTCATGCTTAGCCTCGTTTGCCCTCGTGCGTACTTTCGCCAATTTATCTCATGTTCGTGACGTAATTAATCAGTTTGAAATGACAGATTAGTTCATAATTTTATTGAATGCTTTGTAAGCTTTGTTTCATGAGTCATTTTTTTGGCTTTAGAAGTTAGACAAGCAAACGGGCCTACAAGGATACCCACAGAAGATACTATTAATGATAATACATTTAGATAATAACTAAATTCGTCGAAGTTATTAAATTAATTAAGAAAAGTTAAATACAATAGGTTTTTACTATTTAAACTTATCTTACGCCTTGTGTCATTTGCATTTTTATTTCACAGAGTTAACAAACAGCTCTGAACGTTTATTTATTGAAAATTGCAGACATTATACTGTCAATGTCCACCTTATCTCTCGCAGTCAAGGTCGTATTTTCTGCAAACGTGTTGTAGTTTTCAAAATACTTAAACGTTCGTTATGTTTCGAATAAAATTCTGACTTCTAAGGGTTATTATAGTCTTGCAGTTATAGCTGTGATTAATATTTAGCGAGTTAGTCAGAGCTAATTTTTTCCAGCAAGATAGCAGCGCGGTGGCTCACATCAACAATACGACAAACGCCGCTGGTAACAACGAGAAGAATGGAGGAGGCAGCACCGGCGGGGTTCGCTCAAGTCAGGTGATTAGCTCAAGTTAGGCTTAGGTTAAGGTTAAGGCTTAGCTTAGGTCAAGTTATACAACAACACTAGCCGCTAATCGATGCAGCCAGTTCCAGATAATTCGAGTCATTCTAAATTACCTTTTTTTTTATTAAGATAATTACATTCTAAGGGTTTAAAGGAAACAACACAGAAAATAAACAAAAAACACGAAAAATACTTCGACTGTTGTTAACTTTTACGGCTTGCGACCGTACGAGGAAACTGAACTTTGATAACGCCATAGTTTACTTGAAGAAGTCGACCCAGCGATCATGGACTTAGACTAATGGTGAAGAGCTTGTGTATGCTGATGCCGTAGGCGACAAGCCTAGCTTTTTAAAATGACGCCATCTATCGACAACTTCGCCTAAAAACCTCGCCTTATTTTCCTCGCTCCCTCTAACACCTATCTTGGGTACTGGTAGCTACTAGTACTATGGTAGTTGTCTTGTAAGCCCACAATGATCCAACAACCATTCTGCCTTTTTTACGGTGAAGCAACCATGCGATCCTGCTTGCAATGTTGGACAGGTCTCTTTGGAAATTGGATTAAGATTTAAGATTTGATCTCATGACATAAGTTAATATCTTGACATCTGTAGCCGCTAACTGCTAAATACCTGCTATGCAATGAGGTCTTTGAATTTATGATACTGGTTTTGTGATATGCGGATATACGTATACATATGTAGATGCTAACATATATTTTTATATATTTTCTAAGGTGTCACTAAGTTCGAACCCCGACCTAGACTTCCGTTACTCGGCGATCTTCACTGAAGTAGCATTCTACCGCGGCAGACTCGTCGCTGTCAAGCGAGTTAGACGACACCACATCGACATCAATAGAGAAATCAAAAAGGAACTTAAAATTGTAAGCATTATAGTACTTTTCTGGATTTTTGTCTTTCATGATTGTTTTTATGGCCTTTGTAGACAGACGAGCATACAGTCACTTGAAGTAAGCAGTTACCGTCATTGCGACTTCAGCAATGCCACTTTACATCTGTTTAACAGTATCCATTTTATAGATGATTCGTCGATATTCAAGAAATTGGTATTGTGTGTTTTTTTCATTGTACTAGTTAGTCATTTTTTTTTTTTTTTTTTCGGGCCGGGTGCCGAACCTCCTACGAGGTCCCCGCGCCTAGGGGGCGCGCGGGGTATGTGAGACTCAACGATCTGCAGGTAGTTAGTCATATGCATCAACTGCATATATGTATCGACGAACCATTTCAAATTTCATCGGAAACATAACCAAATATACATTGAAAACTATCTGAGTGGTTATGTTGAAATGTGAATGATACGCGCAAGAATACGACAACATAAATCCATTCTTTTTATGATATTTACAGTATCTATTTTAAATTTTACATTGAAATTTTGCTACTGACTCGTCCGATGTTTTTTGGGTTAACAGCCGAGCTTTACGGTACGAATAGGTATTTCTTAGTCAGTATTATGGAATCGAGGCCGCACTCGCCCATAATGTACCTAATATTAAAGCACTCGCATTTATTTGCTGTGTATCAATTAGAATTCACTACTCACATTATAAGAGCATTAGCCCGAATGAAATGGGAACGAAAAGCCTTTGAGCCGTAAGGTCTCATAAAATAAACAATGTTCCTCCCACGAAGGAACTGACTAAGACAAATCGGTTTAATACGTTCAACTTTGCCAAATACAATAACAAGAATTGCGTGTGAATAATAGTCCTCTTTTTTTTTTGTAAACATGTTTTTTTTTTCAGTTACTTCCAGGTGTTATAAATGAGCTATCATTTAGCTTGTTCAGTCGGTAACGAAGATTAAGTTTTATAGTTCTTGCGAATCGAACTGAAACCTTTATAGTCTCTTTTTAATTAAGTGGGCCATAAAAACGATTCCTTTGCTTTTCTATAGCATAAGAACTTGACACGTTGTAGATTTTGTTAAATTCAGTTTACGAAAATTATTTCCAAACGCATTTAATTCGTAGAAACATTTGAAAAAAAAAATACTCTTGTGACAGTTATGTGGGGAACATCTGACATAATATAAGCTACAATATTACATATTCGAGATGTCGATAAACTATTTTTTATGCCTTCGCTCATTTCTTAACTCCTATAAATCACAACAACAACAGTTTGGTCGTAGTACCTACCTATCTTCTTGTATTCCGTGATTATTATAAAACTAATTCAGCTATAGAACTGTAGAGCTTGTTAGTTCCAATAGCGATTATTAAAAATCTACTTGATAGTCACTTAATAGATATAATGTAGATACTGTATGATGTATGATGATATTACAGCCACGGGCGCAATAAATATTAAACTATCAATCTTAAGTTTTCACATCTGGATTTCATTACTAACACCAAAAAAATGAGGAAAATTACATCATTTTTTTTTCTCCTACCTATGCTGATAGCCTTGAGATGCTATTTCAGCTTCGCCCTAACATGTAGGTGAGCTCACGGGGCTCAAACCGGAGTGTTGCTAACACTGGCCCTAGCAAGAGTAGTGCTTCGTAGAATCTACCACCGGATCGGAAACGCGACTCACTGAGAAGATCCGGCGAGAAACTCAGTGGGCTGTGTCTGTGGGTTGTTACATCTCGATGGTTACATCAATGAAACCGTCGTACTGACATTGTATTAAGAAATATTGTGGTACAGCATATCTATATACCGGTAAAATGGGGCGATTAGGGATTGAAAGGCGAATCGGGAAAAAACCGGGAAAATCTTTCGACGCTCAATATAAGTTTTATATTCGTTGCAAAATCTTCCATTTTTTGTAGTTTAATAGTAGAATGTTGAAAGATCACAAAACAACTCTGAATATGCATGATAATAGCTGCTAACTTATAAAAAATCGCGTTTCAAATTAACTTCCTGTGGTGGTAATTATTTTAGTGCTAGAAACTTTGCTCTCTTTTATTTATTTGATAATAATAGAAGACGACTATGATTTATAAACGTTATTTAGTGTTTGAACCAGCATATATATTAAAGTTAAGTCTCAGTTGTTATTGGTTTTAATGTATTTGATTAAATAAAAATACATGTAAAAATCTGTTGTTTTTGGGGATATTGGGGACGTCTTAGGTACAAATAACAACGAAAAAGGGGTCAATTGGGATGAGAATACGTGAAATGGAAACGACCTAAGTATAAATAGGTACAGGTTTGTAGGGTTGTCTATGTAGTTATAACAATATTTTTTAAATTTGTTGGTAAAAATCTGGTTTATTCGAAGCGAAATTGGGAATAAGTCTTTAGTTGAAATAGATAAGCAATTTAATATAAGTAAGTCGATTTTGCAGAGACATGTAACAAGATCAATGAAATCTCAAGGTGGACAAAAATGTCTAAGTAATACATAATAAAATATTTAATATTTGTTCAGAGTGGGGGTATTCATCTGATTAATCCATGGAATAACCGACACACCTAATCTCTTAACCCAGATAGAAATATCAGCACTGTCGATTGCACCTATAATTGAGGTGATGTCTGCCATGTACTTTTGTCAGTTTTTCAATTTTTTTTATTGATGATCACTTTGTTGGTGCAACTAAATAAATAAATAAATTAAAACTATATATAAAAATAAAAGTAGTGCCAACCCTAGCAAATTTCTCATTTCGTCCCAATTAACCGCAATTTTCGGGTAAATAGGGATTACACCTATTTTTGCATTTTTTGCTTAAACTGGAATGCTAGTTGCATAATTTTAAATTAGACAACAAAGATGCGCCCAAGACTCAATCATTTTGATCCTGATATAGCATTATATACATCAACAACTACCTTAAAATTGCTCATAAAGTTGGAATTTGTCCCTAATCGCCCCATTTTACGGTAATTGTTCACTAACGACTTCAATTTGTAATGTCTTCGACTCAATATCACCAGTTAAGAGTGGCACTGGTCTGCGGCGTCATATTGAGTTGTATGTAGGCTCCGGGACGCGAATTCGTGTGCTCATCTATCTTAATAAAAAGCAACTGAATAAAGTCCACTAAAAGTGATTTTACACAGATGCGGGACCTTCAACATGACAACATAAACGGGTTTGTGGGAGCGTGTATCGAACCTCCCAATGTATGCGCTTTGTCGGAATATTGCACGAGAGGTAGTCTTAAGGTACGTAATTATTTTTAATTATTATTCGTTATTTATTTCTTTTTTATATTATAAGTACGTATTTATAATATGATATTATAGGTTACCTTCATAACTTCTTCAATTTAATATGTTATGCGTATGTTAGTATTAAGCGGTAGGCAGCGACTTGGCTCTGGCATTGCTGAAGTCCATGGGCCACGGTAACCACTCAACATCAGGTGGGCCGTATGCTTGTCAGCCTACAAAGGCAATAAAAAAAATGCAAAATATTTTTTGGCGCGAAGCTTTCGATTTTAATAGTGGGATAGCCATCAATCACACATGCAACTAAGACTTCGATCTCATGGCTAAATATGGTTGAAGGTGTTAATGTTCTTATGTCTATGACCTACCGTAACCACTTCAAGACAGGTTAGTTGTGAAATCATTCATCCTTCTACGCATCCAAGACAGATAAATAAATTTTTTTTTAAATCGGAATATATCCAAACTAGTACAGGCAAACATTTTTTTTTTATAATAGCAATTAAATGTTTTGTATCTTATTGAACATGTTTCATTAAAATGTTTTCGATGTAATCGCAGGATATACTCGAAAATGAAGATATTAAACTCGACAACATGTTTATAGCATCTTTAGTTGGCGATATTATTAGGGTGAGTTATTTTCGTATATCCTTCGCAAATGTTTAGGTTTTAATACACAGGTGTGGATATTGCTACATACAGTTCCATAAGGGTATAGTGTATATTGATAATATCGCGTGTAAGATGACTATTGGACCTTAGTGAATGATAATATCCACTGTGGGTAATGGACGTTACTAGGGTAAGCTGTACAATTATTGACACTCGAACCGGATCACGCGGGAGTCACGTGTCTTCTTTTGTGTCCACTCGTACACCCTGAGCGACTGATTCCACCATAGCTTTCGGACGACAAACTATGTTTCAGGGTATGATATTTATTCACGAGTCACCGCTGCAGTACCACGGGTCTCTGCGTCCGTCTAACTGCTTGGTGGATGCTCGATGGGTAGTCAAGCTCTCTGACTTTGGATTGAAGGAGTTCAGGAGAGGAGAGCTGCCTCCTTCAGAACCAACGGCGTTGAGGTCGCATGTCGACAGTGAGTCTCTTGTTTATGTATTTACGGTCGTCAACACTTATAATATTGCATAAAATAGAATCGTTAAAAGCTTAGTAACTACGTGATTGTAGGAAAATAAATTGAGTAAGATCGGTAGTAATAAATTTTAGTTAAATCCCTGCTTGTTTCTGCCGCACAGTCCGGTCCTTACGGTCCGGTTTGAGGGATGGGGCAGCCGCTGTACTACATGGTAGTCGTTTAGTGCGGTAGGGCCCTAAAACATCCTAGGGCCCACGGTCTTTACCAACCTCTGCAGATCTTCAAGTCCCACATGTTGAAAGATTACTGGTGGCCCGGAGGCCTTTCCAGCTTCACCAGGACAGGTGGGCGAGCAAAGGCTCAGCCAGGGGGGTGGGATTTGCTAACAACTGCCCGAGCGCCTCCGAAGGAGACCTAACAACTCAAGAGCAATTGCTTCGCGTATGAATCTACTACCGGATCGGAATCGCGACCCACTGAGAAGATCCGGCGAGAAACTCAGCGGGCTGATGCATGGGTTAGGTTGCACGTCGACCTCTTTGTCGAGTTCGACGAGTACGGTTACCGAGGTTCCTCAGCCTGCTCCTAGTGTTAGAGCTGAAGGTATCTAATGCAAGAGTTATTGGATCTGATGGATCCGTAAGGACGTGTCTAGGGCGACGACGGTGACTTGCTCCTGCGTGATCAGGATTCGGGGAGTAATCAGCGGCGGCAACGATAAGGCGATTATCATGACGCATAGCCTTACATACCCAGCGGCCCCCCTAGGCTAAGGAACCTCGTAGGGGTACGGCACCCGACCCGAAAAAAAAAGTCTTTGTACTACAGAACTAAGACTTGTAACTCATGTCTCAGGCTAAGTGGCACCATTTACGTTCTTAATATCAATGGGCTCCGGTAACCATTTAACACGAGGCGGACCGTGAGCTCGTTCATCCGTCTAAGCATTAAAAAAGTATTCAAGAATCGCATAAATTCTTTTTTATTTATTGCTTAGATGGGTGGACGAGCGCATAGCCCACCTGCGGTTAAGTGGTTACTGGAGCTCATAGACATCTACAACGTAAATGCGCCACACACCTTGAGATATACCTAGTCAGGTCATAAGTATTGTCACACAGTAAAAACTTTTCTTTTAGAATGCTGGCCACAAAAAAGTTTATTGAATTTGAATTTCGAATTGTTCATGAAAATAAAAATGTATACTTTTAGAATTTTACTCATTTTTTAAATATGGAGTGGACGCTTAAAGAAGACCGTGTTGCAGTTATTGCGTTGCATCGTTGCGGTTACGCGCCAATTCAAATTTTTTACATACTGAAAATTTTGAATATAACCAAAAGATTCGTTTATCATACCATCAAACGATACAATGAAGACTCTAGTGTAGATGACAGGTCAAGAAGTGGTCGCCCTTGGTCTGTTAGGACGAATTCAAAAAAATCCCAAAAGTAAGCAGAAAATGTTGGCCCTTTAGATGGGGTTAAGCAGAACCACGGTGAAAAGGGTGTTAAATTAAGACTTAGGGCTTCGGGCATATCGAATAAAAACAGGACATCGTTTGAATGCTCGTCTAATGGACCTGAGACTGCAGAGATGCCGCGCTTTGTTGAAGCGGTACGCGGGAAAAAAATATCGGGAAATTCTTTTTTCGGATGAAAAAATTTTTACCGTAGAAGAGAGCTACAACAAACAAAATGATAAGGTGTACGCACACAGTAGTGAAGAAGCGAGCAACCGTATTCCGCGTGTCCAACGAGGTCATTTTCCATCCTCGCTCATGGTATGGTTGGGAGTTTCTTATTGGGGCTTAACAGAGGTACATTTTTGTGAGAAAGGTGTAAAAACGAATGCAGTTGTGTATCAAAATACAGTCCTGACGAACCTTGTGGAACCTGTTTCTCATACCATGTTCAATAACAGGCACTGGGTATTCCAACAAGATTCGGCGCCAGCTCATAGAGCGAAGAGCACACAAGACTGGCTGGCGGCGCGTGAAATCGACTTCATCCGGCACGAAGACTGGCCCTCCTCCAGTCCAGATTTGAATCCGTTAGATTACAAGATATGGCAACACTTGGAGGAAAAGGCGTGCTCAAAGCCTCATCCCAATTTGGAGTCACTCAAGACATCCTTGATTAAGGCAGCCGCCGATATTGACATGGACCTCGTTCGTGCTGCGATAGACGACTGGCCGCGCAGATTGAAGGCCTGTATTCAAAATCACGGAGGTCATTTTGAATAAACTTTAGTGTCATAAGAATCTATGTTTTGTTAAGTTCATTTTGGTATATGAATGGTTACATAATGAATAACCTTGTTTCAATTATTTTACATTAAACATGTGACAGAATTTATGACCTGACTAGGTAAGTTCTAAGGTTTCAGTATAGTTCGGCTGCACCGCCCTTCAAACCGAAACGCATTACAGCTTCGCGGCAGAAATAAGCAGGGTAGGGGTACCTACCCGTGCGGACTCACAGGGGTCCTACCACCAGTAAGTACCACCAGTTCTGCTAATAAAATCTGCAGATGCCATCCCGAACGTATTAGCCACATGTCGTGAATCGATTCAGGTCTAGTTTACCTGTCGCCGGAGTTGCTCAGAGCAGCCGGTTGGGGCAAGGACGGTCCGGCCCGAGGCCCTGACCAGCACGGGTCGGCGTCGGCGGACGTGTACGCGTTCTCGCTGGTGCTGTACGAGCTGCACTCGCGACGCGGGCCCTTCGGAGCGGACGCGCCGCCCGCGCCGTGCCTGCTGCGCCGCCTCGCGCTGCCCGACCCCGCGCCTTACAGGTAGGTACGTGTCACACGCGACACACATCTCAACGTTACAGCACGCGTCGGAAATGTAACTCCAAAACGGGTAATGCATCCCAGACACTTTATCTAATAACCGGGAACAAGTCGCACACGGTCATATGTGTGGTCATCCGGCTCCAAACTACTGTAATATGGGAACCAATGACTAATCTACATATTTATATATATATATATAAATATACACATATAGATATTTAACACCCAGACAAACAGCAAGCATTTTTACCTCGAAACTGTCAATCTTTCCGTTACACCGTAAATTTTAAGATAACATTGATTAATTTTTTTAAAGAAGTCTTATCTGAGTCAATTGTGCAATACAAAAATTTTAATTCGAACAGCTATAAATAATAAGAAGTTAGAAGAAATAATGAGTACCCGAATTTATATCCTGAATAAACTAATGTTGTGATGTGAATTTAACAAATATGTTTTATTAAAGATACAATTTTAAAGATCACACGAATTAAGGGTAATTTATTGTGATCGAGTCTCCAGAATTATTTTGTATTATTTACCAACATGTTCCCGCAGACCTCCACTAGAAGTACTAGCAGATAGATTTGATTGCGTTCGGGAATGTTGTTGCGAATGCTGGGCAGAGGATCCGGCTACCAGACCGGACTTCAAATCTATCAGGACTAGATTGAGGCCGTTGCGTAAAGGAATGTAAGTATTAATGCACGGGCCAATACTTTTGACATATGTATATTATTATTATTATGATTTTTATTGCTATCGATATATCATTAATGTATTTGTTGACATCGGAAGCCGGCCCTCATAGTAGTTGTCTTAAGGAATGCCATGGGCACAAATAAGACAGTTCACTTAAAGTTAGTATATTTTTGCGTTTTACACTGACGTCATTTGTCACTATAGTGCGCGCTCTGTCTAGTACCTACACCATTCTAAAAGAATTGTTTATTTTTTATTTTTGTTGCACTGTTCCATTGATCGTAAAGCTTCATAAGAGAGCAGGACTCTTAGGAGAACAATCAACCTTTTTTTTTTATTGCTTATATGGGTGGACGAGCTCACAGCCCACCTGGTGTTAAGTGGTTACTGGAGCCCATAGACATCTACAACGTAAATGCGCCACCCACCTTGAGATATCAGTTCTAAGGTCTCAGGCCGGCTATCCTGCCCTTCAATCCGGAACATAGTACAACTATTTGGCGGTTGAAATAGACAGGACGGTGGTACCCATCCGGGCGAGCTTTCACTCTACCACCTTAGGTAAAATGTGGTAAACGTGCTTATAAAGTAGTTTTAATTGGGTCGTTCGTTTTCAGGAAACCAAACATATTCGATAATATGATAGCCATGATGGAGAAATATGCGAATAATCTAGAAGCTCTAGTTGACGAGCGAACTGATCAACTACAAGAGGAGAAAAAAAAGACTGGTAAGCGCTCATGGACTCAACCATGTTGCAAAGTAAACGGGCATCCTTACATCAACCGCTCAGCTAGTCGTAGGGCCCGTTGTGCCATGCGAGTACCCTACAGCCCTTGTCGACTACTGCTATGAAGCAGCCATACGTTCCGGTTTAACACTAAACCTACCAACACTTCTGGTATGCCCGCAATCAGTCGAATTACCCGTAATCGATTAAAAAAGTTATCGATTTTAATATTCAATGCTATCCGCCGGGGTTATTTCTTCGTGGAAAAGAGTGATGACAATTTTATATGCATATTCTAAGTTGTTGATAACGTTAAACGTGTAAATTTAATAAAAGTTTACAATTTGACCCGTATCGGTAGTTTTAGTGTTAAACAAAAGGTACGACAGTAATTTCATAGTACGAGATTGCGACCCATATCTCGAGGTGGACGGCGGGAATTACATTAAGACTTCTACGGAGTTGGAACAGCGCTCCTAGCGGCAAATGTAGGTAGTTGTTTCTCCGTGGGTAATGAAATATTTAGTACCTAGTAACTCTTTTAATAACTTTACACTACAATTTGAAGGGTGGGACAGTTGTCACACAATATCATCGAGATTTCACCGCCTGTCACAAGGGCGGCGAGATGGGTTCAGTGTGCCTAGTGCAAGTTTTTTAACGTTCTCGATAGCGTAAAAGTTAACTTATTTTTTTATGGATTTGAAACGTTTGTCTACGTTTGTCGCTAGGGGCGTTGTTTCAACTCCATACAAATTTGAGTTAACTTTTACGCTATCGAGAACGTTAAAAAACTCGCACTAAGCAATTATTATATTTCCAGAGGCCCTGCTAGAGGAAATGTTGCCAGCGCCCGTGGCGGAGCAGCTGAAGCGCGGGAAGCGAGTGATGCCAGAGAGTTATGATTCCGTTACTATATACTTCAGCGATATCGTGGGGTTCACAGCCATGTCCGCGGAGAGCACACCGCTGCAAGTAAGGCGTATTGTAGAGAGTAGTAAGGACGTGTTATAAGCCTTGTTCTTGTTGCTGCGAAGCAGTCATGTATTCGGATTAAGGGTGGGACAAACGTTGTACAATTCTAATAAGACTGCGATCTCGTGTCTCAAGATTGATTTGTCTGCGGAATCCAGTAACCAATTAAACCCATGTGCAAGGAGAGAACGTTTGCAAATCTCCTTCTCAAACATCAAATAAAGAAGTATATGCAAATACTAGACTAACCGGTAATTTATTACTATTAAAACTCATAAAATATTTGTCTTACCTAACCTAATTAATCAATTAAAAACTTCCTCAATTATTGTCTTTGTATGAATTGCTGTTCGTTAGTCTCACTCAAACTCGAGAACGGCTGGACCGATTTGGCTAATTTTGGTCTTGAATTATTCGTGGAAGGTTTAAAAGGTGAATAAATATGAAAATGCTCGGAGTTAAATAAAAATAACAATTTTGTTTTTTCTTTGATGTGTCCCTCGTCGGACGGATTCCTTTAGTTTGTTTTAAGTTTATTTTATACAAAAGCTTAGGTCTTTTATTTATCGATTAAGGCACTACGAAGTCTGCCGGTTCAGCTAGTTGTAAATAAATGATTCTCATGTATACTAAAACGTTGACTTTAAAATAGTAAATACAAAATCTTAAATCGTTTAACTTTCCACTCAACAATCTATAAGTATTTTCTTCGGTTTCTGCGAGTCGCAGACATAATTTAAATTGTTTTTAAGTTTTTATCTCCATCACGCGTCCGTGACCACGAAAACCGTAAAGTATTCGAAACGACGCAAATAATTTATTGCCAGTAAAAAAATCCGAAATTAAAACGGTAACATTAGTTTTAATCATCTCCTAAACAACTTCATTGAACTGGAACACACACATTTGTCATTTACTTTGGTCGTACGTATTCACATCAACGCTCGTGATAAAATTCCTAATCACGTTATTTTACTTTCAGGTTGTGGACTTCCTAAACGACCTCTACACGTGTTTCGACTCAATTTTAGAAAACTTTGACGTGTATAAAGTAGAAACTATCGGGGACGCCTATATGGTGGTGAGTGCTCTAGTTACTAAATACTATATACTTATGCGGTGGCAGCGGCTTGGCTCTGCCCCTGGCATGGCTAAAGTCCATAGGCGACGGTAACCACTCGCCATCAGGAGAGCCGTATGCTCGTCTGCCTACAAGGGCAATAAAAAAATCATTATTTTAAAGGTAGATGTCAAGGTTAGGATTTTTTTTAATGCTTAGATTGGGTAGACGAGCTCACAGCCCACCTGGTGTTAAGTGGTTATCGGAGCCCATAGACATCTATAACGTAAATGCGCCACCCACCTTGAGATATAAGTTCTAAGGTCTCAGTATATTTTTAATCAAATACATGAAAAATTGACTGAGTATTTCATTATAACACTAACGACCCGCCCTCGCTTCGCTTCGGAAACTAATTTATTAATGATTTCTCCACTATTTAATGGATGTTATTATACATATAAACCTTCCTCTTCAATCACTCTATCTATTAAAAAAACCACATCAAAATTCGTTGCATGGTTTTAAAGATTTAAGCATACATAGGGATATAGGGACAGAGAAAGCGACTTTGTTTTATACTATGTAGTGATTACATATCCCAACAATACTGTTATCAGGTATCGGGTTTGCCGATTAGAAACGGCATTATGCACGCAGGAGAAGTGGCGTCAATGGCCCTGGCCCTTTTGTCAGCAACACGTGCCTTCAGGGTCCGGCATCGACCAGAGCATCGGATAATGCTGCGTGTCGGCATTCATTCCGGTAATTAAAACACAATGTAAACTACTCCAGTGTGCTTAGTTATTTAACGTTGTCGATAGCGTAAAAGTGAACTCAAATTTGTGTGCAGTTGGAACGTTTTCCTACATTAACCGCTAGGGGCGCTGTTCCAATTGCAGACAAAATTGAGTTAACTTTGACGCTATCGAGAACGTTAAGAAACTCTAACTAAGCATAAAGATCTACAAAAACCGCTTTAATAAGTATTCTAGTTTTTTCCTGTCTTAAAAAAATTGTGTATTAATGAATCCTATCGTAACTGTGTTCGCATATATAGCAGTATTCCTTTAAAAAAAGTGAAGATATGTAATTTTCTTTTTATAACTGCGCTAGAAATTTAAAGTTTTATAAAAGTAAGTTATTAAGTCGAGTTACAGGTTTTGATTGATTAATCCGATCCAAATTATTTAAGGTCCGGTTTGCGCGGGCGTCGTTGGTTTGAAGATGCCGCGATACTGTTTGTTTGGCGACACTGTGAACACGGCCAGTCGCTTGGAATCAACGGGAGCACGTAAGATAACCTTTCACATATTTAGTTGAAAAACAAAAGACCGGCACAATGAGAAGTCGCCGGAAACGAATTAGTCGTACAGGATTGTTAGCTAAATCGCCTTTTATTTTGTTTTAGTACCAATACAAATTGATGGATTTTTGTTGGAAAAGTAAAGCAATTTATTCAATTCGTAAAAATCCCTGTCCCATTAGAGGAGCAAATTTAGATTATATATTTTTTTGTTTGCTTAGTTGGGTGGAACGAACGTAAATGCGCCACCCACCTTGAGATATAAGTTCTAAGGTCTCAGTATGGTTACAACGGCTGCCCCGCCATTCAAACCGAAACGCATTACTGCTTCACGGCAGAAATAGGCGGGGTGGTGGTACCTACCCGTGCGGATTCACAAGAGGTCCTACCACCAGTAATTACGCAAGTTATAATTTTGCGGGTTTGATTTTTATTACACGATGTTATTCCTTCACCGTAGAAGTCAATCGTGAACATTTGTTAAGAACGTATTTCATTAGAAAAATTGGTACCTACCCGCCTGCGGGATTCGAGCACCGGTGCATCGCTACATACGAATGCACCGACTTCTGAAAAAAGCATTGAGGTCCTACCACCAGTGTGTATTTATTGAAAATGTCACTTTTTTAAAATACAGCACTCAAGATTCACTGCAGCTCTGCGTGTAAAGCGCTGTTGGATCAGCTGGGCGGATACATATTGGAAGAGCGAGGGCTGGTGTCGATGAAGGGCAAGCGCGACCAGCTGACGTACTGGCTGGGCGGGGAGCAGGACAGCGCGCGCGCGCGGCGCCGGGAGCGGGCCGCCGCGCCGCCGCCGCACGCGCGCGGACAAAGGAGCTCGCTCAAAACTAAGAACTGGAAGAACCAAGTCGGGGGCTTGCACAGGTAAAAATGCCGAAATCGAATGCTTAAGTTGAGTAGAACATTCGGGTTGGACTGACACGATAAAAACGCTGAGTAAGGGGATTCACTTCGAGAAGGCGGCACGACATGAGAACCCTCTTGTCGTGGCCGCTGGAAACTACATACCCGAACCTATAGACCTGTAGAATGGTAAACAGTCGACGTCGCCTAAAGCACGTCATTACGGATCCTCCCGATCCATTAACGGTGCTTTTAGTCACCACAAGCAGCGGTCACCGTCCTCGTCGAACCCGTCGCTTGCGACGAAGGGCTCGACGAGCGAATCAACCCATAGATACAGCCCACTGAGTTTCTCGCCGGATCTTCTCAGTTGGTCGCGTTTCCGATCCGGTGATAGATTCTGCGAAGCACTGCTCTTGCTAGGGTCAGTGTTAGCAACACTCCGGTTTGAGCCCCGTGAGCTCACCTACATGTTAGGGCGAAGCTGAAATAGCCTCTCAAGACTATCAGCATAGGTAAGAAAAAAAAGAAGGGGGATTAGCAAATTTCGAAACATATATCATTGTACTGGTAGCATGGGAGAACATCAACTAACAATAGAGGTCTCATCCCTCTCCCGGGTTTCCCAAGGTAACTCTGAAGCATAGATTACAAAAACTTTTCATACGCACGCGCAAGCTGTGACTTTTTTATCGATTATTCAGTTGAACAAGCTTACCTCTCACGTAGTGTTGAGTGGCTTTCTGAGCCCATAGACAACGTAAATACCCACCTTGAGCCTTGAGGTCTGTATTCTATTATGTATAGTATATTGTATAATATATAGTCTGTAAATTATGTTATTCCTCCATCGTGACCATGAGTCAAGTACGTATATCTTTAGAGAAATTGGTACCTGTCTGCGACTCGAACGCCGGTTCAGTCACATCGCTCGATACGAGTACGCCAGCGCTTTATCCTTTACATCACAATTACTTTACAGATTATTTAAAGTTATGAATTAAAAAAATATGTATTTTACATGAATTTACAATTTTCAGATGCTGCAGTTTGGAATCTCCGAAAAAGCTTCGTTTCGCTTCTGGCAATCATCTTGAATCTCATAACGACAATGTCATGCATCACAGAAGCGACGAATATCTAATGGAGGTAAATCATCACGTAAATATTCATTTTGAGTATACCATGCTTTGACTGCCTGAGAGAGATCAATGAAATACTTGATTATTTGGAGTCTAATGACATAATTGATTTCGTATGAAAATTAAATTACATTTGTTGTGTCAATCAATTGTTAATCTATAAATTGAGGACATTTTGAAATTCAAAAGTACGTCGTCATCTCTATTTCAGATGATCGGCGAGAGTAGGCTGGTTCCAGGCGGAGACCTATTGGAAGCCCCCAGCCTTCGGCAAGAACAAACGAGCGTCTCGTGCCCCATCATCGAGCACACGGAAGCGCCCGCGACGGCGCCTCCTCTGCCGGACGTGAAGCCGTGCGACATTAAGCTGGTCATCAACGGGTGTTCGTTCGCAGAGCGCGACGGCGCCGGCGTCCCGCTACTGGCGGACGCCTGACCCGCCGGGCCGCCNGGAGACCTATTGGAAGCCCCCAGCCTTCGGCAAGAACAAACGAGCGTCTCGTGCCCCATCATCGAGCACACGGAAGCGCCCGCGACGGCGCCTCCTCTGCCGGACGTGAAGCCGTGCGACATTAAGCTGGTCATCAACGGGTGTTCGTTCGCAGAGCGCGACGGCGCCGGCGTCCCGCTACTGGCGGACGCCTGACCCGCCGGGCCGCCGTCGGACGCGTCTACCCTAGTCAAAGGACGCAGCCCCTCGGCCGGGCGCGGAGTCCGGGGCGCACAGTGATCCACGTCAGTATTATTCTTAGTAAAATAACGCATTCAATAGAAATATTTAATAACATTAAACTCTCATTTCACAATTGACGGTAACATCGTTTTATTTGTATTATTTACAACAGCTTTTCATATACATACACGATATCGGACATCAGACGGCGGACTCCCGGTCGAGGAGCGGGGCGGCGCGGCGCAGGGAGGCGCTGCTGCCGCGGGCGGCGCCGCCGAATATGTCGAGCAGCCACGAGCGGATGGCGAGCCGCGCCGGCTTGCGGTCCGACTTGTCGTCGCCCACGTTCTCGAGCGACCGGGACCGCTTGTACGACTCGATGTAGCTCGAGTCGTGCACCTTGCGGCGCGGCAGGTCGAGGCGGTTGTACAGGCTGCACTTGCGCAGGAGCGGGCTCTCCTCGGGGGGCGGCGGCTCGTCCGGGAGCGCGTTCCCGTTGAACACGCGCTCGCCGGAGACTGTGGAGACGGCCGGTCCGGCGGGCGCGCCGTGCTCGCCCGGGAACACGTCCAAGGAGCGCGCACGCTCGCACGCCGTCGACGACGCGATCGAACTCAGCGCGTTCCTGTAGGGAGACCCGTATTCGTCAAGCACGATCGTATGAGGTCGCAGGTTCTTGGTGAAAGTTATTGTAGCCTGAGCCTGACCTGATCCTCTGACCGTAGTCCGTGCGCGACCGTCTCCGCACGGGCGAGTACGAGACGGGTGCGGGCAGGGACGCGCGCGAGCCGCGGTTGAAGCTGTCGACGATGGGCTCCACGCTGTTCCGCGCTAGGCTCGATACTCTCTGTCGGACCGCCCCGCCTATGACTCCTGTGAAATTGGTTTATTTAAAGTAGCCGCCTCAAATGAAAATATGTCTATTTAAATTGCCAATCAGTACACAGACCTGTGACTGATGGGTGTCGCGAGTCCGTGAGCCGCGGACTCCTCCTGGGCCGGCGGAACAGAGGCCGCTCCTCCTCTTCCACGGGCCTCTTCTGAATCGCTTTTTCGGTAGCGCTCACGAGCCAATAAGTTTGGAGCTATAAGAAAACATCACCGCAATCATTCTCGTCGCGTGCCGTATAACAGATCGTGTTCGTCGAAGTACCTGTCCTTTTCCTTTGATCGATATCGTGCCCCTGGGCTCGACGACGTAGCCGCCTATCTTGTCGAGCGCTTGCTTGCAGCTCGGCGATATGTGGATCCGGAGCGGTTCCCCGTTGGACTCCATGCGCGACGCGGTGTTCACGGTGTCCCCGAACAGGCAGTAGCGCGGCATCGTGAGGCCGACCACGCCCGCCACCACGGCCCCTTTAATTGTACGACGCGCATGCGTATTACTTTTTGATTTGATACTACATTCGGCTGAAGCGTACAAAGAAACAAGCAAATATACTTAATTCGTTCTTGTACAAAATTTAAAACTATTCCTACGTTTTAATATCGTGATTATTGTCATTATTTCCGAAGAATACGATGACACGACGAATCGTCCGTGATCACGGAATTTGTATTCGAAAAGTAGGAAACAATATGACAAAAAAAACGCGAGATTAAACCTTAAGAGTTGTTTTAATTAAGTCTACAACTCGCGAAANTCATCCGGCACGAAGACTGGCCCTCCTCCAGTCCAGATTTGAATCCGTTAGATTACAAGATATGGCAACACTTGGAGGAAAAGGCGTGCTCAAAGCCTCATCCCAATTTGGAGTCACTCAAGACATCCTTGATTAAGGCAACCGCCGATATTGACATGGACCTCGTTCGTGCTGCGATAGACGACTGGCCGCGCAGATTGAGGGCCTGTATTCAAAATCACGGAGGTCATTTTGAATAAACTTTAGTGTCATAAGAATCTATGTTTTGTTAAGTTCATTTTGGTATATGAATGGTTACATAATGAATAAACTTGTTTCAATTATTTTACATTAAACATGTGACAGAATTTATGACCTGACTAGGTAAATGTATGAGTACCACGGAAGGGAAGTATGACTTTCCAACGAGACTAATTCTATAGATCTGGAATGATACAGTTTCCTGCCATGCTGATTTTATTTATCGCTGAGGGAACGAAAGTTCGTTGAAAATGAAATTAGTATAATTATATTGGAGAAATATAAAAAAAATCTAATACCGATTTTTTCGAATGCGAAAGCCTATATTTAAAGTGAAAAAAAAGCAAGGAATTCGGTTTAGATTGTCCGTAATTGAACTACTAAGCACTAGGTTAGCAAATAATCTTATTGTGATATAAAATAAAAATAAAAAGACATATATATATGAAATACACTGGAGCTTTTCGGCTTACAAATTTAACACCCTGTATATACAATTTTATCTAACATTACAATACATAATTTAATGTGTATTTTTTTCTCGTACTTATTCGCTGATAACCTAAGGGGCTATTTATTCCACCTACGCTATGGCTGGTCCGTGAAATATATATTTTAAAGTACAACACGTAGAACACACACGTGCATTTTCATACCCGTATGAATTCCAATCCGTAGTTTGAGAGTTTCCTTCGGTCGATGTGAAATTTTGTGACTTTTAGCGGCGTTCAAGAGCTCGAGCGCCATCGACGCTATCTCACCAACGTGGCGATCGTCATTTCGAATGGGAAGGCCAGACACCTGGAAAATTTATTTAAAATTTGTGAAACCTATGTTTGAATGACATTTTTACGTATATAACTAGCAGTACCCGTCCGCTTCGCTGGGCATTTAAAATTAGCATTATTATTTCTCACCCCCACAAAGATTCTCGTCATTAACGCCCCCGCAACTGGTGTAAGGAGTCCAACACTCATACAAATATTAGCCTATCCATTAAGTACATGTATTTTCTACATGGATACCAAGTTTCAAGTCAATCGGATGCACGGTTCAGTAGTTAGAACAGAACATCCGAAAAAACCACTGTAGATTTATATATTAGTATAGATAACAGACACCTATATGACACGCATGCGTTACTTAATAAGTAGAGGATTTATTTACAAGAGATTCGAGTTACTTACCACCATATACGCGTCACCTATGGTCTCCACTTTGTACACTTCGTAGCCCCTTATTATCCTGTCGAATACCGTATACAGATCGTTGAGAAAGTTGACGACCTCCAGCGGCGTGCTCTCGGCGGACATGGCCGTGAAGCCGACGATATCGCTGAAGTAAATCGTCACCGAGTCAAACGATTCCGGTTCAACCCCCTCCCCGGACGTCAGCCTCCTAGCTACTGACCTGCAACAACGTCCAACTGTATTTACCCCTAACTAACCTTGCTTCGACGATAGCTTCAAATGCTTCAAGATCAACGCAACAAAAGTACCGACTACTCATGCTACTTTTGTATTCAGAACAACGACACACTCCCGACTGTAGACTAATAACAACTGAATAATCAAACAGTCACAAAACGCACCTGTTCCGATTGATCAATGGAAACAATTAAAAAAAAAAGGTCTACATTTTTTTAAATACACTACCAAACAATACCATAACCGATGCGAAACAAATTACTACATAAAAATAATATACTGCAACTACTCGGTAATGACATGCGCCGCGAATCGTTGAATCATTTATATTTCATAGAACATAATGATGCCGTGTCAGTCTGTACCGATAGAGCTACGCCTCCACCGTCCCGATGCGTCCGCTAAATCACCGCAACCCCCAAAGCAAGCTACTACTACTTTTGTTAATGAAAACAGTGACCCACAGCCTCGACATTATTTTTCGTGTGCTGGGACAATGCGACGTTGTGAGCCCGGCGTGTGAGGCAAACCAAATTAATCTACAATCACTAATAGGGAGTTAATTACCTCAAGACATTTTTCACGATATTTCTATAATGGATTCAACCCCCAAATCTGTAAAAGAACACAAGTACAACAAAGTGAATACATTAACATGTTGTTTTTTTGTTTTTTTTTTTTAGAAAATGCGCAAATGTTTTACATTAAGTCCTCGTCGGTGATTCGACGAAATGTATTTACCTACCTGCGTTTTACACGAATTTATGCAGGTAACTTCATAATCGTTTGGAGTGATTATAATTTTTTATGAACGCGATTCTTTTAAAGACACTTCTTCATTTAGCAGCTACACCAAGAGATGAATGCGAGTGAATTGATTCGACTTTGCAGTGCGTAAGATATTATTATAAATTTACTTACCCCCTGAATGATGTAATAAAAGCGAATAAAATTGCGTTTGATATAACAATAATCTAAAGCGTTATAGCAGACTCGGACAAAATGTAAACCAGTACGCAAACCGATTGCAACCAGGCACGTGTTACAGCTTGTTGTAATTGCGTCTTCTCCTGTTCTGTGCTCACCTCATACATATGAGCTACAAACCTTACATTAGTACATACTTATACATATACACACCGCTCAATAATTTGAAATGGAGTTTGATTACAAAAAAAAAAGTATTAATAACATGTACATGCAACAACAAGGCACAAATAATTCTTTCACGATTTTTCTAATAAATTTATCTGGGGAATCAGAAATGTTCTGTATTTTAGATACGTTTCATTTATTTATTTATTTCGTTTTGACCCTTGTGTCGGCAATAAACAATTTTAGAAAAAAAAAAATTAAAGATTATAATCAGTCGTCATAGACAATAGTCAAGATAATCTGTGCTTACTTTGGCAGCATTCTGTGTAATAAGTCTTCGGTTTTCTGTTTCTCCTCGTACAATAGCCTCGTTCTTTCATTGACTAGTTCTTCTAAATTATTAGCGTATTTCTCCATGATGTCCATCATTTGATCCATTATGTTTTTTGATCTGCAATTATTAATAAATCAGTTTTTATTTTATTTTAAAGATTAATAAATACAATTAGACACCGTTTTCTCTTTTGAGTATTTTATTTCTTTGCTGTTTGGTAGCTATCAACGATTCTTTTTAATTTTTCTTTTATATATAAAATGAAAATCACAAAGCAAGAAAGAGAAAATGTTAGGCATGTAAGTGTATCCAATTTTTATTATTGTGCCAACACTGCTTTAAATCAATATTTGAGGGTACGAAAGCGGGTTAAGTGCGATACCGGAAACACAACAAAAACTTGTTGCATTTTATGCGCAACCTAGTGTGTTTATTGCGAGTTTTTTAACGAGTTGGAACGTTTGCCTACGTTTGCCGGTAGGGGCGCTGTCCCGACTGCATATTTACTTACTGGTGGAAGGACGTCTTGTAAGTCCGCACGGGTAAGTACCACTACCCTGTCTATTTCTGCCGTGAAGCAGTAATGCGTTTCGGTTTGAAGGGTGGGGCAGGCGGCATTTACGTTGTAGATGTCTATGGATTCCGGTAACCACTTAACACCACATGGGCTGTGACCTCGTCCACCTGTCTAAGCAATAAAAAAGAAACTAAGTAGTTTCCCTTACTGTCCCGATTTCATCTTCTTTAGTCTGGTTCTAATCGTAGGAAAGTCAGGTCTCGTGTTGGGATCTTCTGCCCAGCAGTCCTTCATGCACGACACGATGTAGTCGTCGATGCCGCCGTCGATGCTGCTCGTGTCCGGACGAAACAACTCTTCGCCGTCCAACTTCGGCCGCTTCAAGCGGTCTATTATATCTGAAATGTTACTCCACGGTATACATATTTTTAAAAGAACGAAATATAACTTACTGCTATGCAGTAACTCAAAATGTTATTTGTACTTTTGTTTTCATTTAAAGGCTCACCTTTGGGCTCCATTGCGACATTTCCAAAAGGGCCTTTTCTCGCTATCACTTCGTATAGAATAATCCCAAACGCATAGACGTCACCTTTTTGCGTTCCGCCCACGATGCCATTCGGGTTGTTTAATCCTCTCAACAACTCTGGTGATTTCCAAAGCAAACCTGTAACACGTCACGACTTTGTGTTAATGCCGCAAATTATAAGAACTCGTACAATTTAAGACTATTATCAATATTTAACTATTTACTTTATAAGCAGCATTTTTTTATTTGTGAGACTATATGCAAAATAAGTTTTGCAGTTTTTAGCAATGTTTATAGCGGCGTGAAACAATAAAGTTTTTGAATATATCCTGTGCCCTTCAATCCTAGTATCCGATCGTTTATTATAATAAGCATGAACCTCTATAATATTGATGTTCTCCAATAAACTCGTTTTCAGCCCAATATCTCAACTCGTGAAGACCAAAATCGGCTACCTGAAAGGTACAATTAAAATATTTATTTCACTCAATAAACAACACATAAGAACGAACACTCATTCAACACGTTACAAGTATACATTAATAAAAAGAATTGCAGTTAAAATCGACGGATTCGTATTTGACGTTTAAGGTAATATTTTTTACTATCTCAAAGCTGGACTTACTTGTAACATCCATCTTGATGTAACTACACAATTCGAGGATTTGAGATTTCCGTGAAATATTAAAGGCGATGAATGAATGAAGATCATACCCTGAAAATAAAATAGACAAGTGAACGCTTTCAAAAATCTCAGCTTCGAAGGAGTATTGATTAGTACACTAGTATTTAACTCATCGAAAAAAACAATCATACCTTAATGAGATCGTGAATAAGCGAAGATATGAACATTTGATCCAATTTGATATCTTCGTTTTCTATTATATCCTGGAAATTGTTTAGAATAGTATTTAAAGGTTACATTAAACAAAAAATATTATTCTTTAATTACCAATAAAGTTAATATACATATATACCTAACATCTTAATGTTTATTTAGCTAAGACTTAAGCTTTAAGGTTTTGAGAAATCTTAAATTAATTTATGAACACCCATATCTATAGGCAACTTTTAAGGTTATTACAGATTACCTACTGACTTTCTGGCATCTACATAATTATATACAACAAAACAACGAGAAAGAGTCAAGTACCATTTTGTGACTCTTAAATAACCTTTTTTTTTGTATAGTACGATAAAGCAAAATATACACGGTCGAGTTATTTGTTCAAAAAATATGTTAATAATGAAATTAAAGATGCAATAATATACGCAAAACGATTCTAAATCTTAGCTGTAACTGCTTTAAGTTGAATTTCGATAAATTTGTTCGAACGCTTATAACGAAGTCACATGAAGTACTCAGTGTGCTTAGTGCGAGTTTTTTAACGTTCTCGATAGCGTAAAAGTTAACCCAATTTTGTATGCAGTTGGAACAGCGCCCCTAGCGGCAAACGTAGGCAAACGATCCCATTCCATACAAATATGAGCAAAATTTTACGCTATCGCGAGCGTTAAAAAGCTCGCACTAAGTACTTCTGATTATTATTATTATTATTATTATTCCGTATCTATTCCCCGGTAGCCTGAGGGGCGAGTACTCACATACAAGCTCCCCTTGGCACAGTAGTCGGTGAGGATGAGCACGCGCATCGGCTCCACGACGGCGCCGATGAACGAGTTGAGATTGTCGTGACGCAGCTCGCGCAGCAGCCGCATCTCTTTCATTATGTCCCGAGATATATCCTGAACAGATTATATATCGACGGGGTGACATTTCGCTTAATACGCGACATTTATCTTTGTAATTTTAGGTCCCTTTTATTTAGTATTAGCATCAACAGTTCGATGTTTTTAATTGAACTTCAATCAATTTTAGTCCATTGAAATATTAATAATAATAGCTGAAGAAGTTTTTTTGTTATGATATTTTAAACTTTAAATGGCTCTCCTGTGAAGTTGCAAAAATTTCGCTAAAACCAAATAGCCTTTCACCCCTCGATATAAACTAATTAAAACTACATTAATATTGTAATCTCGAGTTCGTTATTTAACGGTAGTGCTTGAGATTATACCTTTTTTACGATAAATTATTACCTTCTTTTTAGAAAACTTCAATTTTTTTATCCTGACTAAATTCCCTCTGTATTGCGCCGTCGTGGTGAATATTTGTGGGCACATTTCGTATGATATACCGCTCGCTAGGCTCAACTGTAAGGAAATAAATTTAAATCAATCTAATTGTTAGAAATAGAAAACATTGAAACAAGTGAAACATGCGTAACTAGTTAATTTTGCTTTGCATACGAGAACACGACCCACAACTCACAGAGAATGGTGACAGTGTCAATGACATGTTTCTAACAACTGGACACACTCAGTGTCGTAGTTGGCATTACTGATTGCATGATATAAATTACAAAATCATATATACCTTACTGGGCGAGCACACGAGGCCGTTGTCGGAATATCCGGTAACTTCCTGTGCGTCTATTTTCCAAAGCAAACCTTCTATTTCTTGTTCAATCTTCCATTTTCGGTATATGCTGATCGTGACGACCAACGTACAAAACAAAGTCACCGCTAACGTTCCCGCCACAACGAGGGACGTTATCTGCGAGTCGTCCCTTGGACATTTCTCGTTGTTGAAACCGCAAGACGGTTCGTCCTCCGGTTTCACGCTGTCAGGCCAATCGATCGGTATACGTGAATTTAGTTTGTAGTCCTGAGAAAAAAAAATCCACGTCCAAATTTCTCATTTAAGGCGACAGCAGAGTCAATAATGGCTTAAAAAGAATAATGTTATTGGGTATTGACTATATGAAAGATACAGTTTTGTTTGAGCAGTGTACGTACGTAGATTAGTTTCAGTTAGAGGGTACATTATACTTGACAATTTACGGAAGAAACAATAATAGCCCCACTGTCGCCAAACATTTAGTCGCGTCGCAATTTCTAGCACATTCTTTAATTCAATTTAAATTTTAAATGTGTTTTTATTGATTCTCTTTAAAAGATTTTTCACGTTGTCTTTAATTAAAACATAATGGAGGCTTCTAGTACTCTTGAATTATTTAGTCAAATTTCTAGACAAGTAGACCGCAAAAAAGGGGCAGATAAAATGAAGCATTACCAGCGTCTAGAAATGCTCGAGTAATACCGCCGTGTAAACGCAAGCGTTTACACGGCGGTACGTGAAGAGAATCCCTTGCGAAGGAATAATTTAGAAAAAAAAAACCTTGAAGCAATCAAGACTCTCGGTTTACTTAGCGTCCGTGACCTATCTATTTATATACCCATATTCTAATCTATTTTAGTATATTAACAGTTTATAATAATTCGTTTGATCATAAAACTATTATTTTTCTGTTTGGTAAAAAAGTATTATATTACTCACAGGAAACTCTTTACTGTTTTGCTGGAAATGAGCAACCGGTATCATACTGTAACTGCAGTTTATATCAATCTCGTTGAATTTTATCGGCTTGAAAGCGAGCACGGAGAAGTTTCCCTCGGAATCGGCACGATCATCTAAACGTATCGTCATACCGGACACACCTGTATTGAGAGAATTTACAATTATATTATTTCGGTCATAGCTTAAAAGAAAACTTTGGTAGCAAGAAACAAAAAAAAAACATGTGTGCAATTCACATGTGGTAGAAGTGAAACCCTAAAAAATGTTGGCTTCAAGATAATGGAGACGAATGTAAAATTTTGGGAAGAGGATAATTGTAGGTTTTAGTAATGATCATAGTGATATCTCCACTAACATAAGAAACACTATATAATGCTTCCTATCTCATTTCCTCCCACCTTAAATCTTATGAATATATGTCTGTCTCTTTTTACTGTCGCTTTTTCGTTTCATCGACTTTCGAATCACAACGATGCTCAAAAAGTTTTCACTTCAAAAATCAATTTTTTTTCCCTGTCTGAGACCTAATGCGTCAAAAAAGAAAGAGACAGCTGCAGCTTTTTTATCTATCTGTCTTTCATTTAATGCTGGATATAGGCCTCCCCAAGCCTCGCCACAACGGCCGGTCCTACGCGGCCTGCATCCAGCGGATTCCCGCGCCCTTCAACAGGTCGCCAGCCCACAAAGTGGTAGGTGTACCCACGATAAGTCTTGAGCTGCAGTTCCAACTCTATATAACATGAAACGGAAAAATCGACATTCCGTATAACCCTATTACTGTATAACATGAACCGATTATACAACATGTAACATAATTAACGCACACCCTGAAAGTAATTTGTTCAGAATCGGAATCTGGATCGATTTTGATTGTTTTTTATGTACCAAATTTTTTTTCTAAAATTTAGTTAAAACTAAGTAAATTACAGTCACCCTACACAGCTAGCTAAACAGTTAATAGAAACGAAAATGGAACGTAAGTCAAGGTATTAAGACTTTTTAAAATGAAATATCTAATTAGTAAAAAAAATATTATTTAATTAAATAAATCTGATACTTATTTCAAGGCTAATAGTCTATTACAAAATAAAATACCTACGCACACAATACCAACAGCGACCGCCGGCACACAGCAACACTACAATACATAAAAGAAAACCACGTAATACAAAAATAATTACTATCCCTTTCTTTCGTCGGCTTAATATTCTTACAATAAACGGCAGGCTAATCCCGATGTTCGCGGCGACGCGGTTGCGTCGGCGGTGATCAAAGAAAAATCTAAACAACGAAGTCAACAAAATATTTTTGACAAGTCAGTCACGCCGCGTCCACCTTATCGATAAGAGGTCAAGTGATAGTGCAAATAAAATATCTCCCGTATTTCGCTATGTCTTTTCGGTCAGTGACCTCCTAGATCAGCTGATTTGACGCCTCTCGACTTTTTTTTGTGGGGGCGAATTAAATCGCTAGTTTATAACACACAGACAATAAGTGCCGAAGAACTAAAGAATAAGATAATAACCGCCTTTGATAAAGTGAAAAGTGACATTGCAGTATTATCTAAAATAAAACAACAAATACGAAAACGGTCATTAAAGTGCATTGAACAAGGGGCGCGGCGAGTAGGTGTCTGTGTGTGCGTGCGCAGCGGAGTGTGAATCGGTGACCATTTAATTTCCACGAAAGTGGAATAACTAATTTTACAAATAATCAATGTTAACGCACATATAAATAATATTTGGTGTATGCATAGCGTTTATACTATTAAAGTCTAATTGGGGTGTTTGAGGGTGTGCGTTAAATATGTTACATGTTGTATATGATCCTGAAATTATTTACAAAAAAAAGGACAAGTATTTAATTATTGCTTTTACTTAACTCATGCGAAAGTGTGATTTTGTTTTACATGTAAAAACGACGAAAAAATTGGCAATTTTCGTAATTTTAGAAGAATCATATTAATATTACAAATATTTTAAAAATGTATATAGGAACATAAAAGTGTACTACTGTATATACACAGATCGCGTGTAAAGTGTTTACTCTAGTCCATTGACTTGTTAGGTTACGCTGACATAACTTATCAAGGCTGTCTAGGTTAGAAAAAAAAGAACTAGTCCATCAAGGAAGTAGAAATATTTATATGGATCAAACGCAACACGCGTTTCCTCTTAAGCGTCAAAAGATATTTATTTATTATATTTGAGACGTGAAAGCCTGTTTGGTTGAAGCAACTTTACAGCAGAACCATTTACATTTTAATATTGTGAAATCATATCATAACAAAAAAGTTCTTCATCTATTTCAGTAGAGTAAACTTAATTGCAGTTCAATTAAAAACATCGAACTGTTGATGCTAATACCAAATAAAACGCACCTTTAATTACAAAAATAAATATCGTGCATTAACCGAAATGTTGCTTAGATTTTCCTTTCAACCCTCGATATCGTTTTGGTATTGAATATAATTTGACTTACTTTTGTATGGCGAGCTTTTAATCATCTTCGCCACAATGGCTGTTCCGTTAGTGACAATATTCGTTAGCTTGGCCTGCGTCAAGGGCTCCTTTTGAGTTTCCTCCTTGATTATTTCATCTAGAGCTTTAGCATACAGCTTCACCGAATCATACAAGTACGCAGCGTAAATGGATACAAACTGAAACAATGAAATTCACATACGTATTAATCCCTTTGCTTGAAAATAATTTGCTGTTGTTGCCTTAAACACGAAGTGAAAATTCCACCCAGAAAAGTATACTTTAAAAAGCAAAAACTAAACGTGCTTCAATAAGCAACCCGAACTAAATATTAGAATGAACTTTTTATTATCTCGGTGATGGTTCTGGTCAGGATATTAGGCTAGGATAAGTTAAACTATTGTGTATTTCCATCGGTCGTTGATACGTCTGAAGATTTCCAAGTGGATCTGACGTTAATGAAAATTACGTTGATAGGTTCCGTCCGTCACATAGCTCGATATATACAAGTCAATGGTCTATAGTGAAAGCAGTCCGCTGCCGAGTACAAGTAACACACATCTATTACGCTAGATTCAACAGAAACATGGCTACGCCGCAAATGGACCTTATCAGTTGCTCATCTAAGAAGGGAGAGACCACTGAACACGAATCCACTCAGAATATGCCGCACTTTTGAAGTGCTCAAGTCTGTGGCCGTACCCATCACAGAACACAAGATATTTGACAGATGCCTGAATCTCTCGCTTACGACATTTTCAAGATAAGTTTGCATATATACAAGTTTTTAGTATACCTAATACCTTTGTACAAACTAGTTTGTAGGTTTTTTTTTTATTTTATTTTATTGCTTAGATGGGTGGACGAGCTCACAGCCCACCTGGTGTTAAGTGGTTACTGGAGCCTATAGACATCCACAACGTAAATGCGCCACCCACCTTGAGATATAAGTTCTAAGGTCTCAAGTATAGTTAGTTACAACGGCTGCCCTACCCTTCAAACCGAAACGCATTACTGCTTCACGGCAGAAATAGGCAGGGTGGTGGTACCTACCCGCGCGGACTCACAAGAGATCCTACCACCAGTAGGCATGCTACAAAGTAAAGATCTTCCACCGAGCGGGTGATATTGCTCGGTAGACCGACGGTCCTAATGTTGTTGTTCGGAACTTGTATTAATGCAAGCTTATCTTGAAAATGATGTAAGCGAGATTGAGGCATCTGTCAAATATCTTGTGTTCTGTGATGGCTACCGCCACAAGTACATACATGAGTCGATGATTTGCTTTGGCGCATACTACATTTGAAATAGATCGGTAAACCCGCAACTTTAAACATTAAAATGATAATTCGATCAACTGTTTAATATCTTTGTATGACCATTTGAACCTGGTATCTCTAAATAATTTGTCTCGATACTCAAGTGACCAATAAATATCTCACAAGAAAGACAAAAAACTAGATACGAATTAATACTAAAAAGAGGCTAGTAAAAATCAAATACTTTAAATAATATTTTAATAGCATAGCGTCTATCAATCAAACTAAAAAAAATATGGTGTTTTAAAATAGTAATTACGTAGCTGCTAGTTGATAATTCCAAGCGATCATATTTCGTCTTGTTTATCATTATAAATTAAATACAGCAATTCAAACCATGATACGTAATAATGAATTGGACGTACCTTATTGTACTTGCTGCCAAAGACATCGGGAAAATTGAATGGTTCTAGAGAATTGTATTTCCTGACTTTAGCCGTAAACTCTTGATATTCCGGGGATGGTTCCGACGAAACTATCACCAGTAACGACTGGGCTCTCTTTTTAAATTCAGGCGTGTTCGGACATATTAATGTCGACGATACACGATCTTCGGTTTCTGAAAAGAGAAATTCAGAAAAGAAAATTACCTATCCGTACATATAAATAGACACAAAGAAAAAAGTTAAGAAACATTTATTTCTCTCGATTTTCCTTTTTCGGTTTTACTAAGAAAATTAATGAGATTTTCACTTTCGGTTTTTTAACATGTCGATAACAAAAGAGTACTTTTAGGTTAATACGTAAAATTAATCGTACTTGTACGGTGTCCAGTGATTATGGTCGAAATCTGATCACTGGGCGAACACTCGTAAGTATAAAATTACTTGTCCTATCAGCCTCACCCAACAAAGCACCGGGCGGCGGCTAAACAAAAATAGCAAAAAAAACATGGCAATTTTTTTTACTACATATTTTTTTAAATGCGTAAATTAGCAACTATGTGTGCTTTATGTATTGTGCAATAAAGTATATTATCTCTATAAGTTATAACTAAAAAAAAATTTTGATGACCGAACGCGTTCATGTCACTAACACCATATGACCATGGATTCTATCATGACAAGCAATCGTAGTATACTCACTTAACAAATACTTGACAGAGTCTTTAAGAGAGTACGTCATCATGTCCACGAATATAACCATGTACTCGCCCTTCGCGAATAACTGCAGCGACTCCATGGCGGTCATCATCTCTATTAGTCCAGAAGTCGACCCAAGGAAAACGTAAACTGAAATAAGTAGAACGGTTATGTAGAAAAAAATCCACTATGCAGTATAACCGTTAGTCGGGTTTTTTTTTCGTGTCTAGGGCATATATTTTTTTAATCTCCTCTCTTGTTGATACCCAGATAAACATGTATTACTGACACAATTAAAGGATTGGTTTAATCAGAAATGAAGTAACCGTTTTTTTTATGTTTCCTTTTGTTATCTGATTTCGTTACATAGATTTAACAATAATATCTATGAAGACAGATAATACAGTTCAGAAATTTAATTACGCTGTGCCTTGAAAATTGTTGGAAAATTAAACATTTAAAGAAATTACTTTTTCTATTCTATTCTATTCTATTCTATTAGCCCACAGACGTCCACTGCTGGACATAGGCCTCCCCTAAGCCTGGCCTCAAAAATCGGTCCTCCGCCGCCTGCATTCAGCGAAACCCCGCGAACCTCAATAGGTCGTCGGCCCACTTGTCGGAGGCCAATTATGAAAATTACTTTTACTCATATTCAAGATTAAGTCAAGAAATTCTTCAAAATGAACACATGCCGCCTCAGATAAATCCTACTAGATACGCCGTCAAATATGATAATTATGTGATTTACAGTTTCACATTAAAGTTAGTAGGCGTCTTCGAAAATTATTTCAGATCGAGATTCGACAGCTGCTTAAGAGGAAACTAACAACCTCTTATATGAAAATATACTGTATTTATAAAGCCAGTTGCGTTACTAAAAGGTAACGAAAAATAATATAGAACACAATCTGTCCTTTCTTTTAGAGACTTTATAATTTACAATTCATTCGATAAAGTTATAAGTAGTAAACAAAGTCTCTGCAAATTTCAATGCAACAAGATGTACGGAGTATTCACAAGGAAAAAACAATTGTTTGTCGCTCACGCCGAGAGTACATAACAATTAATTCTTTTTAAACTACTCAAATGAAAAGTAGAAGGACCTTCTTGACTCAAGGTTTATGTCATAAAAGTTAAAGACATGTTTGGATATTTCATTCCGGAAAAAATACATTTAACAGTAATATTTTTATTATTGATTCTAGTACTCTGAAAATGTTAAACACTTACGTGACATCTATACTGATATATAACTCTACAGTGGTTTTTACGAATGTTGCGTTATAGCTACTGAACGATGCATCCGATTGACTTGAAATTTGGTATCCATGTAGAAAATACATGTACTTAATGGATAGGCTACTATGCGTGTTGGACTCCCTACACCAGTTGCGTTAATGATGAGAATCTTTGTGGTGGTGAGAAATAATAATGTTAATTTTAATGCCCAGCGAAGCGGACGGGTATAGCTAGTATTTAAATAAAACGAATCATTCGTATTATTAATCGCGTAATGCAAAAAATTACAATAAAATTGTTTTAGATCTCTCTAGGCTGTACGAAAATGCGCTATTGTAATTATTATGTTTGCTTTTAAATACATTTTAGAGTTGTGAAACAATTTTAGGTTACAAAGAACTTACTTCTTGTTTTGTTTTTTGTATCATGAATGAACTGATACCAGAAACCGGGTGCACAGCAAGCCATTTTCTCTTCGCAACATTTAAAATGATTGATGACGGGCCTCTGATGGTTTACAGTCATGTTAAAGTCCTTGGCATAGTTCTCCAACGTCAGGGCGACCGTCATCCAAGATTCTTCATACAATATAGAGAATTTGTTCCATCTATAGTAACGTAGCAACGATATCAACGATTTTGTCGCCTAAAAACAGTCGCGAAAACAGGTCATACCGCATCTGTTTGCCTTTACAACCACTGATGATACATACATTACTGACTCACAACACACTGCGTTGTTGCGTTGATTTAATAGAAATAAAAGACCCACCTGAACGCCGGGAGGCTCTAATCGGGCAAAGTTTGGTAACCTAGATACTTGGTAGTCTGAGCATTTCTGAAAAATAGAATTTATTGAAGAATTTTAAGTTGATCCGTAACATTGTTTTAAAGGAAAGCATGTTATATTAAAAATAACTCACGTAAGAGATCATAGGCAGGTTTCTGGATTGCGCAACTATGGCTTCGGTTTCACAGCGACCTTCGGGTCCGAAAAAGGCTGCTACACCTGCACAACTCATTTCTGTGATGAGCCTGGTAGAAGTCACCATGTCATATTTCGTGTCATTCCACTGCAACTGAATCTCCACATCCGGCAGCAGGTCGACTCCATTGTTCAGCTATGCACAGTATTATTTCAGTTTTAAAAGAAGCCCTTCAAAATTAAGTAATGCAATGATCGGCAAAATCTCATAAAACTATTTTATAAATATGTATTAAAAAAAATGCGTTTTTTTTCTATTATTTAGCGGTATTATATGAAAAATTTTAACAATACTTTTTCGCTTCTTCCACTTTGAGATTAAAAGTAGGTCATAACGTTGACGGACCATCAAGGTGGATAGCAACGTACATGTTTATGGGCTTCGCTAACCAGTCAACACACACTGAGTTGACCATCTATTACGAACAAAACATTTATACAAATCAAGAACTACATTTGACAAAGTAAATGGAACTACGTGGGAGAAATATATGTATAAATAGATAATATTTATTTAAAAAAAAAAAATTTACATAGTGCATACACAACCAAATCATTTATTTTACTCTCATAATATGTACGTGTGGAAGCGAATAAATTTATTTTTAAACATTGAACATTTTAGACGAGTCTACTCAAAATACACGATAAGGAATCTATTTTTAAAACAATTTGTGTCACATAAGTAAACAAAATTATGTTGTTAGTTTTCATTCTAATGAAACATGAACATTCCATAAATTGAATGATACATAATTATTATAGATTCGCTGATTTATCAAAATACACATATTTGTTTTTTATTTTTATTATACACGTTTTAAAACTTTTTTTTTATTTTGCAAAAATACGATGTATTCGACACCGCTACTCATTTTACAACTGTCACGTGACTTCATTCTGGGATCATTACCTACATATATTTACTATTAAAGTTACCTAACCTAGTAAAACCTAATATCCAACGCAATATTGTGGAATAACATTGCGAAATAGGACAATATCTTTCCAAGACATTCTGCACGATTGCTAGTGGTAAAGCAGTATTGGGTTAAAACAGTAGATTTTATGGTGTATTGGGAGTTAATGCTATTTCGGTCTTGAAGAAATCACACGTTCCGCTTTGAAAGACAGAAAAAAATATTCCGATGTCATTGAGACTACCGTGCGTGCGTCTTCGAGCTCAAGCTGACGCTACGGCTGAATTCAGGATCTCAAGCTGACATTAGACCCTTCTTATTTTTATATAAGGTCATCGGGCTCATTTATCTGTCGCCGTTAATCAAAAACTTTAATATAATTAAATAAAATTGTCTGTTCTAGTTGAACTGTTATAAATTAATACGCATTTTCCTCTAACATAATATACTAAAACGTCTTGAGTTATTACTGTGATTGCACTGAAATAACAAAACAGGACATTCGGTTGTGTACGACATTCTCAAAAACGGTTTGTTTGCGCTGTGACTATTAATAGCCACGGAAATGTAGATATGGTTTGCGTTGATCAAACAAACTTTATCATTGAACGCGGTCAATTTTTTATAAAAATATATCGCCGATTTAGGAGCATGGAGCACATTCTGTACGATGATTTATCTTAATAGATTCTGCTAATGCAATATAAACGTTAATATATAATACATTATTATAACGGTCGGTCGTTATGTAGAAGAGTACAAGGTTCTCCAACGATTTATTTATTTACTATATTAATACACGTGACCCACTGTTCCACCCGCAATAAACTTGGGATGCATTTGAAAAGAGAGGTCACCTTGTGTGGTATCTGCGCGTGACGCAACGAAGACGTTAGTGCTTTTAATGTTATCTCCGATTCCCGCCATCGTGGCTAGATGAGATGTTAACTGACTCTAACATTTAAACACGAAATCTTTACCAAAACAGAGTATTTCTATTGACAATACTCGAATACTAAAATTGACAAAGAATCAGACAAACGCACAAAACTAAAAGTCAGTTATATAGAGTCGGGAAACTCAGATCCTTGTTTAAGACGAAGTCGTAATCTTTTTTTTACTAATGTTTCCAGTGTAAATATAATTAGAATGAATATGTTAAATGTTTTAAACCATTTAGTTTAATTAAAACTTATTCATACTTCAAACGAAACTTCAAAAGTATTGAGCCATAAGATTAGTTTTAATTAAGAAATATGACTCGCTAAAACCGAAGAAAATACTATTTAATTATTATACCTTGTGCAAATTTATCGATTGTGATCTATTGATCTATTCTACCATTAACACATACTAGTGCCTAACTACAATTTTAATCAAATGCGCTGTAAAAAAAATTAAAATCGGTAACGTCAATAATACCATCGAAGAGCTCACCTCTTCAAGTGCCATCGACAGTGCCCCGGAGACTGTGAGTCCTTGCCTGTCTCGCAAGTCACCGGTAAGAGCCGGTAAGTAGCCAATGGTAATATTGAACTTCTTGTGGGCAAGCGAAGGCCCGGCCAGTAAGCCCAGCGCCGCGAGCACCAACACCCGCGCGCCGTGCCACATGCCGTCGCCTTCACCGTGACAGTTTCACCTGAAACAAAAAAATATATATAAAGAAAAGACTAAATCAATACCCACCAATATTTGACAAAATCAATACCAACCAATATTTAAATGAATTAACAAAAAGCAGTCAATTTTAATGCTAGTAGGTACGTTAACCAATTACTTTCGTATGCTTACTCTCAGCCACCAACCACCACAGCAAGGAACCATACTAATCTTATACTCAATTCAACCATTAGTCAATATACGGTTTGTCTAATGAGCCTGAACATCTTATGAACACATTCACGAACTGTGAGAACCGTATTCGTCATACGGTGCTCACTGTTCTTTCAACAGAAATTAATTCCGACCAGACAACACACCCACGGCCAAAATTAATACGACAGCAAAGAGTTAAGATTACACCGAGTACGATTATCGCGACAAGGTTTACACAAAGTGTTAATCTACACAGGTTAATCTATTCTAGGGCCAGTTGAATGACAGCTTGATCCTGGTTTATATAAAGCTCATTGTGAATTTTTTTATTCGGTTTCGAGTAACAATTTATCGCTTATAAATGTCTCACCCTCTACATTAACACAATGTCAACCACAGGTTATTTTAATGTAGAGAATGAGAACTTTTATTATTATTAAACTCGAAAAACTAAACACATTCTTCTGTTCGTAAGGCATTTTCATAAGAGTAAATTAAACGACTTTGTAGACAGTAGCCAAAAAAGTCGCAAAAAGGCGCATCGGTCAAAGCACAACGAATGCGATTANAAATGTCTCTCCCTCTACATTAACACAATGTCAACCACAGGTTATTTTAATGTAGAGAATGAGAACTTTTATTATTATTAAACTCGAAAAACTAAACACATTCTTCTGTTCGTAAGGCATTTTCATAAGAGTAAATTAAACGACTTTGTAGACAGTAGCCAAAAAAGTCGCAAAAAGGCGCATCGGTCAAAGCACAACGAATGCGATTAGAATGCAAAGTATGGTTTTTGTTTTCTCATTAACATCTCTCAATTTTTGATGCATGTAATGGAAATGTTAGAAGTTGCAACTATTATACACAAGTTACATCTTACTTATTGACTTATGTAAAAAAAATATACCACTATTATGTACATTCTTCTGATAATCTATATATTAGTACGTGAAACAAAACCTTTGTACCCCTTTTTAGGAAAATTACGCGGTCGGAGGAGACCACATTTATAGAGAATATAGAGAAGGATTGCAGAATGTAATTTTTTTTTTTTTAGTTATGCATAAAAAATACATTAAATCAATAAAAAAAACATTACGTACACTACCATGTATTTGACACACACACACGCATGCATAATATTTGACTATTGTCAAACTTTTCTTAATGCTTATAGTCTGTGGTCAAATTAAGAGTAGATTAAATATGTAATGTTTGTCTTTATTAATATTTGTGTAAAGTGTAGTCTTGGCGAAATCTGTGATTATAGAAGTTTAATAGTCTTTGACAATAGAATCACAATGGTGTACAAGCTTATGATTTCAATTAATTATAGTCAAATTTCGACTACGGTGGGACCACTTATTATTATTTGTAAATTTATTTCTTCAATTATAAAAATATAATCTCTTCATAATACCCTACAAAATACCATTAGTTAGGACAGAGGATGAATAAATCTATAATTTTTCGATAATAAAAAAGAGAACCAACAGATAATAATAGTAGCACTGAAACAAAAGCTTTGCAAATGTTCAGCTAGCTAATGCTCAGCAGGAGATGACTATTTGATGAAGGCCGAGTTCGTTCTTAGCAAAGCTTTATCTAGCTTCTTCTTCTTTCGGTAGGCAGCGGCTTGGCTCTGCCCCTAGCATTGCTGAAGTCCATGGGCGACGGTAACCACTCACCATCAGGTGGGCCGTATGCTCGTCTGCCTACAAGGGCAATAATAAATAAATAATAAAAAAACTCAGCATTGTGCTTACCGTAGTAGAGCTATGGCAAAGTACGTGTTAAAATATCACTATCTAGTCGAAAAGAGAATATACCGAGATTGGCTTTTGTGAAAATATTCACAGAATATTGTAACCGTGTACAGTAATTGGTCGGATAAAAAATCAAAATTAACCAAGCCGTAAACCTTTTTATTTAGTAACTAGATAGAAAATGGCACTAAAATCTTTTGCTTTCGGACAACCCCTAACGGTGCTTAATACTCCAATGAACTGGTGGACCGGGAGAGAAAAGCGATTAAGTATGTGTCGAATTATAATAAATCCTGCATTGAAACCAAAGAAATTGAAAAATCCAAAGAACAGAGAATTCTTACATATTTTTTACTGTATACGTTTGTTGATGTGTAAGTCTCTGAATTTAAATTGTTCAAACTAAATAAATATATTTCTATAATGTTTATAAGCGCAGGAGATTTAGTCTTCTGCTTGGTTCAATACGACATAAAACCATTTTTGTTAATGGTTGCTTGTTTTAATTATTGATACAGGATATTTTACACATAGACAGTATCTTAATTTAAAAAAAACGTATACTCTTAAAATATGGTTTTTCCTACCCTATTTATGGCAAGAAAAATATAGCACAAATCTATCGCATTCGGATGGAAGTTGCTCGAAAGAATGCGACAGGATGCCACGAATCACACGCAATTAATCAGGTTTTGGAAAAAGTGTTACACCGTGCATATTATTTATCTTAAAATATTGGTTAATAACTAACATTTGTTCAATATTTGATGCACAATTTTTTTTTTAATGAGTTTAAATTATATAAAGTTAAAGGTAAAACTTCGGTAAGGGTTTAATTAGCGAGCACTTCGTAATAAATCTAAGCATACATATAAAAACAAAAAAATGCATGCGTTAACAGCGAGTCTAACCAAAAACTCAAATCAGTTTTTTAAATCTTAGTGGTGTTTGTTGTTTATAGTAATCCTAATAATAAAATTTTAAATAATAATTATTGTACTTCAATATGACCTTGATACGTGTGCAAATTTTCAATTTAATCGAACGTCTTGAAGTTGATGAAAATTACGTTAAATAATTCCGTTACAAAGGCAGATAAATAGATTATACAGGTCAAGCTAATAAAAGCGTGTTAAAAAGGTCGATGTGTAGTCATTACATCTATAAATCGAATCAGCTGTATAATCAATTAGGTATAACTATGTTACATTGTTTATTTGTTACCAACAACATTTAATTCGCTAGAATACACATATTTGGTGGCTACTTCAAAGGAAGTCTTCCTGCTGCGTTCATAGACAGGAATTGCTTCCACGCTGTCAAGTAAGTAATTGCCTCACAGCCGGCGACTGATTAGACCAATTGACGTGCCGCTGTTTTGACAACACGCGCGTTTTCACAGGCATAAAAAAAAATGAAAATTGAAAGCACAGTTATTACGTATCTTATTTTTGTCAGATATGAGAATTTATTAAAAACCGCGCATGAGAATCGGTTTCCACGCACCATCGGGTGGGTCGTATGCTCGTTTGCCTCGTTGTAGGCAATTAATAATTTCCAGGAATAAAATGCTACAGTTAGGTGTTTCATTGCATCAGTAATACTATCACATTATTTATGGAGTCAATAACCGTATATAGTAAGTATAGGTTCGAATGTCCAGCTTCCAGTTTATACATTACAGACCCTTGCAGATATTTCATTTGTCGAGAGNACCATCGGGTGGGTCGTATGCTCGTTTGCCTCGTTGTAGGCAATTAATAATTTCCAGGAATAAAATGCTACAGTTAGGTGTTTCATTGCATCAGTAATACTATCACATTATTTATGGAGTCAATAACCGTATATAGTAAGTATAGGTTCGAATGTCCAGCTTCCAGTTTATACATTACAGACCCTTGCAGATATTTCATTTGTCGAGAGTGACACGGACGTTCAACGCTCGGCTCAGCCGGAGAGCGACAGTGGCGACATGAAACTGCACGATCTCGCCTTGAGATAACGTCTACGTCGATAACGCCTCTCATGAGCTATATTTAGAACTTAAAAAAGGTAACGCGATTGTATTGTGTTTGATTATAAATCATGTAAATTGCAAACATTTACATACGAGCGCAAAACAAAATTACTGACTTGACTCGTAAAATCAAAGAGGCGAAGTATTTGTTTTTACTAACTAAAGTGTTGTAATTTTAGAGTGGTTTGCCAAGTGTGAGGCGTTGCGTTATCATGCAAGCAATAATGGCGAAGATCGATTGACAAGTTGAGTCCGTTTATCTGAGTTTCGCCATCATTGTTCGAAGTTCTTCACGATAGACATTAGCTGTTATTGCTGTACCAGATCTCAAAGAGCTATTGTGCATTATAGTCTGAAAAGACCACTGTCACCAAAACTTTCGTATGGGTTAGATTCGCATTAGGGCGTCGCGCCGGTATTTGACTTGAGTTTCAATCACTGCATTTCTGAGTTAAGATTGTCGTAGAGAATCTGCGTCTCATGATTATTTTTTCCCTCCCTAATCGCTCATATCCTAAGGGAATATAAAGGAATACATATAGGTTACCAGCTACGTACAGTTTGGTAGGTAAGCTCACGGAGCTCAACCGGAAAGGACTTGCTATCACTAGCCCTAGCAAGAGCCCTAGCTGCGCTGAATCTGTTGCCGGATCAGTATCGCGATCCAGTGAGAAGATCAAGCGAGAAATTAAGTAGATTGTGTATACGGGCTTCTCAAGACACGTTACAAGTGCAATAAGACAAAAAGACATGTTGAAGGTGTTGTTCCATAAATATGTAGACCAATTACTTCATGAGGTGGGTAGCTCTAGGGTTACTCATTTTTAAATTGAATTTGGCGCAAACTCAGTCTAGTTGGTAGTGTTGTTTATTTATGATGCTAAGTCCATGGTTATTTGATAAGGATCAACTTCAATTTCTACGATGAATTCACTATTTACCTTCATGCCTAATATCTCTCAGGATTTATTCTGCAAGTCGAAGTTTTAAGTACCATAGCAATTAAACAAAGAACGTATAGTGCATTCATTAGCCCTCTTCAAACGTAGCACGCTTAGATGAGATCAAACGATATGGTGGCGACACCGCGATATACATTTCTCTTGAAATTACACTCCCAAGTAACTATCGCCAATCGTACAAAAATTTGGAGACCGATGGGTTTTAAAAAAAATCTTACATGCAGACCTTGTCCTGACAAATTCGAACACAATAAAAAATAAATCGGCCAAATCGGTCGTACCGTTCTCAAGTCATACTCCGTCATACATGCATTGCTTTATATACTCGTGTATTTTTAAAATATGACTAAGTAGTGTATTTGTAATGGCAATAAAATTGCAGAATAACAAAATGTTCTTATCCCAAGATACCATTATCTCGGTTTTTAACCGCGACTGTATTTATGAACATTTTCTTAATTTTGTGAATTTAGTGCAGTTTTATGAGCCCTATATGAGCCTAAACAATATATTATATCGTAGTGGATGAACTTTAACATATTTTTTTTTATATTTCATTTTTTTCTTGACGTAGTTTTCATCTTTATGATAGGAGAACTCCAGATGTGAGGGTTCTTGTTAGCAACATCGTCAGGTTTGAGCCCCGTGAACTCACCTACTAGTTAAGGTTACGCTGACATGGTCTCTCTAGACCACCAGCTTAAAAAAAAATGGAGACTTTTGTACTGAGTCTTATCCAACCGCGACGGGGCAACGCAAAGCCGCCGTCACCCGAAACATGTCTTGTCGGATCCCCTGGATTCACCACTTTCAGTGCTTTTAGGAACCTCCAGCACCAGTCACAATCCTCGTCGAACTCGTTGATTAGTACTAAGAGTTCGAAGAGCGAACCCATTAACACTGCTTACTGAGTTTCTCGCCGGATTTTCTCAGTGGGTCGCGATTCCGATCCGGTGGTAGATTCTGCCAAGCAATGCTCTTACTAGGGCTAGTGTTAGCAAATTCTCTCAAGTTGAGCCCGTTCTCTCACCTATCCGCCCGGGCGTAGCTGGAATAGTCTATTAAGCTACCAGCGAATAAGTAGAAAAAAAAATACTGAGTTATTCTTATTGACATCCGCAATGTGCTTCTTAACCTTACTGAAATGTCTCTCAGTCTGTCCCATGTATGAGAGCTTACAATGACAGTGAATTTTATAGACCTTTTTTTTTTTTCCTACCTATGCTGATATCTTTGAGGCTATTTCAGCGTAACCGTGGCTAGTAGGTGAGCTCACGGGGCTCAAACCTGACGACGATGCTAACAGAACCCTAGCAAGAGCCGTGCTTCGCAGAATCTACCACCGGATCGGAAACGCGACCCACTGAGAAGATCCGGCGAGAAACTCAGTGGGCTGTGTCTGGGAATAGACACCAGAAGCCTACAGAGCAATGCTACATTCACAACAGATTTTAAGTACCTACTGTCCTAGCTTCTTGTACATTGTATATAAATATTTTATAAACGCACACCTAAATAAATGTTGCCAATCTTATCTGTAACTCCTTTAATATACGGTAGGAATGCTGAAGTCCTTTCACTGTGGCTTTAGAAAAAACAGAAATAATAAAATGAAAATAATTGACGAAAAATTAAATCATAAAAATAGTTTCAAGGAGCATTTAGATTATAATACGATTTTAATTTATTAAACTCTCCACGAGACAGGCAGTGCCTAGTGTGGAGAGTTTTTAGCAAACTGTTATGTGTAAATGTTTTCAAGGTTAATAAATAAATTATTATTATTATTTATTATTATAAATAATTGGAATTTCCTAATCGCTCACTGTAATGTGTTGTGAGGGAATTAATTATTCACCCAAATTTCTTGTTTTGTTATTGTAATGAAGTTTCTAGTTACCTCGTAAGATTTATTTTGTCCATTATATCGCTTTTTAGGCAAAGCCTTCGACTGTAAATACATACAAAATTGTACTGACTCTCATCTACAAACATAATATTGATAGAAATTGAACGCACGCCGTTTGCCGTAATTATGAGCATATTTTAAATCAAGACTCAATTTGGGTGCTAAGAACGTGCAGTTACGGAATAGTTCCTAACAATATCGATCTGGCGTCATGTTTGAATTGCCGCTCCCTGCCGTTCCCACCCTAAGATAATAAAAATCGATTGTGCCACACTATGTCTCAGTTATAGTCTTACCATAACGGTACCATACTTGTATCAAACTTAGACAAATCCAATTCAAATTGACTTAATATGAATATCAATACNGTGCTAAGAACGTGCAGTTACGGAATAGTTCCTAACAATATCGATCTGGCGTCATGTTTGAATTGCCGCTCCCTGCCGTTCCCACCCTAAGATAATAAAAATCGATTGTGCCACACTATGTCTCAGTTATAGTCTTACCATAACGGTACCATACTTGTATCAAACTTAGACAAATCCAATTCAAATTGACTTAATATGAATATCAATACCGACTTTTTGAGAGCTAAACTTACAATTTTCTCTAGCATTTAACACCGAATGTCACAAACACAACTCAATCATTTCTCAATATTGACAATCGGTAGACTTTATTGTGAGCCCGCACAGACAGGAACCACCTTCCTGCTTATTTCTGCCACGAAACGGTATTGTGTTCCGATTTGAAAGCTGGCAAATCGCATCGACCTCACATCTCAAGGTGTGTGGCAGCATTCACATAACGTTTAAGCTGTTTGCCCTCAGTCCTAATATATGCTTATCGTCCGCGTAATCAAAAACTCGTTATTGGTCTATCATCATCAATTTTCTTCAGTCACAACTACAGCCACCACATTTTTTGCATAACTTTTCTTAAAAATCCGTATCAACACTATCCATTAGGTGTAAATAAGAAGTACGTGTTACACAATAAATTCTACCGCCTGGATAGGTTCCCATTGCTAAGACAACCTGTCACTGGTTTAACATAATATTGAACTACGCACACGCAATTTCTCATCGTTAAAAAATTATGGGTTGATGTTTCAGGCTTTTTTTATTGCATTGATGAGTGAAGACGCTCAGGGGCGACCTGAAGTTGAGTGGAGCCCATAGACATCACAACGTAAACGCCGCTTTTGGACACGAGGGCGTAGTCCAAATTTGTTTTGTATAAAGGCTGTTATACCATTCTAAGCTGGAATGCTTGACTACTTCACGGTATATATAGGCTGAGTGGTGGTATTACGCACGCGTGCGTGCTTACAATGCCACCTACTACCAGAAAAAAACAGTTTCACACGCAGTTGCCGAGTGGAAAGAAGCAGAATGCCACTTCGATAAAGCGGCACGACACGAGAACCCTCTCATCGTGGCCGCCGGTAACTACATTCCCGATCCTGCGGACAGAATGGAAAGCAGTCGACGTCGCCCAAAACACGTCATCTCAGATCCTCCGGATCCATTAACGGTGCTTTTAGGTACTTCAAGCACCGGTCACCGTTCTCGTCGAACCCGTCGCTTGCGACGAAGGGCTCGACGAGCAAATTAACTCTCAGACACAGCCCACTGAGTTTCTCGCCGGATCTTCTCAGTGGGTCGCGTTTCCGATCCGGTGGTAGATTCTGCGAAGCACGGTTCTTGCTAGGGTTCGTGTTAGCATCGTAGTCAGGTTTGAGCCCCGTGAGCTCACCTACAAACGTTAGGACGAAGCTGAAATAGCCTCTCAAGGCTATCAGCATAGGTAGAAAAAAAAGAGAAAAGCAGAATGAAGTGTAATTATCATTCTGGACAGTTTTCAGTCTTTTCAGTGAAAGAAAATATTAAAATACGGTTGGTTAGTGGTTATTGTTTTGGAGAACATCATAAAAATTGAATATGCAATATTCAATGCTTATGACTCAATGGACTTAAAATAAATCGACAAAATGGACTCCACATAATTATAAAAGCAAAGGGGGCTTTGGAAAAGATCATAGGCATCTTTGTATGAGCATCTTAAGGTCATCTTTCCATACCATCCAAAACTCTCGATATCACATTACAGCTCTTGGAAAGTACTTCAACATGGATGTTATACAATTATCTTGGTTTTGAACAAGAGTGAACATTTGTATGTTTGTAGTATGTTGCCAGAACTCTTTTATGAGGTGTCAATAACTATGAATGCAAAACATAGCGCATTGTATTGTATTACTATCAAAGTCACAAAATTTATTTCGAATTTATTACTCATTATTTTCTCTATTAATATTCACACTAATAGATATTCTTTTCTTTCAGAGATATTTTTTTTACTTCAAATTTAATAATAGATACAAAGCATACAGATTTTGAAACGAAATAAAAAAAATATATGCACTTTCTTTGTTAGTAAGCAATTTTATTCCTTGCTGATAATTTTGCAACACTAATATATATATATATTGATTATGTTTCTATCATTTCTTTATAAAGGTATTTATTTTAATTAGGGTCATATAGTCCACCCAAGTCTACTTATATACTTATTTATTTGTGTACATCACAAATACATACCTTCGCTCTCTATATTGGGGAATAACGAAATTGAAATAAAAATTTGCATTATATACAGGACAGTAGAACGAATTGAACTAAATAATGCTAGTACAAATACAGAATAATTAACCTTTCACACAAGATCTTTCATTTCACTAGATTCAGTAGATTAATAAAAAAATTATAATTACCCTAATCAGAATATAATATTAATAGGATTATATGTTTAAAAGTATATGTAATATTATGAATAGTTTTACATCTTCTATCTATATATGGTATGTTACTAAATATTATAATTGCAATTTTAAAATATAAAGCATATGTATACAAATACTTTATATCTGTATACGATTTGAAACATACACTGCCGGCGAACAGTTTAAGACTGCACTTAAGCAACATAATTACCTATCGTTTGTAATAAAATCCCATAAGATAAATGAAAGAAATGCACATCTGCATATTCTATTGCTAATATACTTAGAATATTTAAAGAATTATCATTATTTTCTTTACTTTCAAGTTATAAGACAATAATCATCTATTGTTTTCAAACAACGGCAAACGCTGCACTAGAGCTAGGTGGTAGAGTCATAATAATATTTTTATGTTGTGCTCATAACTAATTACTTTGCTTTTGTTTCACATTGGTAAATAATTAGAATTATTTATCTTCTGAAAGCACATGTTTCTGACTTCTTATTACCTGGATTTACTTTGGTTTGTTCACAAACAATCTCAATTAGTCTAAACTTGTGTTTTCTACACTGAAGACATAAAAAAATGGGAAAAGCATGAGAAATTAGCCGTGAAATGCATTCTGTCATCATTGTTTTACATAATGAAGGCAAATCCGAACGTGGGATTACATCACAACTGAGGTTATCCAAGACTTGTGTTCGTGGCACAATAACTACATACAGGGTCGCAGGCAATTTTCAAGATTTGAAGTCGATGATGAATTGAAGAATGATGACTTAATTTTGAAGTCGTCGTGACCTAAAGGATAAGACGTCTGGTGGAAACGTGTTGAGCGATACACTGGTGTTCGAATCTCGGGCGGGTACAAATTTTTCTAATGAAGTACGTACTCAACAATTGTTCACGATTGACTTCCACGGAGAAGGAATAACACTGTGTAATAAAAATCAAACTCGCAAAATTATAATTTGCGTAATTACTGGTGGTAGGACCTCTTGTGAGTCCGCACGGGTAAGTACCACCACCCTGTCTATTTCTGCCGTGAAGCAGTAATGCGTTTCGGTTTGAAGGGTGGGGCAGCCGTTGTAACTGTACTAAGATCTTAGAACTTATATCTCAAGGTAGGTGGCGCATTTGCGTTGTAGATGTCTATGGGCTCCAGTAACCACTTAACACCAGGTGGGCTGTGAGCTCGTCCACCCATCTATGCAATAAAAAAAAGATTGTCCACGCTTGGAAAGGCCCAGAGCTACCACATTCATTTCATTATTGTTATCAGCAAGCGAAATAGATGCTTAAGAGCTCCAGAAATGCACATTGAAGTAAAAAAACCTCAGTTAAACCTTTATCATTGATTAGGTACAGTAAAACGGCGACTGAGAGATGCAAAGTTGTATGATCATGTCGCCATTCGAAAACCTCTGCTAATTGATGAATCAATGTTTGAACTATTCAGTTCAAAATGAAGAATTTAAGTTCAACACTGCCCAAGAAAAGATGTTTCCAGACTGTACAGTACCCTACAAAAAAATATGGTGGTGGCACAATTATAGTAAACGAACTAATAACAGGTTAATTAAACATTTAATGTTTTATTGGAGTTTTATTTTCTTATTTTAGTTAAGCTGATCTTACACTTTTACTGCAGTGTAGGTACAATGAGAACCAAAGCTCTACATGGACAGGTAATGCTCCTACCTTCTACATCATGCTAGCATTGGGGCATTTTTTGGGTTCTCCAATAATTTCAGTAATTAAGATGAAATTGCAAGGTTTTTTAGTAGTTTCGATATATCTTAAGGAGCAATTCAAAAGTATAAAATTTTCATACAAGTAATCTGGAGCAAAAATTCTTAACTTTAGGCAATTGCATCACATACAATTGAAACTGCCTTGTTGCATCAAAGATTTCTATTACTCCAGTTACACAGCACTCGGAATGTCCTAAATTCAGTTACTAGGAACTTCCTTGCCTTATATCCTTATTGCAAAAAATCCAAACATATTTTTTATATTCCAACTAATGTCAAAAACTCACAAAACCTACTAACACCTACTTAAAGCAGTACTAGAAAAAGTATGTACAGATAAAAAATATTCAAGTCATCTAGAAAGCTACAACATAAACAGCAAAACAGTTGACTAGCAACAGTTAGAACAAGGGTTGGAAAAGGAAATTCAACAACTATCCATGAGTCAAAAAATGTCTACTTTAATATAACATATACCTATATAAAAACCAAGTGAAAGGGCCACCTACAAATCACACTAATTACCAATATTATATTTTTAGTACAGCTGATAAGAGCTGTCTTTTCATTGAAATGCCTGAAAAGATTGTTTGTAATAAAATCACATTACACACAGGTAAACAAATATTTTAATGCCAATGAATCATGTATGTACTTACCATGAATGGTAAATATTCCTTGTATTGAAATGTGTCAACTTGCTCTTCATCAATGGTCAAGACATTAATTGGTCAAGATTGTCAACACATTTAAAACCTTCAAGTACATTAAATTTTAATCTACACTTTCTTCTCTCATGTAAATATTACGAGACCTAAATATAAAGTTTTAAAAATATTCACAAAAGAATGAAACGTTATTAACATAGTATGCGGAGTTCTAAAAATAATTCTTCAAGATAAAACAGTGCGAGTATTACAGAAAGCAACGCATATCTATAACATTATTTAGAATTGGAGTAAGGATCCAAGTTTTGATTTTACGACTTATTACACAATGAATAATGTAAATAAGTACATACTTGTGATGATAAAGTAATAAATTTATTTACATTATGTCGAATATCTGATAGGCGCTAAACTCGTCACGAATAACAAATTGACAGATACTTAAGATATTAATAAAATGTTTTGTATTGTACTTATGCAAAATTCGAAATACCTAGTTTATCCAAAGAATTTATTATTTAGGTACAAACTGTTAACACTGATTTTTTACGTATATTTCGCTGAACTTAGAAAGTTTTAAGGTTTAGACGAATTACGGCATTCACTTCGTTGGCCAAAAAAACCTTTTATTATAACATCACATCACAAAGTATTCCCCACGACACTATCGATGTTCCAACTATTTCAGTTTATGTGCGCAAAAAACTTGTTGCTTTACAAAGTACACAATAATTCCATTTCGTCCACCATCACTAATCACCACGCCACAGACTACCCTAAAATCAAAACCATAGATTATACAAAAATAACAAGACACGATTAAAACTTAAAAACCGCTAGAGCACAGATGTTTTGTTTCATATGCCATAAATCTGTGAGACAACAATGTTCTTTCTGGTTTCTAATTGGTAAATTGCAAACTTCACCTAATCAATAATAATGATTAACTTGTCATTCTTGTGGTTTTATACTAAATCTATTCATATTAAATCGCTGAGTGTTAGATACATCTTTGGACACAAAAAGTCATTTTTCTGTGTATGATGCTGTTGTAGGTTTTAAGTTAGATAAACGCCTCCAAGATAAAGGTTTATATTAAATGTGTGTTACCAGTGATGACTTACGGTTCCTGGTGGGGCTTCACAAAATTTTTTTTAGGAAACTTAATGTCGCACAGTGAGATATGAAGGGGCTATTCTTGATATTTCTCGACGACAGCGTATTAGAAATGAGCAGATCCGGGCCGTTTTCCAATTACAGCACAAGAGCGCATTATGCGGCATAATGCTCAACTAAGCTTCAGCATAACTCGGCATTGTGCGTCACTGAGTCGTAGGCCCCGTAGAAGTACCAAAGGTGCTGACATATTCTGTAGGATGAGCAAGCTGAAGTGGCAGTAGGCAGGCCACATAGCGTGGAGGTCAGTCAGCCAAGGGGGCACTAGGATCGTCGATTGGGGACCACGTAATAGCAAGCGCAGTGTGGGACGGCCACCTACCAGATGGACCAATGACTTAATGAGAATCGCTGGATCACGTCGGATGCTCGTAGCAACGGGCCGACCGTACTGAACATCAATTGGAGAGGACTATGTTCAGCAGTGGACAGTGGAGATGCTGAGATGATGAAAAACCTCCATACTTTAATACAAAATGGGTGTAAATCGTTGTACCTAAACGGTTGCAGCTAGTCCTCGGTCCGCAAAGTAATGAAGAATTTTGTAGCTGCCACAGAAGTAAACATTTTCTGCTTTACTGAGAGGTCAGTTGATTAATTCTCACACAAAACCTATGCTTTTGTCTTGCCTTATGTCTTTTATTTCCATTTTATTTTTCGTGCAATACAAATGGTTTCATTCTTTGTCAGCAAAAATTAACTGTAATTTCTTTTTGCCTCTGTAAATTTTTTTTTAATTGATTTTATGAACTGGTAACAAAGACTTTGGTGGAAAGAAAGTGGGAAACAAAGCCACTGGACGTAACTTCTCGGGATCCACTAAAAAGTCCACTGAAAAAATCTCAGTAAATAACCACTATTTTACTGAGATTTTATTTCATCTCATCTCATTTCCTTTTATTTCATCCTAGTTGATTAATGTCTTAAATTAATCATCTTCATTTCATTTCACTCCATATTATTATTTTTCATAAAAATAAGATTAAAAATTAAAATAAGACTTGACCTAAAGGTCTTAGTTACCAGGTCATAAAATTTCCAAAAAAAAACAATAAAAGTATATTGTCTATGGGTATTAAGGCTGTATGGGTTAGATCCCTTTGGCGTGCATAATAAGGAAAAATTGTACTAAAAAAAAATGTTTATGGGTTATATGGGGCTGAAACGTAACTTTTCATAAAAGATAGATAAATATCACTATACGTTCAGAGCTTGGTTCAGAAGTTTCGTGAAACACAGCTAGTTGTAAAAAACAAAATGGGAAAGGGATTCAATAACTATATGTGTAAAAAATTCTTCCATCCCGCTTCAAGAGACAATTTGAAAAGGGTTTGTATGAATGCATTGCAATTATGTTGTAAACAATCAATGGATAATAATAATCATTGTTATTGCTATAGGTATGGATGGCAGAACAGAAAACAGATGCATACAAGAAAAAACAAGAAGAATTGCGATTACAATATGAAAAAGAACAGGATCTACATGAGAACAAGTACCTATTTTTTTTGCTTATTTTCAGCCAACTGATTTTGTTCTATCCGTTTAATAATAATAGTTAGTAAATTAGGGCCATAAAATATTATTTTGAGGACAAAAAATTGTGAAAAGCTTAAAATATATTTTTTAACAATAAAGCATACGAATCAGTTATCCATCAATTTATTGACATTTCTTATTAGGAATCCATAAAAGAAATCGTGAATTTCCAGTACATTGTAATCATTCAGTAGTAACAGTGTCCTACTTTATTCTCCCGTCATTATTTTCAATTCACTACATAATACAAATTATTCTTGTGTATATGTATCATAAATCGAGATAGATATGTAAATAGATATCCTAACCAATAACAATATTCCTGATTTATTTTACTAAAAATTAAATTAGTTTTTATCTTAATTTCATTTTATACATTGTTTTTAGAGCATTACTAAGTAAAGAAAGTAAAGACAAATTGAGTTTAAACTTCATGTATGAGCCTCCTCCTGGTGTAAAGAAAGAAAGGGAAAGAGAAGACAATGAACCAGAATATAAATTTGAATGGCAAAGGAAATACAATGCTCCTAGAGAAAGCTATTGTAAAGGAGACAATGAAATCAGAGATCAGCCTTTTGGTATACTTGTCAGGAATGTAAGATGCATTAAGTGTCATAAGTGGGGACATATCAATACAGGTAACTATGTTAAATAAAATGTTCTAGAAAAAATATAGCTCATAAAATAATCAATTCCAAAAATTAAACACTTAAAATTAAAGATACTTGAAAATGTTAAACAAATTATGTTATGACCAAAAGTTTTCCCAGAGAAAGAACGGTAACATTCTCTTTGTATTATACCAGCATACAATATAATTGTGAAAATTGCAAAGTGGTATGATGTATTGTGAGCCCGCATAGGTAGGTATTACTGTCCTTCATATTTTTGTTGTGAAGCACTCATGTGTTCCGCAATGGAGTGTGAGAGAGTCATTAAACAATACCATTGAGACTTCAACCTTCAACCAACTCTGGGTAGGTTCTCTCTCTGTGGTATTCATGTTAGTATGAACTCTGGTAACCACTACTCTAGGTGGGCCCATATAGTGTGCATTCATATAGGCAAAAAAAAAACTGAAAACAAATTCCGATGTGATGTTTACCACATTTATGAATGGTCCCTCAGCCTTTCCTGGTATCTGTCTGTATGAGATTATGTTTTATGGATTTCTTTCTTTACAATGGTAACACCTAGATGGTGGTGATGTTGGTGAGAAACCATGGTCATTTCATAAATTTCTCAGTATAATCTACAATATAAAATCTACTAAATTGAACTTTTCTGCTTTTATCAAGTCATGAGTTCAAATTCTAGTTTAAAAGGTAGGATAGCACATAACTAAGACTTCAATATGTAGCAAGGTATCAAGGTATCATTGTGATGTCCAAGGACCTAAACAGCTTACAGAAGATCCCTTAGGGCTTCTTCAACTTCTGCCTTCCTATCCTTCAATTTTTCCACCTTTCCTCAACATGGCTACTTTAAATACCCTCATACCAGATCATAACATTCATCATTTAAGTTCAAAAGTACTTATGAAACAATGAAAAAAAAAGTGTCTCAGTTTGTACTAATAACATATATTAAATTCACCTCTTCAGATAAGGAATGTACAATGTATACACTGTCCATGAGTGAGGCACGTGCATTACAAGCATCGACTTCAACTCCTGAAGAAAAGGAAGAAAAACCAGATGTACCAACTCTCATGCAACAGATGCGTGACACGGGCCTCATCATGAAACCGGGAGCACTGCCTCTGACTGCTGCTAAGGTTGAAGATAATGACTCTACTAATCTTACTGAGCATGACCTGATCAGTCAACTAAGCAAAAAACAAAAGAAAAAGTTATTGAAGTGAGTGAATGCTTTCATATAAACATTTCTTTGGATAAACAACATATTATGGATGAACAAGATATGACCATGCCATCAACGATGTAAAATACCTAATTAACAAGGTGCCAAAGTGGAGCACTTGTGAATAATACATAATTTTAAATTAAAAAGTCGTTGTGGCCTAAAGGATAAGACATTTGGTGCATTCGTATGTAGCGATGCACCGGTGTCCGAATCACGCAGGCGGGTACCAATTTTTCTAATGAAATACGTACTCAACAAATGTTCACGATTGACTTCCACATTGAAGGAAATAACATCGTGTAATAAAAATCAAACCCGCAAAATTGTAATTTGCGTAATCACTGGTGGTAGGACTTCTTGGGAGTCCGCACGGGTAGGTACCACCACCCCGCCTATTTCCGCCGTTGAAGCAGTAATGCGTTTCAGTTCGAAGAGTGGGGTAGCCGTTGTAACTATGCTGAGATCTTAGAACTTATATCTCGAGATGGGTGGCGCACTTTCGTTGTAGATGTCTATGAGCTCCAGTAACCACTTAACACCAAGTGGACTGTGAGTTCGTCCATCCATCTAAGCAATAAATAAAAAATTATATAGGCTGCAATAAATAAAAAATTATATAGGCTTAAAGAATGAAATGTGATATTTGAAATATGCAACATAACATCCAAACAAGAAATGGGTCCACCTGGTATTAAAAAGTAATGCATTAATATGTACCTACTCACAGTGTTAAAAACACTATTTGATAAAATATGGTTTTATCAACTTTTCGACTCTCATTCAGACTTTATCCACACCTTAAAGTCAAATCTTATTTTGTCTTCAGGAAATTGGAAAAATTGGAAAAGAAGAAGGAGAAGAAACTCAGGAATAAATCAAAACACTGAACAAAAATGAATTAACTCTCCATACAAATAAATTAGAAGGACAGAAGAATGTTAACAATATATTTCAGTCATTCTGCTTAGCACTTTTCTTAATAATTGCTTGAATGAAGCCAATTTTTTTCTCTGTCAATAGTTTTTTTAGTAGCCACTGATTGGCACTGATGAAGTACATATTACCAATAACTACTAAATATTTTTTTATATATAAAATTAATAAAATAAAATTTATGATAATGGTCGAATTTCGATCATTCCGGGAACACAAATTACTGTCAATGTTTTATTTCCTTAGGAAGATAAAACTCCAGCAGGTTTTTTTTATCTCTGGATGTTTGTATAGAAGAAATATAAAGACAATCTGAATCTACCATTCCTCATCAAGAAGATCGAAGTCCATTCACCATATTCATGATCCTACGATAGATACCTTCGTCACGTCGCATTGCTACAGTGAACCGCAGCCAAATACGAGACATATGTGGAAGTTTTACTTTAGAAATGGAATTATTAATCCTCAATTCCTTCCGATTCACTATGAGCAATGAAGTCAATATCATTGTCGCTATCAGACGTATTTATTACGAGTCTATCAGTGTAATTATCTAGACCGTGTTGAAATCTTCGAAATTCATTCTCACATTTAATTGCATGATCGCAAACCTTTTTCCAGTCTTCATTCTCAATCATGTTTACTTTTTCTGCCAATAATGTTTTTACTGTAGTTAAATTCATACCCACATTTCTAGAGGCTATATAATCATGTAAATCCCTCTTTTTCCTAAAGATGCCATAGTACAATTCTAAATAATTTAAACCTGGGGGTTTTTTTTCCCCTACCTATGCTGATAGCCTTGAGATGCTATTTCAGCTTCCCCCTAACGTGTAGGTGAGGTCACGGGGCACAAACCGGAGTGTGATAACACTGGCCCTATCACGAGCAGTGCTTCGCAGAATCTACCACCGGATCGGAAACGCGACCCACTGAGAAGATCCGGCGAGGCTCCAACGCCTTTGGCGTTGATTTTGCCAATGTCACAGTAGATACGGTATGCACAAAAATGACAGGTGCTTAGAGAGATTTTTGTTTTCTCCTACCTACGCCGAAAGTTCTGTTTTCCTCCCGCTGTACAGGGAAGAAAGCCTAACTTTTCCTCCCGCTATACAGGGAAGAAAGTGTAACTTTTCCTCCCTAGGTACTAACAAGTGCACATGCGCGTTAGTGTCTACATCTGCTCTCAGGCACCTAAAATTCTCCGCCATGTTATGCTCTGGTAATATTATATTGTGTTTAGTGTAAAAGTGAAATAAACAAAAGGCAATAAAATTTAATAGTCAAGTATTAACAAAGATGAGTTAATTTAAAAATTAAAAAAACAGTTAAATTGTTTTTTTATGAGTACAGGGGAGCGGAGTCCCCCTACCCCCGGCCAGGGCTTCGCCCCTGGACCCCAGCTCGGTACTCCACGATTTTTCGGCCTGGTAGGAGAAAAAATAGTATGTGCACCGCGAGAAAAAAGTATGACATCTTATCCCGCGTGTTTGCCAATTTTACACGCGGAAATATCCTACGTTTCTCTTCTTCTTCTTCTCTAACGGACTCTAATTTTGGCAAGAAAAACGGGACGGATAATAGCTGAGACATTTTTTTTAAAGGAGATGGCGGTGGGAGGAAAACCATTGCTTAGAGGGCATGGTCGATTGCAAGTTACCATAATGCTTACCGACGAGAAAACTGCCAGCTTTCATTCCAAGATTGAAGCATATCAGGTTTTGCCAGGGAATGTAAATCTCGAGGAAAAATTTTGTTATACTTGTTACAGCCTTACAGCGTATGTCAACAGATTCCTTGCCACATGAGTCAGCAAACTCATTCTCACTAATTCCGCTATGACTTGGGATCCAGACGAGAGTGATATCAAGTCCGGAGCAGTAACATTGAAACAAAATTTCTTTAATTAATAAAATTTCAAAATTGATTTTTGAATGCGATGGAAATTTAATTATGTCTTGAAGACAGCTTAAGGAGTCCGTACAGTCGAGACGGTCCGCCCGGTTCTCGTGGACTGGGTGGGCCGCGACCGCGGACGCCTTACCTTCCGGCTGATTCAAATGTTGATCGGCCATGGTTGTTTTGGCCGGTAACTACACAAGATAGCCGGAAGTGAACCGACGGTGCAGTGCCATCATTACGCGGACCGCGACGAGGATGACACAGCGGAACGGACATTGGCGTGTTGCTCTGGATTTGACGAACAACGCGTCGCCCTCGTCGCAGTCATAGGAGAGTACCTCACGCTGCCACGCGTCGTGGCTACGATACTCAGCAGCGACGCGTCCTGGAAGGCGATGCTCGACTTCTGCGAGTCCACCATATCGCAGAAGGAGGCGACGGAACGAGAGAGGGAGAGCTCTTCCCTTTCCGCACCGATTCGTCGCCGTCGAGCCGGGGACCGGAGGAGAGATTATGCTCGCACATTCCGCCCCTTGTACATTCCGCATCTGGCCGGAGCCAGATACATTCCGCATTGTATCTGGCTTCCCCCCGGTGAAGGTCACGGGATGACCTGAAGGGGTCGAGGCTGCGCGGCGCACTACCAGCACTTTAGCGCGCCGCCAAGGAGAAATATCATAATCCTGATCAAAGAGCAACCGGTTGGAGGCGTATCGCGTCCCGACCCAGCAGGCTGGTTCTGGTTCTGCGGGGTATTCAGGGACACCAGCGGCACCGTCTGGGCGGCCTGACGGGCTGCCCTACCGAGACGGCTGATGTTTCAAAGACTCCGATTCGTCTCGAAGGCTCCGTCGGCCAGACATCCTTGGGGCGAGCTGCGCCGTCTGATTGTAGTGTTGACCGTGGTAACTCCCTTACCTCATCCGCGTTCTGACCTCGGAGGCGATCGGACGCTTGGGCGAAGAGTGCAGGGGAGTCGTTTAGTGAGTAGGGCCCTCAGAGGGCCTCAGAGGTGGTAGAAATTTTCAGAGGTGAATTGAGAGGTTAAGGACATTTGAAAAAATCCGGGAAGCCGCTTTGTATATTTTTTGTTAAAGTAGAAATTTCAAGTGTATTATGGCTATCCTACCATTCAAGCCCGAACGTATGATTGCTTGGCACAAGAAATAGACAGGACGGTCGGACAAGAAGGTACAACGACCATCAAGAATAAGGCCTGGGAACCTCAATTGTATCCCTACCTAAATTCCAAAAGAATTGTGATGAAACGCTAGTTCGACAGCCGTTCATATTAAAGTATTTACAGTTATAACTTCGATCTCAAATCTCAAGATGGTTGGCAGCATTCTCCTTGTGATGACGGCCTACGGACTCAGGTACCACTTCAATACCAGATGAGCCTTGATTTCGTTCGCCCATGCAAGCTTTGGAAGGTTCAATTTTTATTACACGATGTCATTCCTTCATCGCGGAAGTCGATCGTGATCATGTGTTAGGTATGTGGTATGTCTAAAAAAATGGATGCCTTCCTGCAAATATTTTTATATACAAGAACACCGGGCGTCTGGTCCACAATTCGGTCTTTAAGTGCTAAATACCTAATTTCTTCAACCTCATTTACTGACCTAGAAACTGTGAAGATATATGGTATGAAATTAAGTATTAGATATAAAATTTTTCTTTCAATACAAATAAGTAAGTAAGTTATCAAAGTGACGCCAACTTAATGTTCATAAAAAAAAATGTTAACCTGAATTTTAGGGGATGCGTAAAAATATCTACAAAAGATTATCATCACCATGCCGAAATGTGCTTAAAATCTAGAAGTTGTCCTAATCTATATCTATACTAATATTATAAAGAGGAAAGATTTGTTTGTTTGTTTGTTTCGAATAGGCTCCGAAACTACTGGACCGATTTGAAAATTTCTTTTTCCATTAGAAGCCGACATTGTCCCTGATGAACATAGGCTACTTTTTAAATTATTTTTTTAAATTTTTTTTTTGGTTTCATGTGTGTTTTAATGTTTCAGAAGCGAAGCGAGGGCGGGTCGCTATCTAATATATAAAATTCTCGTGTCACAATGTTCGTTCCCATACTCCTCCGACACCGCTTGACCGATTCTCATGAAATTTTTTATGCATATTCAGTAAGCCTGAGAATCGGCTACTATCTATTTTTCATACCCCTAAGTGATTAGGGTTGTCCACCCCTAACATTTTTTTTTATTTGGACTTTTTTGTTGTTATAATGAGGTATTATGTGGTTGAATGAGGTTTTGTTATTTTTATTATATATTCCCTCATCGTTCACAGCACTACATACCTCTTTCACTCATTTACCACATCCTTACACACTTACAATAAGTTAGTTTTTTTTTTCTACACTAGAAATTCCCTAGAAATCTTATATATGGCAAAACAATGTTTGCCGGGTCAGCTAGTGTNAACTTACTGAGCGGTCATATTTAGTAATTAGGACAAATAGTCAACTTAAAATATGAATTTCATTTTACTTTTATTTCCATTTTCCCATTGTTATGAATTAAAATAACCACATAATATTAAATATGATTGGAAGCACTATGATTTAAAAGTGTTTTGGTTTATGTTCGCGACTTTAAAAAAAGCGGGTAAAAAACGCCCAATGATCTTTGCATAGAATATTTACACGTTTAGAATCTACGAATAAATAATATAATTCGTAGTAATCGTAAAAATATTAATTAGATAATCGTATTAATATTATTCGTTTAAAATAAATAATATTATTTATTCGTAGTTTATAGATTAAAGTTAATAGAGAATTAATATTAATAGGCCGGGGGATGTCTTTTGGAAGGATATCATAAAGAGGGGTACGATTTTGGGGCAGTCGGAGAAAATGTGTGGGCTACCCTCATCTAATCCACACTCACAAAGAGAATGGTAACGGACTCTAATTTTGGCAAGAAAAACAGGGGACGGATAATAGCTGAGACAATTTTTTTAAGAAGATGGCGGTGGGAGGAAAACCATGACTTAGAGGGCATGGTCGATTGCAAGTTACCATAATGCTTACCGACGAAAAAACTGCCAGCTTTCATTCCAAGATTGAAGCATATCAGGTTTTGCCAGGGAATGTAAATCTCGAGGAAAAAATTTGTTATACT